ATCTACAGTAGTCATCCTGCCCATTGCCACACCATCCATAGCTCGAACAGCATCTCCCGAAAGTACTGCCCGTACAAGTCTGGCCACTCCCATCTGCTCCACACCGTCCGTTGGTACTGACATTGGTCGGAATAGGTGCCGCAGAAGAGGTTGGGCTAGGCGTTGGTGTCGTTGTTGGGGTGGGAGTAGGAGTGGGCGATGGCCTGGTTGAGGAGCTGCTAGGAGGAACAGGGATAGGGATCGAGGAAGAAGAGCCCGGCGGCGGTGGTGGTGCCACACCACCACAACTTCCAAAGCCGAGGCGACACCCAGTGCCGCAGAAGTCAAGGGAGTTGCCGCAGTAATAGTACTCCGAGCAGCAACTTCCGAAGACGGAGCCCGCACATGTTGTTACGTTTCCGCATTGCCCATTCGTGGAGGGAATCAGAGTGCCGGAGGGCAGCGGCGGTAGAGCCGACGAGCTTGAAGGGACAGTGACTGAGCTTGTTGGCGGCAGAGGCGTGGGAGTTGGCGTTGGCGTAGTGGTTGGCCCTGGTGCTGCATCACCACACCTTCCAAAGTCAGGCTGACATCCGACAATGATGCCACAGTGCTAAGGTAACCCATGTCAGCATGTAGAACATCGAGATCTTGGGACGAAGATTCGTACCTCGAACTCTGATCCGCAGTAACCATAACTTGAGCAGCATTGATTACCACCACATCTCTGATTGCTGAACTCAGCACCGCAACGGCCTGCCGCTTGCCGAGGTAATAGGTGGTGAGAAGAGCGGGAGTCGAGGTTTGGTGTTGTAGCATTACGCTCCTCGAACTGTTGTGCGACAGTGTTCACGATATTACCTGTACCGTAAAGGTGTGCTCGTGGATGCGCGATGACCTTGGTATCGATTGCTGAGTCAATAAGAGCTGATACTCCTGAGAAGCTCAGGGCTCCTGCCAGAGTGATCAACGCCCACTGCATGCTTGGCTTTTGAATAGAACGACGAGGTATGAGGTCAAACCAAGATTCCCAGCGAGCAAACCCAGGTATTAATCGGACTTTCACATGGCTTTACGGAAGCCAGGGAAAGAAATCCTGGCGCAAAGGAGTGACCGACCAACTCGATATGGCGGATGGACTTACGGAGTACTTGGCTAAGTGCAAATGAGGCTCTTTCGAGCCTGGAAGATATGCAATAGACCAATGAGAAGGCAACTCCAAGCTCGTCATGCAAATTGAAAATGTAACATTTGATGGTCGTACATGTCTTCTTAGGTATCCACGTTATTGCTAATATGGAAGTCAACCGACGAGTATGTTTGTGGGGCCTTTTGCGGTTGCATGTGTTCAAATGGGTGAATAGAAGCTTCCTGGAAAACTAGAAAGTGGCCAGAGCATCACGACTTTGGAGTACGGTGATGCATCCAAAGTGTCGCGTCTCAAGTGTGAATCTTGCCAACGCTCTTCGATCTCAGTTGGTATCACACAATTCAGAAGATAGATGCTCTATGAAATAGCTCCAGTGGTGAGGTGGGGCATTTCAGATAGCTTCGGCACCTGTCCACGTGCACTCGTAGAACTAGAAGCTTTATTTGGGAGTCGAAAGAGGCTAAATGTGAAATGCCGATAATACCGAAAGAGGACCAGGGTCGACATGGCAACGACATGCATGCCGGGAGCTCTCATGCGAAGGCTTGTGGAAACATGGAGAGTAATGCTCGATGCCAGGTACCATCTGATGTGGGGTTGCTTTACCGGGTAAGTTGGCCGTCTTCTAGAAACAAAAATCAGCCGCTGCAATTCGCACAGCCTGGTTTCGTCGGCTGACGAGACTCACTAAAGAGCCGTATGTCCAATGCGACGTGGTAGAACTCATTTGGTGGTAGATTCGGCGGATTTGAGAACACCATGTGGTGTGGAAGCAAAATAGTGAGTCCTAACGTGGCTATCACGCGCTGACCCTCTCGTGGGTGACAGACTCAGCTACCAAGCATCTACCAACGAAACCACAACACTATCAAGCCTCTAGTCGGAATACCCAAGTAAAAATATCGGAGAATGAAACTATTATGGACGCCATCATGCCCTCAATCCTTCCATGAGAGCACCCTCCTCTCTCTTCCCTACAGCCTGGAAAACGGCTCCTTCCCCACCAATGTCCAGTCCCTTCTCCGCTCTTTCATACGCTTCATCACTCCTGTCCAAAAGAATTTCCAGCTCCTCTTTTCGCAATACGTTGCCGCTTTCCGTGCCTTCGACATCAAACTTCTCGCCGTCGCTTCTTCTTAGCAGTTTTTGTAATTCTTCGACCTCTTGTTCCTTATCGTTCCCCCGTGTTCCGCCCCGATCATTGCGTACTCCGCCTTTTCGAATGACAAGTTTCTCCAGCCGGCGCTTCGCTTCAGCAGATTCGAGGAGTTTCTGCTCGACGGTGTTACGTGTCGCGAAACGGTAGACGATGACATTGCGCGTTTGACCGATACGATGCGCGCGATCCATCGCTTGTAGATCTTGTTGAGGGTTCCAATCGCTGTCAAATAGAATGACCGTATCTGCGGCCGCGAGATTAATGCCCTGGCCACCAGCGCGAGTAGAAAGAATGAAGATGTCGGCAGCTTCTTTGGAAGATGATGGCTTGTTGAAGGCTAGAATCTGGTCCTGACGATCTGTTTGTGCAACTGAACCATCAATACGGGCATAGTTCCATGACCGTAAGTCGAGGTAGTGACCGATAAGATCCAAGGTAGTAGTAAATTGAGAAAATATGAGGACCTTGTGACCGCGACTTATTAGTTCGGGTAGAAGTGAGTCGAGTAGAAGCATCTTGCCGGATGTTGACACGAGTGTTTCATCTGGCTCTGTCTCCGAGGCGAACGTTTCAGCGCCATCTGTATCCGCCTTGATGAAAGGATTGAAAAAATTGTATGGCGAATTGCAGCACAGTCGAAGCTGCATGATGGGGTTACCTAGTTTTTTCTGCATGAGCTGACGTTTTGCTATTTCGAACGTCGCAGCTCGTATCTTCTCGTCCTCGGCGTCGGAACTCAACTCTGCCTCCTCTTCCTCAGATTCTTCTTTGTCCAGTCCGTCGAAATACTCATCATCACTCACTTCTTCGTAGTTCTTCTTCGACCTGCCCCGGCTTCTCGTTGAGGCGACAGAAGCGGGGGTACCTGCACGAGACGTCTTCGTGCTCTTGTTGGGCGTTGCCCTACTACTCAAAGCTTTGCGCTTAAGACCGCCACTAGTACTACAAATACTCAAAGGCGTCCCCGCTCGGCTGCTGAGGCCAATGCTCAGCCTCTCCACAGCCTTCTCTTCGAGATAGGATCGACTGGTGCCGTCAAGGATCGCCTGATACAGCTCGCGTTGCATCGACGTTAACGGCGCGTACAACACATACTCGCGTTTCTTGGGCATCAGGCTTTCGACGTCCGTCTTTACCCGACGCAGTAGGAATGGCTTCAGCACGGCGTGGAGTGACTTCACCAAGTATTGCTGTCGCTCTTCTGATAGTAATTGTTCGAAACTCGACTTGTCTTTCAGCCCAGAAAAGTCGAACCAACTCTCGAATGTAGACAGTTTGTCAAATACTGTTGGCAGAAGGAAATGAAGCAGCGACCACAACTCCACAAGGTTGTTTTGAAGTGGCGTACCAGTAATAAGTAGACGGTTCGCAGACTGGAACTGTTGCAGCTCGCGGATCAGCCGGCAGTCGAGATTCTTGATGCGATGTCCTTCATCGATGATGATGAACTGCCAGCCAAAACTTGTCAGGTACTTGCGATCGTTCATACAGATTTCGTAGCTGGTGACCATGATAGGAAAGTCGGCAGTGCCTGGGTTCCGTAGCCTGGTTTTGCGCAGTCTCTCGCGCTCTTTCTTATCGCCGTGGTATAGCATAACCGGCATGCTGGGTGTCCACTTCTCGAACTCTGCAACCCAATTGCTTGTGGTACTCAACGGCGCAGCAATCAAGAAAGGTCCATATGACTTGTTCTCCCACAAATGTGCGAGCATCGCTATAGTCTGGATGGTTTTGCCCAGTCCCATCTCATCCGCCAGAATGCCATTGATACCGTTGTTGTAGAGTGATACCATCCATTCCAGTCCCTCGAGCTGGTATGACCTCATGGTGCCTCCAGTGACCAGTTTCGGTTGCCGCGCGGATTTGAGGTCTGTCATGCCAATGTCACTTGTTTTCACGTTATCTTTGTCTTCCTCTGCCGACTCTTTCAACGCTTCTCCTACGTCCTGGTGGCCTGCCTTCTTCTCCAAGTCTTCTTTGCTAAAGTAGCTTGAAATATCAGAGGTTTGCTTCTTCGGCCCTCCACGAGTCTTTGTGTCTGACTTTTTCGGCCTCCCTTGGCGTTTCCTCGGTGTCGCATCCTGTTCTTCCTTCTTCGCCGTTGTCGTACCGTTGGCCACAGATCCGCGTGTAGCTCGTCGCTGCGATTCTGCTGCTGTTGTATCGGCGATCTTTTCGCGCTTCGAGGTCTGGCCGTTTGTCTGCTTGTCTTGCGCATTTTCTTGTTCTTCCTGCTGCTGCATCTGTGCGAGCATGACTGATGCGTACAGCTGCAGTACTTGTCAGCGACCATATAGATTGCCATTCAGGTAGACGGACTGACCTTGCTCTTGTTCATCAAGAATTCCAACTGCTGGAACTTCTTGTCTAGAACCTCTCTGCCACTCTTGATGTCTTCCTGTCTCTCCTTCTCGAGTTTGGCCTCACGTCTCGCATCATCGTTTTCGCGTTGCGCCCTCATGCGCTGTTCTTCTTGCTGCATCGACTTTGGCACGCTCTCTGTCTCCATGTCGGCTGGTGGTGGTGATGACGCAGGGGTGGAATGTGATGCAGGCATTACGCTCGTAGCAGGATAAGGAGTCACGTCGCGTATAGTCTAAGGCAGTAGGGAAAGATAGGCTCAGTGTGAGAGAGATGGAATTGAAAGTAGCGCCAGGGGCAGATGGCGATGACCGCATTCGACGGGACGCGGTCGCGATGAAAGGCGAGGACGCGCTAAGCGAAGAATCGATGACGAATGTCGCGACGCGCGATCACGCCTGAACTTTAAATTACTCCCATCCCGACGCGTTTGCGTCATGTCCCTGGTTACACCACAACGCGACACGATTACCGTATCCAGCGTACATGTACCTGTAGGCACTCTATTAGAGCTTCAGGCGATAGAACACAGCATCGTTCGGGTTCTCGTAATAGCTATCGACCTCTTCAAATCCATAGCCCTCATATATCTTTCTCGCAGTCGTCATGTTTCGTAGCGTATCGAGCAGCATCTCCTTGTAACCCAGCTTTCTCGCGTGCGAGATGGCAACTTCCATCAATGGCTTGCTAAGACCCAGACCCCGCGTTTCTGGTGCAAGATAGAGTCGCTTGAGCTCGCATGTTTTGGTAGGCGGTGATGTTGAATGTGCTAGCAATGTCGCAGATGCAGTGGTGGTAGGCGTCGTAAAGAATGGTCGGATAGCTATGCATCCTATAGCCTGTTCATCCTGTCTTGCGGTGCTGAAGCCGGCCTTCTTGCCTTCAGTCGGCATTGCCGCGGCGTCTCCGTTTCCTGCTGAGGAGCATAGTAGCCACAGCGCCCCTCCTTTTTCCGATGCATACTTTCCAGGTAATTCCGCCAGTTCGTGGTCGAAGTTCTGGAAGTCGAGGCTGACAGGCAATGACTGTGCGTATGCTTTGAAGAGCTGCCCCACTACCTCCTTGTCACCCGGGAATTCAGCATCGCGTATCTGAATGTTCGGAAACTTTGACATGTCGAGTTACTTGAAGTTTTAAATTTCTAGTGGGTAACGCAGTCTGGTTGGATAACTCGAGATCGAGGATACAGTTGGTGGGTTCTAGTTTTGCAGCGTGGCTTGACTCACTTCATAAGTAGATGTGCCCTGCGAGATGTCTTTGTCGAAGGGCGCAGTTCTAGGCTGCCGTAGCCGGACTAATCCCCCCACATGGGTTGGGTGGGACTGATGTTCTGGTGGTTTCGGTACAGGTGGAGCAGCATCCATGAATGTAACCCTGCACCCACTTCAGCCAGACTCGTTTGTATCGCACTATATAATCATATCTATCTCAATTTATTTCATCAAAGTCACGTGTTGGTCCTGTGGTAAGTTCACAGCAATCATTCACAGTCAACAAAACATCTAATAAGACTCAGGTCTAGTGGTATGATGTACGTATTACTCAGTCTCAAGACAATTCTTCATCATCTAACATCTTCCTAGTCTCGCTTAGGGTAAACCCGAGCATAGTTTGCGAGAGGCCCCGCGTTCGAGTCGCGGCAGGACCCAATATCTTTTTTTGCCTTTCTAGAGGTCATTGGATGTAACACTGATATCTCTTTTTGCCCGGGCAGCATAGAGTATCCAAGCAGCTTGCTCTGCTGTAACGCGGCTATAATTCACAGTCAGCCTTACCGTACGACAAACTGTCACCACGCTACCAATAGAGCTCGCGAGGAGCGTCTCTTTTAAAGTTAATCAACGGACCGCATCCTTGTCGCTTCCTCTGCGCTTACGAGAGATCACTTGCCCCGTCACTATCTGGCTAGCGAAGCACTTTGTAGCCTCTGATAATATCTTAATCTCTTCCACGCCCACTCTGTCTTCTGGACCACCCGCCGTCCTTAGAAAGTCTTACTTACATTCGCGCGCATATATAGCTATTCTCACACTCTTGAATGTCGACGTGCCGTCCTGTTGCCTGTTTTACCGTTTTCCCATAGCACCCCTCATACAATGACTATCCGGCTTGCAACACCCTCTGACGAGCCCGCCATGGCATCTCTCTTGACCAAAGCATTCTTCGACGAGTCGCTCTTTGGCCAGGTTATGCATCCGTACCGCGACCAGTATCCGGATGATGTCAAGATATTCTGGTCAGAGTACCTGCGAAAACACTGGAAGATAACCAACGAAAGACTGTTTGTCGCAACGACAACGGTAGATGGACGGGAAAAAGTTGCCGGCGTAGCTATCTGGCGCCGAGACGGCGACGACGAAGGGAAGCGTAGAGTGGAGAGCGAGTGGGTTGATGTCGGTAAGTGCCTTTGTAATACATCTAATCAGACAAGTATGCTGACGGCTCTACAGGCACAGATGTCTTCCAGCCCCTTCCCTCAACCCAGAATCGTGCTCTAGATCCTAGCAAGCGTAACCTTTTGAACGATTCCTATCCCTTCTTTAAGCATCACTGGGACGGTGACCGCAGAAACAACTGGTATCTCGATCTATGTGGAGTTCATCCAGACTATGCCGGCAAGAGGCTCGGACAAGCACTGGTCGGTTGGGGCCTCGATCGCACGAGAGAAGAGGGCGTCCATGCGAGTGTCACAGCTAGTAAAGGAAACGAACGGTTCTATTTGCGATGTGGGTTTGATGAGGTAGTAGGAAATTGTACGCAAGGAGAAGGCAACCCGTTGAGCAAGGCCGGAGTTGAAGGTGGTGATGTACTGTTCATGTTTCCCAAACAGAAGCCGTAAGATGTATGCACGTAAGGGCAAAACCGCTTCAAGCACCAGCCAGTACCCATACTTCGCATAGCCTCTTTCGGCGCGTTTATTTTATAATGTCCGACATTGCATCAAGACATGCCGCGATATTACCAAGCCGTTGCTCGGTCCGACGTATTGGCACATTACTCGCTAGTGAAGCGACCAACCTCACCAGCCAATCAGCGAGACCACCAAATTGTACCGAACAATCTCCCGGTGCCTTTGCGGGGAAGTACTTGCGCGCTTTCTTACTATCGTCGTCATTGTGCGGGTAAGCACGAGTAAGTAGCATCATGTTCCAGCAATTAAGAACGGCACCGCAAGTCGAAATTTTCTGGAAGTACTTCATTCGTTCGAGCATTTTGCGGCCATGAAGCGCTCATCAACCGTTCTGGCGTCTCTTGCAGCACTGACGACAAGCCATATTATCCCTCGTCAAGAATCCATCGACTACAATGCAGCTCCGCCAAATCTGTCCACCTTAGCCAATTCGACTCTCTTCGATACATGGCGGCCAAAGGCACACGTTCTTCCAGCGTTTGGACAAATCGGAGATCCATGTATGCACTACACCGATCCCGAAACTGGTCTCTTCCACGTAGGATACCTACATTTGGGAGCATCAGGTGCTACTACAGACAACCTAGTCACTTACAGGGACGTGAATCCCGATTCGGAGCCGTTCATTCGTGCAGGCGGCATCAATGACCCCGTCGCTGTCTTTGACGGCAGTGTTATTGAGAGAGGAGTTAATGGCACACCGACGTTGCTATACACCAGCGTCAGCTTTCTACCCATACAATGGACAATTCGGTACACCCAAGGAAGCGAGACGCAATCGCTCGCGTTCGCTAGAGACGGTGGAAGCAACTTCACAAAAGCAGAATTTGGTCCGGTTATCCCCAGTCCACCATTCGCTGTCAACGTCACGGGATTCCGCGATCCATTCGTGTTTCAGAACTCGCAGGTTGATGGCTTGTTGGGTAAGCGGAACGGAACATGGTATACAGTCATTTCTGGCGGCGTACATGGCAAAGGCCCAAGTCTCTTCTTGTACGCCCAATATGATGATGAAGATGCGGATTTGTTCCAGACGTGGGAGTATTTGGGTGAATGGTGGCACGAAGCAGCAAACTCGACATGGTCACAGACGGGCTGGGCTGGGCGCTGGGGCTTCAACTTTGAAGTCGCCAACTACTTCGCCCTGGATGAGCAAGGTGCTAATGAGGAAGGCGAGATCTTCGCCACAATCGGCGCGGAATGGAGCTACGAACCCATTGTACCTCAAGTTTCGGACAACAGGGAGATGCTTTGGGTCGCTGGAAAGCAAGAGCTTGTCGATGGTCAACTGAAGTTCGAGCCTACAATGTCCGGACGACTCGATGCTGGGCGCTCAGCTTACGCAGCGGCAGGTAAAGTCTTATATGCAGACTCGCAAGCTAGCAAAGCAAGTGGCGCGCCTGATCGCTTCATCACATATCTCTGGTTGACTGGCGACTTCTATGGCACCTTGACTGACGAATTCCCGACTGCCCAGCAAAACTGGACAGGATCACTATTACTCCCGCGTGAGCTTAGCGTCGGCCGCTTGAATGTTGTCGACAACCAGCTCTCCCGAGAGAAGGGTTCTTGGCGTGTAGATCAGGAACACGACAACGGTACCGTTACCCTCGCCACTCTACACCAAAAGATCGCTCGTGAACCCTACGCCGCATTCCAAGACAACGCCACCAATGTCATTACGCAAACGGGTGGATCCATGGCGAGCGTGATGAAATTCGATGAAAGCCCAAAGTCAAAGCACTGGATGATGACTGCATCGATAACCTTCCCCTCGCGCTCTGACTCCCTGCGAGCTGGCTTCACCATCCTTTCTGGTTCCCAGGAATCTACCAATATCTACTACCAGTTCGGTAATGAGAGTCTTATCATCGATCGTTCAAACTCTTCTGCCGCGGCGCAGACTACGGATGGGTTCCTCACCGAGGTTGAGACGGGCAAGTTCCGCTTGTTCGATGTTGCGGGTGGATATGGAAATGAGACAAAGGTTGAGACTTTGGATTTGACGATTGTGGTCGACGGTGGTGTTGTTGAGGTGCATGCGAACGATCGATTTGCGATCAGTACTTGGGTGAGGAGCTGGTACGCGGATAGCAGAGACATTAGTTTCTACGTCGAGGGTAGCGATGCTACCTTCAGCAATGTGACGATTTACGAGGGTTTGGTTGATGCATGGCCGGAGCGAAACTAGAAGGTATTGCCGATAGTGAAGTATGTAGTTTGTAGAATGTACACTAGAATCGCTCAATCGATACGTATATCAATCCACCTCTTCCAATTAAACATCCTCGAACAGTCATAAACTAGAGGGTATTCCTGTTGGTATATTCGACTGGTCCAACATACATCTTCCGGCCCTGAACAACAAAGTAAACCAGGGAAAAGATCACAACAACCCCGTAGATAAGCACGTTCCAGTTCATCAAATCGGGAGTAGGAGAAGGAAACGTTGGGAAGAAGGCAAACAATAGTGCCACGCAGAGGTAAAGAACAGAAATGCTATTGATCCAGATACTAGTCTTTCCTAAGCTAAAGTGGCAAGGCAGTAAGGTCTCGTTCCTCTATCTTTTAAGAAAGATGCAGGAGATAGAAATGATGTAGGACGACAACATAGCACATGTACTGAGTAAAGCGATACTGTTGAACGCTACGGTACTGCTAATATTAATTAAGGAGAGAAGGATTAAAAATACAAAAGACAAAACCACAGAATTAAAGGGTATGTCCTAACTAGGCTGCACTCGCAAAAGGAACGCTCTAAAGGGGACGCTATAGTTGTGTGCGAAAGCGAACAACTGCCTTAAACACGTTGCAACGTTGTTTACACACCTAAATATTGCTATAATAACAATTATAGACGCGAGGACTGTGGTGCTAGTAGTTGATTAGGTAACATTATACATGATTTGTATATGCGGTTAGCTAGTTAGAGTTGAAAGCACACTCTCTACATCCCTAAGACTAAAGCAGAAGACGATTAGCATTAGGAAACCTAGACTGCTGTTTACAATTGCTGTCTAAATTATAGCTCTTAGTAGCGTCCTAGATGTATCCTAAAGCTCCTTGCTTATGTAGGTTGCTGTGTCTGATCTAAGTAGTGTAAATATAGGAGCGAGTTAGCTAATTAGACAGGATAGACCTATGTTACCTTACCTAGCATTATCCTAGAAAGACCTAAATACTTAGCTAGGCTTGCTGTGCGTTCTAAGAGCCTACATAATAGTGAAGATAGCAATAAAGCTAAATATGTGGAGGACTAGCACTGTGGCTTCAACAAGGGGAAGTTTGCGTGCGAGAAGCGTGTTGAACAGTATAGCAAAGCTCGCGACTGCAACAATGAGGAGTGTACTGTGCCAACGTTCTGGAACGTAGTTGTTGTTGTTTAGAATGATCAAGCCTTGGATTTGGCCGCCAGCTAGGAAAGCAACGGAGGCGATACCTGTTTGCCAGCCAAGAACACACAACCAGCCTAAAAGTATCGTTAGACCACTAAAGTGTATCGATTCCCAAGGCATGATACTGACCGACAACATAGCTCAGGAACCTCTGGTGCTCTCGAGGTGCAAACTCAGAGACCCAGTGATATTGACCGCCTGACGTGGGGGCCATGGAAGCCATCTCAGCCATAGATGCGATGACAAAACCCATACCAACTGCAGTTCCGAGAAAGACGAATATCGCACCGCCAGTACCGCCGTTCGTCAATGGTATGGTCAAAGTACTAACAACCATCAGTTTGTAGCCACCACGCGACTCAATACATGTCTCACGTTAACACAGTCTCCCATGTAGACATTAAGATCATCGAGTATCCAAAGATGGAAACGAAACGGAAGTTCCGGCGCAATTCTTGCGTTTTTCCCATTCTATGCATGTCTTTCTGGTCTTCGGCTGTTCCTATCTTCTCAGCTGTGGAAGTGGCATTTTGTGGCTCGCTGTCGCGAAGTTGCACGTCGGTGTTGGTTTTAATTGTGGTCATCTTGTCATAAGTTATAACGAGTGTAGTAAGCATATGAAAAAGTCCGACGTCGTACTACGTGAGCGCGAATGACTGGAGAGTCGACAGTAAGAGATTTATGGAAAGTCGACATATTCCAGGATGCCTCTGATCAACTATGAGTTAACCCTGAGCATGCAGTGCGTGTTGCCCGCAAACCAGGATACTGCATATTGCATGTACCACCAAACTGCTCTTGGCTACACGCACGCATGCCTGGTTTTGACATGTCAAATCAAAATAGTCATATAAGACGGTCGAGACGCTTCAAGAGGAAGCTGGTCAAAGACTGGTGGGTCGCTCTGCGCGGTTGATTGCACGCTGCGACCGTTCCCTTGCATGGTAAGCGAAGCGAGAACTGCCACAGGGCTCGAAGCTGCCAGAATATCGTGACAGCCTCGTATATTCAATCCTGGGTCGCACGACTAGTCACGGTGCAGGTGAAGTGAGACAGGAGGAAGCTTAGAATATGTCGAGTGGGTGGGGAAGTTACGTCAGCGCTGTCGGGCGCCTCCTTTTGGCTAGCGACTGCCGCGGATGAGAAGGCGCGGTGGCGCGCTCCCACTCCCATGTGGTCAACGGGGTACCCAGCCATAGCAAGCTCGCCATGAAGTGTATTGCGCCTGGTCTGAAACCACCAATATCTTCTTCTTTAGGGTGTCTCGTTTGGTTGCTCTAGGAATTGCGAGAGATCTCATCCGGCCTGCAACTCCCCGATTGAGCGTATTGCTGCCTGGGCTCGCGCCTGCCTCAGACGCGCCTCTAATAAACCGCACTATCGTGTCATCATTCACTGTGCCAGAAGCAATTCCTTCGGCCCGGATCCACAAAGCCCTGCCCTTCGCGCCGTCTGCTCCTAACAAGACACGCTCCCCTCAACACCCCGCCTACGGGTCCCAAACGAGAACCATGGCGACAATACGCGAAGAAAAGACTCTGTCTGACCTCCCCAACGGGCACATGCGCAACCAACACGAATACTCGTACCGCCTCCCCACAGCCCCCCGCATTGTGGTTCCCCCTCCCACGCTCACGACCGACATGCCAGGTCTGTCTCTTGGTGGCACACCTGGAGGCGATGTAGACATGAGCTTCTTGAACGAGTTGGACCTCGAGGACATCATACAGAAGAACACGCTGCTAGAATGGGCATACGAGCGACGGAGACAGGCACAAATGATACTGCCGTGGGTCTATCTTGGTCCTATGGTGGCAGCCAGGGACAAGGCTTTTCTAGAGCGAGAGGGCATCACCATGGTACTGGCTGTTCGTGCCCAGGCCAACAGCATGTCGGGCGCCATGCAAGCTGCTACCCAGGTATGCATGGAGGTGGGCAGCATCGAGTCTCCCAGTTTCTACAGCCTCACGCCCAGGTTCCCGGACGCGACGAGCATGATCAACTCGCACATCGCACGGGTACGACAACACAGCTTGGAGACAACAGGGCAGGCCACTCTCGGAAAAGTGTTAGTCTTCTGCGAGTCTGGCAATGAGAAGTCAGCTGCCGTGGTCGCAGCCTATCTGATGCAGACGCTCAACAACATCGATTACATCAAGGCTATGCAAGTCTGTCAAGCGCAGCGCTTCTGCGTTAATTTCGACGATGTCTTGAAGAATATCCTACGCTCCTATTGGGATATTCTCCTTGCCCGACGCTCCATCGCCGCCTCTTACGCGCAAGCGCCACACCAGAATGGTCTTAGTAACGGCTCTGCACAGCCTGCATCACTGTCCCTTTCCTTCTCGTCAAGTAAGCAAAAGCGAGGTATTGAAGATACAAGGGATGGCGACGACGATACGAACATGGAAGATGGCATGGATGCGTCGGATGTGCTCCGGTTTACGGGGCGCGACGTTACTCCTTTCCAAGACCGGTAGACATAATCCTCTGGCAGTTGGCGATTTCGTTGATTTTGTATCAGGCGTTCACTAGCATTATACCCTGCATGATTCAAGGCGTTATCAAGCGGTGCTTGGCATCAGAAGGCTTACTCATATCCGTAGTATCGCTGGGCACTCCCATGGAACGGGTAAGCACATCGGCCTTTTCATTCAGGCTACCCAAAACCTTGGCCAGTAGCCGCAACTGGTTCTGTCTCTTCTAAAACATTTTACGCTCTACCTTTCCTTGCATTTTCTCCTTCAATCAGTGCTCCTGCGAAATCTATATGACTGCGTCCTCCTAGACGGCTTTGCTTGCCCTGAGCCGATGACGTGACTTCGTAAATGACACATGGGACGATTGTGGGCACCTGCTTAGGCTATCCTTCTCTGGTACGTGGCTTCTGCAGAACAAAGATGCTATCTAATAGGCAAGCAGGTTCGTTCTCATGCTGAGGTGATTATGGATGAGCTACTCGTGACTTCTGCGATTCAAACAATAGCCATAAGAATAGGTGCTCTCGACTGAGAAGCTTTGACTATCGCAGTGACTGCACCAGGTGCAGAAAACATTTGCTCCGCTGTAATAGCCTCTTGGTCAGAGTAAGATCCCAGGACTAATCGCCTCAGAGTGGTAATTGGGGTACAACCTCTAAACGAGCTTCTAGTGACTATAGCGTCGCTAAGACGCGTATTGTTCACCGGATGCATTCTCAATATTGCTGTCGCGTCAGTGGTCACTGACATTCACTTGACCTCTAGAGGTCGCCGTTACTCGCTAAACGCACGGTAGTCACGATGCGGTGCCTTCGGATTGGATAGGTAGCAGATACAGTCTTTTCCACGGATCTCACATACCAGAGACCCGCAATCTTTCTCGTTTATGACGGACTACAGAGTATCGGTACCCAATCAACGCTTACACCAAATCATTACAGTCTCAAGAAATGCCATACGAGCTTCGACCCGAGGCCAAGTTGAAACGACCAGCACGTTATGATGAGTCGGACGACTCAGATCTCAGCGGTTCGCCAGAACCAAAGTCTGAGAATCGAGATTCGGTCATCGATTCACAAGTGTCTCCACCCCCAAATACGTTGACTGCGACCCCCGGCGCACCAAAACCTTTGATTCTCCCCACAGGCGCGCCTCACCTCTCACCAAACCCATCGCCAGAGAAGGACAAGCCTGAAGTACCCCGTGCCACAATCCCAAACACAAGTGATCCCCGGGGGCCTCTAAAGTCTCGTGGGATGGCCCACGTTAAGTATGTTAAGAAACCCAGTCGCGAGAATGCCTCGCCAGAGACTAAACGCGCGAGACACTTCAACAAGACCGCCAAGCGCATAGCAACATCCCTGGAGGATGGACATTCGCCTGCATTCTCCGCACCTAGACCAGCAGCGTTCCCCTCGCTGACGGACAATGCCCCACCATCGCTTCCGGTTGCGATAGAACTCACCAAGCATGGCATGAGAGAGCTGGTGGAGGCTATGGACGCCGAAGATTATGAACGAGTACGAAAGATCAAACGCCAGTTCGCAGCCAAATATGAGGCGGACACAAGCGTCTGGTACGATAGTTTGAGGAAAAATTGGCCTACCGCAGTCACATTTCCTACGGCATGGCACTCCCAATCCAAACATCTCTCACCATACTAATGATGCAGGTGACCTTTGAAGAGCTATGGCCGTCAATACGCCAGGAAATCATCGAACGGATCCTTGACGACTTCGCGCAGAAGAACTATCCATCCCCGTTTTACCCAGTATGTCGCATCTTAGATATCACCAAGGAGAGACTAGATGCGATCATGGCTGAGAACGCCAGAGTCTGGACCGACGACGAAATTCCACCATATTTCAAAGAGTACAGAAGGCGGTATCCTAAAGCCATCGTCGACCCCGACGAGCCTCCACCTCAGTGTGTTGTTGAAGCGATTGCATTCTTGAAGCAAAACAGTCTTCCGGGTAGTTTGTTGGGCGAGTGGCAGACTATGCCGGCAGTCGAAGTATTCAACAACCCAGCCCCGTTTTACCTCCCCACCAAGAAAGTTAGTAATGAATTGTAGAAGTCTTTGGAGTCGCATACGGGCTACATAGCAAAATCGATAGAGCCTTTTGTTCCTGCTCGTCTTCCCCGTCAGTCCAAACGTGAGCATCCTGACACAATTTCTTCTCAGGAAGCCTTTGAACTGTTACGGCGTAGTTCGCAGGATGCTCAAAATCAAGCCAGTCGAAAGCAGCGAGACGACAAGAAGCTGCCGCCACCGCAATGCCGTGTTTGTGGACAGACAGGCCACATTTATTGGAAACTCGATAAGAATGGAGTGCACGAGGTAAGTACTCCCGTTCCCAGACGTGTTACGAGAGAGCCGAAGAGAGTACCCTAAAGCTATACATTTGTTGTAATCTGCAAGTGCAATAACAAAGAGTACAGCGAATACTCTCAGGGTACCTGTTCCACCGCATGCGTCCATCTCATAACAGCCGAATGTTTTCGCAATGTCAAGATATACAAGTGACTAGCTAACACCGTCACAAGTGCCCTCGGCGTCGACAACAAGTTGCCCAGCACAACGCTGAACTTGAGATCCTCCGCGCGCAAGCATCCTCCGAAATCAAAGCCTTCAAGGAACGAGACTTCGCAATGAAGAACATCACTCCCAACTGTTCACTGTCAGAATCTACTCCCATAGATGCCGCCCCGTACCTCGAAGCCTGGCAAGCGAATAGAGCAAACCCAAATCTACACTCCCATCTTCAGCAGCCGGCAGCTTTACCCGAAGACGGCCGAGCCAAGTATATCAACCAGTTACAGACGGATAATCTGTCGCATCCAGGGTGGGTACGAAATCAACTTACAAACCGCCGGTCGACTCTTACCAGTCAAATGTCAACTTCACACGTGGCTGGCAAGCGAATGAATCCGCCCAATCTACCACCAAGACCACAAACCTCGAACTCCTCCGCAAACCCTCTAATCTGGCCTAATTCCCGGTGCCTGGCTCGCAGGCAAGGAACCAGACTCCATCCACAATCTGCTACATCCCAGATACCCAAGAAGCGCGGTCCGTACAAGAAGAAAGAGGGGAAAGAGGGGCAAAATAGTATTACGCCACCTAACAGAGTAGTGGGAAGAGACGGTATGGTCTTTCTGAGTAGTCCGAAACAAGCGCAGGATGAGATGGTGTCCCAGAAACGGGGTGGGGGTGCAGATGCGACAGTTGAGACAGGATTAGTGACGCCGCCAATGGAGCAGCCGCAGCCGTCAACACCTTCTTCGACCTCGACATGTAAGGTTGGGGAGACATACACAGTGCAGAAGAATGTAGGGGCGACGAAGGAGGTAAAAATGCTGCGGCATTCTACTATACCACCAGTACCACCAGTATCTGAGACAAATGCGGCATCTGCGATGGAGAGCAATGGGGCCAATGCTACGGTACTGCCTCGATAGCCGTACCAGGCTTCTCCTGCACAAAAGTCGAAAGGTGTGCCTTCGTTAAAGGAAATGGCAAGAGCGGTCATGGACCAGCGACAAGTTAATGGAGGGAAAGAAAAGGTCCCGACGATGGATACTGCACAGTAGTTGAGGAGAGGATGGTACTACACTTCTTTTTGGACAGAAAGAATGCTTTGATAGCGTATTGTTGATGTTTTGAGCGCCTCTGCTCCACCATAATGTCTAATACTCGAATCATCTTTACCAAGCATTCCGTGTGTGTTCATTGTGGGCGATGACTTCTCAGGTGGAGACAAGAGTTGATTGGCGCTAGGTTCAGCGTTCCTGCATGGCTTGGCAGACGTTGTGCGGGCGGTCATTCGATCTCGCGTCATCCCGAAACCAGCTTTCGGCGGAATTTTGCGGGCCTCCAAGCAGGTTGTCTGCTCCGTCATGCTTAACGCATTTGCATGAGCCCAGGTGGGCTTTTCGCACTTTCCCATGTGACTGACTTGCACGGCTCCATCATCACAAATAATTCCTTCCTTTTGCCCCCAACTTGCGCATGGCAGGCTACAGGAACACGCGCAATCTGGGCCAGCTCTGGCTGCGGGGGACGCGTCGTGGGTAAGCTAGGATATCACGGCATTATATCCCCATGCTAATAGCACAAGCCTACACACGAAGCGTCCACTCTCCCACCGATCCAAAGCTGCTACACTCGGTCTGCAATATGGCCCCCCATGCCTCCTCGCGACTGCCGCGACGTGCTATCTCACGTCGGAATCGTCGCCAATCCCCCTGTTCCGCCCCATCCATCTGGATTCGCCCTCTCTCAAGCGGTACTTCTTCGGCGGCAGCGACGACAAGCAAACCGAAACCACGTCAGTAGGCGACGCTGAGAGGCAGGTAAACAAAGACGATGCCGAGAAGTCGGGCCAGCAAGATCCGCCATCGCAGAAACGTGTTGCCAAGGGCTACAGCGAAGAGGATGAGGACGCCGGCGAGAGCCAGTCCGCCTGGCAGACCATAACGGCCAAGTTCCCGGCCTCGCCATCTCCTTCGAAGCTCGGCGACACCATCATTGACTACATTGTGCCCAATTGGGTCAAAGTCCTGCCTGGTTTCATTCGAAAACTCCAGAATGAACTCTCAATGGCGCCGGGCTCCCTTGCCGAAGAGATCTGGTACCAAGCCAACGACCCCGAGATCAACCCAGAGATCATATGGGATGCCTCGGTGAGGGTCTCCAACGAGCTGTGTGATGAAGAGAAGGCATTTCTGAAGAAGAGGGCGCAATTCACCAAGGCTGCACTTGCGCGATATCTCGACATCCCAGAAGCCCAGATACACCCCGATGATGTACCCGTCATTGCCATGTGCGGTTCTGGTGGAGGTCTGCGAGCGCTCGTGGCAGGTACATCGTCGTACCTCTCTTCGAAAGAACACGGTCTCTTCGACTGTGTCACCTACACGGCGGGCGTCAGTGGCAGCTGCTGGCTGCAGACCCTCTATTACTCAGATCTCACCCAACGCAGTCACGCTCGCATCATTAGACATCTTAAGAACCGCCTCGGCGTGCACATTGCTTTCCCACCTGATGCCCTAGAACTGCTCGTCAGCGCGCCAACCAATAAATATCTCTTGAGTGGGCTTGTGGAGAAGGCCAAGGGCATCCCAGATGCTGATTTTGGTCTGGTGGACATCTATGGCGCATTGCTTGCCGCTCGTCTACTTGTACCGAAGGGTGAACTTTCCGTCAGCGAATACGACTTCAAGGTGTCGAACCAGCGACGATTCACTGACAACGGCTCGCATCCCCTGCCCATCTACACCGCAGTACGACACGAAATCCCATTGGCCGAACAAACAGATACAGACGTCATCGCTGCAGAAGCAAAAGCGAGAAGGGAGGCCTGGTTTCAATGGTTCGAGTTTACGCCATACGAGATGTGGTGTGAGGAGATCTCAGCTGGCATACCTACCTGGGCAATGGGTCGTCGGTTTGAAAACGGACGCACAGTCTGGCGGGACAATGGCCTGGCTTTGCCTGAAGTGCGCGTCCCCTTGCTGATGGGCATCTGGGGATCTGCCTTTTGTGCAACCCTGTCACACTATTATCGAGAGATCCGACCCCTCATGCGCAGTCTCACCGGTCTCGGGGGCAGTATCGACGCCATGATCTCCGAGCGCGATGATGATCTTGTCAAAGTTCACCCCATTGACCCCGCCGCCATGCCCAACTACGCTCTCGGCATGCGTGAATTCCTGCCTGCATCGTGCCCTGAGAGCATTTTCGAGCAAAAGAACTTTCAATTCATGGACGCAGGAATGTCAAACAACCTACCCATCTACCCGCTTCTCCGACCTGGACGTAATGTTGACATTCTCGTCGCCTTTGATGCCTCGGCCGATGTCAAGACTGACAACTGGTTGAAGGTAGCAGATGGGTATGCTCGCCAGCGTGGTATCAAAGGCTGGCCTGTTGGTGCAGGGTGGCCACCCGATGATGAATCCATGGAAGACCTGCAAAAAGATCTCGATCGCGCCCAAGCAAAATCTGAGCAGCAAGCTCAAGAAAAGCTCGAAGAAGCCAAGGATAAGAGTACCGAAGACAAGAAAGGCGGCAAGAAGAGTAAAGATTTAGGCTACTGCAACATCTGGGTTGGCACTACTGAAGAACGCACTTCCGATTCCGCACACCCTGAACCGAAACAAGTAGACGAAGACTGGGAGCTCATGCATCCTGAATCTGGCATCACTGTCGTCTACTTCCCTTTCCTTGCCAACCCAAAAGTACCCGGCGTCGACCCAAAGGTCAGTGACTTCATGTCAACGTGGAACTTTGTCTACACACCCGAGCAAATCGACAGTGTCGTGAACCTCGCTCGCGCCAATTACAGCGAAGGCGCTGAACGTACAAAACGCACTGTCCGCGCTGTATACGAACGCAAGAAAGCACAAAGAGAGCAGAGAGAAAAGGACGAGCGGGAACGACGATGGCGATGGAAGTTGAGCCAAGGAAGGATAGCTGGTCGTCGTGTCGGAGGTGAGAGTGAGCATGGTGATCAGTTCAGCTAAGTGAGGGCTGTGTAACACATGATGGATGAGGTGATGACATGGAGTTGGAGGAGGCTTTTAGGCTTTTGGAAACGATAGAGGACGCATTATACCCACTTGGATCAAGAATGAAAATATTCACATTTTACGTATACTTCAGCGCCTTCGACATTAGTGTCGAGGATGCTTAAGGTCGCTTCTTGGACAGTGGAGATGAGCATATCGAGAAGAAGATCAAGCGTGAAGATACGGAAGACAAGACACCGGCCGGAATACCACCTGTCCCCAAGCCGCCGACCGCTTCAGTCCCTATTCTGCGGAATGAGAATTGGACCCAGTTCAGCGAGGTGCTTGGTGGTATCTAGCCTGGGCGTTAATGTTTAGCTACAGTCTCCGGTCAAACACATGGACCACAGTCATTGGCGGAATGTGGTTTCAGCTCTGATTTCGATGTGCTTATCTGGCATTGCTTCTTCGAAATTGCTTCTTCTTCGCATTTCCCACAAGTCTCAAGTTCAACATGGTCTTATTTTACGACCCGAAAGATCTAGCTTTGAGCTTTACTCAACTTTCATTGTACTAAGGAAAGGCAAAACACTGGATGCATCTTTCACATACAGAATGCAAACCCCTTCAAGCGTCTGTATATCTAAATAACCTAGTGAATCTTCAATCGCATACCCCTGTATAATCTGCCTCTGTGACTGCATGCGCCACCGTGATATCCCAAATACTAAGGCGCACACGCGTCGTCGAAACATAGGTGACACGGAGACAGCGGGATCGTGGTGACAAGCAACGCTGATTAGCGCATATTAACCACCGCGAAGAACGTCATCCGAGGCTATGAGAGACAAGATGTAGCTTTGCTGCGGCGTAGCTCTGGATCCGGCAATCACATATTATGTTCAAGTACGATGAGTATCTGGAGTGGGTGTTCATCGTAAAGCGAATCGTGTCGAGACGATCTACACTGGACCCCGGTGGGTCTTAGCGTTGCCTCCGCGACAGCTCTCCGCAAGCATCCCCTCACACATCATTCAACACCAGGGTATAGCATTGCCTAATTGGTTATCCATTCATTGGTACCATTATATGCTGTACTTCATGTTCGCTTCATTCTTACTCACCCGCTTCATATAATTGAGGTCGCCCTCGCCGCCGTCCACGCGTACACGTAGGCCTCAAGGCAGTTGCGCATCGGCCCAGCAGTCGCCATGGTCGCCCCTCGCAAAGCTGCACTCCTCGAGGAGAGCGCGGAAGTCGAAGTGCTCTTCGCCAACATGGAAAAGATGAAGACACTCACAAAGAAGATCCAAGGCTCTGTCAATAGACTAGACGCGAGCGGAAAGGCAGTCCAGGAAGCAATCGGCCCAATCTACGGCAACACCCAGAAGCTGCAGATAGCCAACACGAATGTCGATCGTATAATAGACGCAATTGAACGACTCCGAGCTCCACGAGAAGAGAGTGCAAAGGAAGAGAGGATTATTCGCGCTGGACCTGGACGGGGAGATCTTGACGGTTACATTGCTTCCCTCGACCGCACGAACATGAGCCTTGCAGATCTCAAGCGTACCAATCTTCGCTCCAACGAACAGGCTGTCGCAGAGCTCAGCGGGCTCTTGAAAATGGGTAACAAGCAGTTGGAGGATGTGTTCCGCAGCATATTGCAAGACAGCGCCCGAGAGAAGGTCCAGGCATTGGAATTTGTTGCGAAGCGTACGTCATTCGTGTCTTGTGATTATGGAGATACTAACATGGCACAGAAAATCCGTTCCCTCGCATACCTCAAGATAAGCTTCAGAGCCTACGCAGCATCAATTCGCATATCTCCAAATCATTCGCCCAATTATCGCAGATCGATCTCTCACAAACTCCCACACGCCGAATATACGCAGACGTCCGGGGTGAATACCTAGAGAGCACATTGAGGAGTCTCATGCAGGCGACCATAAGCACAGCCCGGAAGGTGCAGGCAGATGCGCTGTACAAGAAGGGTACTAATGGTATCGGGACATACGTGCAGGCGATAGAGGGTCTATTTGTGGCAGAGTTTGATAACTTGAACTACGTCTTTGACAGGGAGGAATGGAGCGACGTCTATGAGTCAACGTGCCAGGTCCCGCTGCAGGACTTTACGAAAACGCTGCGCGAATTGAACGGGCATATTCAGAAGAACCTGTTGACAGACTGCTTCCTTGGATTTGAGATCTGCGGCATGGTCCGGACGCTATCGATGCGACTTCAAAAGCAGACGGGAGCGCTGAAGGACCAGATCTATGACAGCGTGAAGCCGGTTCGTGAGACGTCGAAAATGTCATTGAGCAAGATGTTGGAAGACACGAGGTCGAAAACACAGGCTCTCATCGCCGTTCCTATCGATGGTGGTCCTGTCGACATTACAACGCAGACGATGCGACGCCTGCAAGAGATGACTAACTACCTCGAACCTCTCGCGTCGATATTGGCATCGTTAGGAGAGGGTGGCTGGAACTCGGGGACAGCTAATAACTCCTCCACGGCTCTGGACGTTGGACCGGACGGCGTAAAGTTGTTCGGGTCCTATGCAGCCGATACCGTTGACACACTACTGCAGAATTTGATTGGAAAAGCAAAGATGTTGTTGAAGGGCAAGAATTTACAGGGTATCTTCATGGCAAACAACGTCGCCATCATCACGCGCATCATTCGCTCTTCGGAACTCGCACCACTCATGGACGACTACTCCAAGAAGCTTGCCGACTGGCGTAAGCAAGGTACAGCCATGTACCTTGAAGCGTGGCGTGAGCCATCAGGGTATCTACTGGATGTGCAGTACACAAACCGTAGCAAGGAGCGACCAACATCAGGCGGTGCAGATTCGGCAGCTATCGTGAAGTCTCTTAGCTCGAAAGACAAGGATGCGATCAAAGAAAAGTTCAAGAACTTCAATACAAGCTTCGACGACCTTGTCACACGGCACAAGTCGTACGCAATGGAACCCGAAGTGCGGAACCAGCTTTCCAAGGAGGTACAGAACATCATTGAGCCACTGTACAATAGGTTCTACGACCGCTACCGGGAGATCGACAAGGGAAAGGGCAAGTACGTTAAGTATGACAAGACTGAGTTGAACAGGGCATTGGCGAGCTTTGCATAGCGGGGTGCGGTGACTGCGGCGTTGGTTTGGATTTGTTTGCCTGGGACATGCGCAAAATACCCTTTGATTTGCATAGATAAGATGATGAGCTGGTATGGGTATACAGGGGGAGCGATGTAATTGGATAGGTGTCGAGTCTGGCACCCCGTGTACTGTAGTGCCACGCTGCAGCAGCATGAGAGTCAGCGTTGGAGATGAGACGGCGGTGTCGAAGTCATGGCAGATAGTCATAATGAAGCAGCGACCTAATGTCTACTAGGTAGTAACGCGCTGCTCGTGCCTTCTAATTAGCCACACGTGACGCTACCTCTTTGGGAAGCACGGTTCGCGACTGCCTCTTGTAGGAGTGCACAAGAGCACAAAACATTCGACAACGTGAAAGGTGTCAACTGCCATCCCTCCTACATTCTCCCTCGCCGGCCTCTCTGCAATTCGACGTGTGTTGTTTCCAGCGATAGTCCGCACCGACACGCTGCTAGTGGTGACGCGGGGATTTTTGGTCTAGTGCCCATTGCTTCGGCGTTGCTCCAATCGCGCCCATCCCTGTGCGGACCCCTTTCCTACCCAGCGACGGACGGCACCACGACTTCCCTTCCCAACGTCGCAGCCTCCGGACAACCACGCCATTTTCCTTCGCAGCCCACTGCACCACTTCAATTCATTGCTTTGAGTGCATCACTCACTCGAGAGCATAACTACCGCTGACTGGTACGCCGTCCTTCCTCCACGCCTGTTTCACTTTATTTCTCCAGATCCCTGGCTTGGGTCGCGTTGTACATTTGTCTAGCAGCAGCCACGCCAGCCAGCACCACCACGGCCTGCATGCATTGAGAGCCTCCGCTGACATCGCTTCTCCATCTACAGAAGTCCCTCACTTGACGGCCCATCGCCTGCGTTTACTACACTATTTACACCATGGGTAAGGAGCTTGCCCCGGCCCCCGTCTCGCGACATCAACAACTACACCTGAGCTACAAGACCATTGGCACCTCAGGCACCCACGCAATAGCCAAACAGCAAAGTGCGGCAGGCCCAATGCAGTTCTGCACTGCTTGCTGCTTCTGCGCTCGACGGCCATGCCCTCTCTCTCTTCTCCTGGCCCCTGGCTAACACATTGCTTTAGAATCCGGTGCTACCTCTCCCGCGCCGCCTACCCGTGCGTCCCCATCGCCCCCAGCGTCATCCAGCGGATTTGGCATGGATCAAACGATGTCGATGTCTAACGGCTCCTCTCCAGCGGTCCACACCATCACGGCGAAGAACCCCAAGGCCGCAGCTGCCATGGCGAACGACATGAACATTGTGCGCAGGAAGCTCACAGGCTACGTTGGTTTTGCGAACCTGCCCAACCAGTGGCACCGCAAGAGTGTGCGCAAAGGGTTCAACTTCAACGTCATGGTTGTCGGTAGGTGTGCCCCCGCCCTCTGTTGTCAATCGGAGCTAACGTGTCATTTCAGGCGAGTCTGGACTCGGAAAGTCAACCCTCGTAAACACACTCTTCAACACTTCACTGTACCCTCCCAAGGAGCGCAAGCCCCCGAGTCTCGACATTTCCAAGACCGTTTCGATACAGTCCATCAGCGCCGACATCGAGGAAAACGGTGTTCGTCTGAGATTAACAGTCGTTGACACACCTGGCTTTGGCGACTTCATCAACAACGATGAGTCGTGGGATCCAATTGTCAAGAACATTGAGCAGCGGTTCGATGCCTACTTGGACGCTGAGAACAAGGTCAACCGCATGAACATTGTCGACAACCGCATCCACGCCGTTGTTTACTTCATCCAGCCTACTGGCCACTCCCTGAAGCCCATCGACATTGAGGTGATGAAGAAGCTTCACACCAAGGTCAACCTCATTCCTGTCATTGCCAAGGCCGACACCGTTACTGACGATGAAATCGACAACTACAAGAAGAGGGTACGTTGCTTTTTCTGAGCTCCCCCTTTTCGACTTTGCTAACAGTCACAGATTCTTGCAGATATCGCCTACCACAAGATCCAGATCTTCGAGGGACCACGGTATGAGCTTGACGACGAGGAGACCATTGCCGAGAACCAGGAGATCATGGCCAAGGTTCCCTTCGCCGTTGTCGGATCCAACACCGAGGTCACGACCGTCGATGGCCGCAAGGTTCGCGGGCGTGCGCTGCCCTGGGGTGTTGTTGAGGTTGACAACGAGGAGCACTGCGACTTCGTCAAGCTACGACAGATGCTCATCCGCACGCACATGGAAGAGCTCAAGGAGAACACCAACAATGCTCTGTACGAGAACTACCGTTCCGAGAAACTTGCACAGATGGGCATCCAGCAAGACTCCAGCGTGTTCAAGGAGGTCAACCCTGCTGTCAAGCAAGAGGAGGAGCGCTCGCTGCACGAGGCCAAGCTCCAGAAGATGGAGATGGAGATGAAGATGGTGTTCCAGCAAAAGGTGCAGGAGAAGGAGAGCAAGCTGCGCCAGAGCGAAGAGGAGCTGTACGCCCGTCACAAGGAGATGAAGGACCAGCTAGACCGACAACGACAAGAGCTCGAAGAGAAGAAGGCCCGCATCGAGTCTGGCAGGCCGATCGAAGAGAAGGGCAAGAGAAAGGGCTTCTCCCTCCGCTAAGCGCCATGCCGGCGTCACGATCGTCCCTCCCCTCCCGCTCCGGACGACACACGCCTCTCAGCCACCTCTTCTCAGTTCTTCACACCCTCTTACCAGACCTTGTTTAATATAATGCGGCCGACGATACCACTGGGTGCTATCGGTAAAAGGGATAATACACTACGATGGAACATTGGGGACGATGCACAGCAGTGTCACATGTTGGTGCAGTTGTCCGGATTGTTGATTGATACCAACGTCTTTGCGCTCCTTTCCGATTCCCTTGCTTCACCTTCGGCATTTTCTATTATTTAGTATTCGGCAGACGTAGTTCGGAGCGAGGAGTGTCGGACAGGTTCTTTTCATGTACTCTACAGACTATCATAGGCAATTTCATTTGTGGGCAAAACGCGAAGCTGATTGCAAACTAGTGATGTTTCTCAACAAACAATGCGACTCGGGTGGAGAAACAACAGTGACGACATTGTGCTTGCTGCGAAGACGCTTACGAGCTTGCGAAGACGCCGGCACATGGAGGCCTGGCTGGCGGCTGAGGGGATCGTCAGGGTGCAGGCGTGGTAAGGGTGCACGGGCTTGTGCTAGCCCACTCCAGAATTGCAGCTTGCCATGCCATGTCGTCACCCCCCAAACGCCCGAATTCTGGTTTGCTGCCCGCTTTCCTACTCCCTTGGGAACGTACAACCACACCATTACTCTGCTCTCACATTCCTCTGCGTCGACAATCCTCGCAACTACAGAGCAACTTTACTAAGGTCCCGGACCTGATTTCTCAATCGGTAAGTCGACCCCGCCTATCAGGCACGGCGAATATCACGAGCGGGTCCCGAACGCCGGGCAGCACCAGCAGTTTCCAGCACCCAGCCACCACTGTGGACACATTGCACCTTGACATCCTCTCGCAAGGCAGCAGATCATTTCCAGCGGTCGGCCATTCCTCCTGTTCTACATAGGAAGCCGCATTCTCTTCCCCAGATCTTTACTGACGTTGCAAGCTGCCTATTACGTAGCCCACACGACAGTTTCCGAAATACACACAATGGCACCCCCACCTCCTGCCTCCATGCCTTTGGGCCAGCGCCTTGCTGCCCTTGCCCAAACTCTCCAGTTTGCTTGGTTCGCCGGACACGTTACCCTGCTGCTCGCTACTTTGCGATACAGCTTGTCCTACATCACCTTCAACTACTCCTCGCGATGGGCCGCCTTCTCTTACCGCACTGCCTTCCTGTCGGCATGCGTCACATACGGCATCGTAGTCTACAAGGCCTACCGCGCCCGCATGAGGGCCGGAAAGCAGGGCGGTGTCGTCGCTCTTGCTACCGATGAGAACGTTCAGTACTTGAGTAAGTCTTCTACGAGGCTGTGCATAGCCTTTCCCCCCCACGTAGCACGTGCTAACTATTTGGCAGTCATGGCTCTCGTCTGGCTCTTCTCGCGCCAGATCCCCCTTGCCATACTCCCCTTCTCCGTATACTCCGTCTTCCACGTCGCTACCTATGTGCGCTCCAACCTGCTGCCCACCATCCAGCCCCCACCCGCTGCTCAGGCCGGCGCCAAGCCACAAGGCTCCGCCGCCTCCGAGGCTATTGGCAAGTTCGTCAAGGAGTACTACGATGGCTCCATGACTCTTGTTGCCCTACTTGAGATCTTCCTCTGGTTCCGCGTCCTCGGCTCTGCCATGCTCTTCCAGAAGGGCTCATGGATCCTCCTCGCTGTCTACACTGTCTTCTTCCGCGCTCGCGTTGCGCAGAGCAGCTTTGTCCAGGAGGCTATCAACCAGCTCACTGCCCGCATTGACGCTCAGCTTGCCAACCAGAGCACTCCTCCCGCTGCCAAGCAGGGTTGGGCTACCTTCAAGGGCATTGTCAAGCAAGCCGGCGATGCTACTGACATCCGCAGGTACGTTGGCGGACAACAGGGAGCCCCTAAGAAGGCACAGTAAGCGTTTCTCTACGCTTGCGATAATGTCCCCGCCTCCAATCGCGCACGACAACATACGTGTTGGAAGGTTGTGGTACCATTCTTGACGAAGATACGGCAGTCATGACGAAGAAGACAATAGACATGTTTGCGTCGCCTGTGGACGATCGAAGGAAAAGTGTTTGAGTCGGAATTTGGTCGTTAACGATATCCCAAATGTGCGAGGCTGGTTCAGTCTGGAGTAGTTGACAGTATAGTAGGATAGTATGGGTCGAAGGAATATATGGCCATACAGGATTTGCGCTTGGAGGAGGATGTTAGGATGAATTCTCCCTGTCTTCACGGAGAAATGTGGTGTTTCTGGTCTGTTATCATGTTCGCAATCGCAGTACAATCAATGTTCATATTGTTATTTGAACCCTATACATGAATGTGGTTGTGCTTAGTTAACATAATCTGGGTAGCACATGATCACAGCGTGCACACTGTTTTGACGGTCTCGGTGCGACTTATTGTGATGTTCAATTGTGACGTTCATGCGCCCGTCTTCAGTCAACCCCATACATTAGCGCTTACATCCTTCTCACATCCCATCCCGCCCCAGTGTTTGAAACGTGGTGTTTTGATAGGACTTATTATGATCGGCCTTGTGTACAGGGAGTGCAAGTGGCGTTGGACATGCTCAGTACTTTTTTCTTTACCTTCTTCGTGACAGTAAACTTGGAACAGTATCTATAGTGTATGCTCTAGGTCGTTGTACCTAATACCAAAGTCGAAAGACGATTCTACCATATATATATATATATGTCTGTCATAGTATTCAAATTAGGTAATGCAGTATTCGGGTAGATGTGTTCGGGTCTCCGCTTATGGAACTGATACAAAAGGTGTGTGAGAACTAAATATTGAGTGACGAATTAGATGTGAGAAGACACAACAACATGGCAAGGATAAGAGGAGAGTCATGCGTTTCATCGAACTGATTTCGCCGGTAGCAAAAGTAGTGAGGTTTTTCGTCGTTTATCAGCAACATGAGGATCTGTGAACAGCGTTGATCTGTCCAGCTTGGATATGAAAGGATGAGCAAGTTATATTGTTTCAACGTATATTTCTTCATTCGGGATGTCGCACACTTGAGGATATAGCACAAGGGATGTCATTTTAAATCTTTAGTTGCGGCATTGATTCTGTACAGGTTGCAAAGTGTGTATCCAGTCGTCATGGAAGATGTCATCCTTGTATCTTAGCTACTATCCGGTGCTGTAAAGGTTGCAACATCTCTGTATATTGTAGTCTCATATGCACATGTATACACCAACAAGCCTCACACCACTACTCTTTGTCATGCTTGGTGTCCAACTGAAACACCATATGACGCCATCACCAATTTTCGGAGCTTGGTATTCAAGCCATTTGGTATATAACATTATATGTATGTATGCGTTGTCATCAACGGCAAAAGAAAATATCAACTGTCGACTGCCGACATACCCGTCGTGCCCCTGGCGACGGTTTTTGCTTGTTCACGATTTTTTGGTAGCGCAACGGTGGCGGACGGAGGGATATAGAGGAAGAAGGAAACCTGTGATCGAAGTGAGTTTGGAAAGGTGGTTGGTTCGACGCATGCATGTGTTCGTTGTCATCTGATCAATTGGGAATCCGCGGCCGAGATATGAGCGGTGACCCTTTGGTGGTAACGAAGTTGCGGTGAAAAATAAATGCGGCGTTGCTTTGGACGTCTTGTCGAACGCCGCTGTATTGAACAACGAAAAGCTATCATACCTTTCCCAGCTAGGTATAACTGCTTACCTCTCCCAGTAGACGACGAACATCGGCTAAATTCAGGAAGCGAGATGTCGAGAGTGATTGCTTTTGATAAATTTCGGCCCGTTGACGGAAGGGAAAACGTGCTTCTTGTTCAACTTGCTTATGGTACCAGGACGAGCTGAAGAATTGAGCTCTGGCACATGTGACAAGGCATCTTGGCAAGAAATCGATAGTGTTGCCCGCTTAGAACCTGCGGTAAGCGATGTAGATGGGAACTTATGTGCAATTTTTCAAGAAGAAGGAACAAGATGGCTGCAGTGTGAGCGACTGCACGGAGCATGGGATTGTGAAAGATGTGCAATCGATGCATAAAGCAACTTGATGTCGTCCTGAGAGGAGCCCTATCGGCCTTATTTGTACTGCACGTGTGGGTTCTGGCCACATGAAGCAAGTCTTCTACCTTTGGTACGCAGTAGGAATGAATGAGCGCATGGCTTCTCGTGGCTGAATCTAGATGTTTGGGTTGGCCGAGCATCACCGCGTTGTGAAGCATTTGGAATCTGCAACGTTCAGCCGTGAACATTCGGGTGCAGTACCAAGTGTTGAAGTCATCAAATTCTTCAAAGGAGTTGCTGTGAAGATTGTGGTAGATCTAGGCGCGGTTGTTTCCTGGAAGGCTAAAGAATTCTCGACCAACTAGAGCCTTCGGGAGCTACTTACGCCACACACGATGACGCTCCCGAACCAAACAGGTGTTCACAATCTAGACATAAAGTGTAAAGACAGTTTGAACGCTGTTGTTTCAGAATGTCCGAGTGGTTTTGATTGGAGACAATGCTCGATGGTTGTGGCTTGTCAGCCATTTAGGAGACATCAGTAGCGTCCATCGGTGAGGCATGACATCTGTCAGTGTCGGTGAGCCAATCTCGACGTCTGAATCTGTCTCGATCCTGCAGCAAGAAGCAAATCGCGCATGGTGCTGAGTTCGAAAGAGGATGAAGAGTGGAGCCTTGGACTCAGGCCCAGACTCCCGAGGCTCTTGAATGTTGCGTACGTGGCCTCCATCAGTCCACGGAGTCTGTTGAGGTATTCCAACATTGAGGGATCGGAGATGCACGCTACAACCATGACGACAATGTATGCGTCTCATAGCGACGGTTCCTGAAAGTGCGGCGGAAGGTGGCTGCTCGCACAAATTAGCGTAATCGATAGCATTAGTCGTACAAAGCTCGTAAACTCGTTAAGGCTACCGGGCAAATGCTGTTTCACGACTCTGTAGATGCTAAAGATGGAATTTGTCGTCTGTGTTTTTCTCTGTGCGCCAGTATTGGATTGCTCCACCCGCCCCGTAATACTATCGGAGAAAACTAGACGCGATGGACCGTCATACGAGGCGCCGGAGCCGAAATTCCGCCAGCAAGTCAGAGCGTTCGGGAGGAAGCTACGTATTCGCGTGTATAGTCAGTTATGGCGACTCGTGTTGTGTGCAGATTTGGTGTTGACGGATCAGGTCAGTATCATGCTGGGTCAAGCGCATGAGGCGAGCGGGTGAGCTGCTGAAGACGGGTTAGGATGACTGCGCCCCAGAGCTTGGATGTGGGGTTCGCAGCGCGCTTTCGTCTGCAACGTCCCCTTTTTGCGAGCTTGGGTGCGGAGATAGGATGCATCCGAACAGCCGTATCGTATCGTATAGCGTGCGTGCTCCCAGGTGCGGAACATAGCGGTGAGGGAACTGGTGCTGGCTGCTCGAGTGGCATCAGCGGCGTGATGGCGTGACGAACGCACAGAATGAGGACTAATGCAGGGCAATTGACAGCGGCGATGCGATCGACGGGATTTGACATGTGCAAAAGATTCTGCAGTCGGAACTACGGGTGAAAAGTGTGATGGTTTGTTTCGCAGTGGAACTTGTGGATAGACAATAATGCCCGCAGTAGTGCTCACAGGCGAGTCGTCGGCGGCTTGGGGGGGTTTGATGCGCGTGTAGGATGGAGGGCATAAGCTTTTCCGACAAGACGATATGCGAGATTGGGGGGGCCCTATACAAAGTTTATGTCGTGTCGGTATTGCAACTGCCAGATGAGTGTCAGGCTGTATGCAGATGAAGAAGTTAGTAACTGCTAGGGTGTTGATCGTGATGGAGTAGACGAAGATCTGGAGAAGACAAGATTAGATTGGGGATCATCTACCACGCAACATCGGCGTACTGTATTCCTGGGTCTCGATTCCCTAGTCGTATAGTTTTAGAAATCACAATGTGTGATGGGCACAACTCCGGACCCGGAACAACATTGACCATTTCTTACCAGGCACCCAGGCGGCTGCACACATCCACAAATCTCACAGCCGCACAAGCCATAGCTCGCATCGGTAGCCCTGACGATGGCGCATAGGGCCAAGTTGTAGCTGGCGCTGGCGCTGGCCTGAGCGGGAGAGCGTGCGCGCGCCTGTAAAAAGATGGCACGGCAGGGAGACGGCTACTGCGAGCTGGAAGGTGCAGGGGACCAGCTAGCGAGCGACGCTACCCATCCGCCGCTTTCACCGTCTCGGTTTTCTTGGTCGGAGCCTGGGTGTGTATATAGACTCGTGAATGCCCTCACTCTACGGGCTCTTCTCCCCACTGACGATATTCCAAACTTGGCTGCTTGGTTCATGACACCCATTGCCCATCGACTCACGACTACTACAACATCACACGACCAAGTCTCCAACCATCTCGCTTACACTTCGCCGACACCGCCGTACTACCAACAGAACACATCAACATAGTTACAGTTTGGGAAAAAGGAAAAAAGACAACACAATGGACTACTCTCCAGCACTATCTATCAACAGCGACATGACAGACGAAGAGTTGGACAAGTACTTTGCAAGTTGTGTTCCGCTGTCCAACCTGCCAACCCCTCCACCAGCAAAGGAGCCCACACCAACTCGGGTATCAACACCAGCCGCCCAAACATCGACACAGTCACACGACATCATTAGCCCTCCACAACACGAAGGTTAGTTCACTTTTACCTCACATGTCAAATCTCTGTTTACGGCATGTGGATGATGGTGTGTTTGAGTCGGACCGGGCGGCAGAGCGACGTCCCCCTGCATACGCCGCCTTGGCCCTCGTCATGCTTCATCCCAGATGCTCCTTTTCCAACTCAACACTCCTTACTCCACAAATTCGACGTGTTCCTGTCGATCTTCTAGTTGTTCCACCAACACCCCTCCACCTAGGATTAATGCTGTTGCCACTTCCTTGATTTCGGACCGCTAACATACTATCTATAGTATACGCAACCCACCTTGCGAACCTCGTTCCGCTCAACGTCTCCACCCACCGCCCTCATGCATCAGTGATTCAAGGTTTCCTGGACCGCGCTGGGCTGCCAGATGAGATTGTCGCCTTTGCGGGGTGCTTGCTGGATGCGTTGAGCAGCCGGTTTGCAACTACTTGGCGGGATGCTCTTGCGCCAAGCGACTATGCTCGCGACGTCAAGAACTTTCTGAGGACAGACTTGCGTCAGAACGCACATGTCAGCCCAGACGTTGTTGCACTGGCCGCACTTTCGCTCGCGCATGGCTTCCTTGCCGACCGTCAACGTTCCTCGCGGCACTGGAGCATTAGGGAGAGCGATGGTGCTTTCACCGTGCAAGAGATCGAGGCCACCAAGCGAGCTATGTTGCACGACATGGACTATGGTCTTGCTCGAATCTCCAACGACATGGTGGAGCGGAGGCTGAAGAACATGCAGCGAACAAGCACATGTCCCTCCACACCGACCTCAACCACGACCGCAACGAAACAACGACGAAACCTCTCCATCAGCCTCCAAGGTACTGCAATCTGGAGCTATGGCGTGCAGACTCCGGAGCCCAGCCCATGAGACGGCAGCTTCCTACGAACGCGCTACGAATCTCGTTCAGTCTACCATTTTTAACTGTCTTGCTGCGTACATTCACGATACCCACATCTTTTCGGCATTTTTAGCCCTCAGCCGTTATGCGCATATCTCGGCGTTCTCCGACATCAATCGGGTCATATACTCAGTGTTGTCTTGTGCCTACAACAGGCTTGTTGTAAACTCGTATATATTTGTTTCAGGGTGGAGTTGAGTGGATTCGGTGGCCTGACATAATGGCCTATGCTTCTGGTTTTGAGTACGCTATCTGCGTAATACCCACTGTGGAGTTTAGAGGATTGGCTTCATGTTTGAGGATACCAGCACTATGTAGAGATGGCTCTAATAAATGCTGGCACTTTATCATTCCGAATATTGTTCCGAGCACCATGATGTATGTGTGTGTGCGTGTGTGGCGCAAAGTTGTCGTGAACGACTCGTGTATATGTGACCAAACGCGCGGAAGACATGAAATGTCACGATAGCGGTACTCTTTTTGTCTACACAGGATCGGATGAACATGCTATGGTGGGGCTGCAGCCTCAACTAATCATCGCATAGTCTTCCTTGTTCCGACAAGATCCGCGCAGGCTGAATGCGCGCAATTGAGTTGTCGTCTAATCGATTTCAAAAAAGTCAAGCCTGGTACTCGTTGCGTTCCGTCGCGTTCCTCCCTCTTATTTAGATTACTCCGCACTTTGCCAGCGTGGTGTGGAGGGGTTGAAGACGTCACCCCGGCTGGTTCTGGCCATAGTGAAGATCACGCTACGACGCGCAACAGTCGCACTAAAGCCTCAGCATGCACAAGTTTATTGGACAACACGTCCGTCACGTCTTCGCTAACGGCTCCGCGACGGTTTCGTGGGGTCGGCTACCCCACTTTGTACTGGTATGCGAGCTGCTGCATACAGCTTGCATGTGGGAGAGCTCAACAGCTTGTTGTTAGCTGTCAGACTGGCTCCATGGTGTGTTACTTCCCCGCGATCCGCTAGGGCGCTCCTGCTCTCCTGATATATTCCTGGAGGCCTTGCCTTGATGCTCAATTCATCTCCACCTTGTCTTCCTCAATCCGGTGTCCTGTAAATACGCGGTTGCCGTCGCTGCCGCTCATCTTTCCTGTCTGGCGCTTCGCAAACACCACACCTGAGGTACTTCTGCGGCCTCTTTATAAGCCTGCAGCCCTCGAAGCGGCAACTGTACGCCCCTCTACCCCGCCATCATCTCTCTCCCACCAACTCACTCTCTTAGCAATCCGGGTTTCTCTGCAATTGATATCACCAACATGGCCGCGAACCCTTCTCCCCGTGAGCGCAAGCCCTCGACGAGCGCTCCACTTGCCGACCTCAAGGGTCCCGTTGGCCCCTCTTTCAGCAGACCCAAGCACAAGAGGACTGTAACTGGCTTTGGCCCCAGCGAGATCAAAAACGTGGAAGCGAGTATTCCAGAGCCTCAACGCGAGGCATGGAGGAAGTTTGTACGTGCATGGCTTTTGATAGCAGTGTAAACATCAAAGGACTCAACACTAACTTATATATAGATGCCCAAGCCTTTCTCTACTTCCGACGACTTTACCAAAGACGCCGTTCGCCACATCGAGACTACCCTGGCGCGCTCCCTCTTCAACTGCGATGAGGCCGCCGCGTATTCTGGAACCGCCCTTGCCTTCAGGGATCGCTTGGTCCTGGACTGGAACAAGACACAACAGAGTCAGACCTTTGCTGATCAGAAGCGCGTATACTGTGAGCAAGAGCGAGAAGCGTCATGATAGAATGTTGTTTAACAAGGCTAGATCTGTCCCTCGAGTTCTTGATGGGCCGCGCCCTGGACAATGCCATGCTCAATGTCGAGCAGAAGGATATTGCTACTAGTAGGTCCTCCTCTTGAACTCATCAATTGCTTCCTCTAACATTGATTCAGAGGGTCTTAGTGACCTTGGCTTCCGCATGGAGGACATCATCTCCCAAGAGCACGATGCAGCCCTAGGAAACGGTGGTCTCGGACGCCTTGCAGCCTGTTTCCTCGACTCGATGGCATCTCTCAACTACCCAGCCTGGGGTTACGGCCTACGGTACCGATATGGTATCTTTAAGCAGGAGATCCACGACGGATACCAGGTCGAGGTTCCAGACTACTGGCTTGACTTCAACCCATGGGAGTTCCAGCGCCACGACATCGAGGTTGATATACAGTTCTATGGACACGTCAACCGCTGGCAGGACGATGAGGGCAAGCAGCAATCCTCATGGGAAGGCGGCGAGATTGTCAAAGCTGTTGCTTATGACGTCCCAGGTAAGCAGTTCCTATATCAACCGCCGTATTTTTACTGATTGGTGCAGTTCCCGGCTACAAGACTGGCACTTGCAACAACCTGCGTCTCTGGGGAAGCAAGGCTGCCAGCGGCGAATTCGACTTCCAGAAGTTCAACTCTGGTGAATACGAGAGCTCAGTAGCTGATCAGCAGCGAGCTGAGACTATTTCTGCTGTCCTCTACCCCAACGACAACCTTGACCGTGGTAAGGAGCTCCGCCTGAAGCAACAGTACTTTTGGTGCGCGGCTTCGCTCTACGACATCGTGCGGCGATTCAAGAAGAGTCAGCGCGCCTGGAAGGAGTTCCCCAACCAAGTCGCGATTCAGCTTAATGATACCCACCCAACGCTCGCTATCCCTGAGCTTCAGAGAATCCTAGTCGATCTCGAGGGCCTGGAGTGGGATGAGGCATGGAACATCGTTCAGAAGACATTCGGATACACCAACCATACTGTGCTACCTGAAGCGCTCGAGAAGTGGTCCGTCCCGCTCATGCAGCATCTCCTCCCACGCCACCTCCAGATCATCTATGAGATCAATCTGCATTTCCTTCAGTTCGTCGAGCGCAACTTTCCCAAGGACCGCGACATGCTCGGTCGCGTTTCGATCATCGAGGAATCGCAGCCTAAGATGGTCCGCATGGCATACCTTGCGTTGATTGGCTCACACAAGGTCAATGGTGTAGCTGAACTGCATTCCGACCTGATTAAGACTACAATTTTCAAAGACTTTGTCAAGATCTACGGACCAGACAAGTTCACAAATGTCACCAACGGAATTACCCCGAGAAGATGGCTCCACCAGGCCAACCCGAAGCTCTCAGCTCTTATTGCATCCAAGTTGGGCGGTCACGAATTCCTGAAGGACCTTACCTTGCTGCACAAGCTTGAGGCGTTTGTTGACGACAAGGAGTTCCGTAAGGAGTTCAGGGACATCAAGTACGCCAACAAGGTGCGACTCGCGCAACACATCATGGAGCACAATGGCGTCAAGGTCAACCCTGCGGCGCTTTTCGATGTTCAAGTCAAGCGTATCCACGAGTACAAACGCCAGCAGCTGAACATCTTTGGTGTCATCCACCGTTACCTCCAGATCAAGGCTATGTCTCCAGAGGACCGCAAGAAGCTAGCCCCTCGCGTTTCCATCTTCGGTGGTAAAGCTGCACCAGGTTACTGGATGGCCAAGACAGTTATCCATCTCATTAACAAGGTGGGTGATGTCGTCAACAACGACAAGGACGTGGGCGACGCCCTCAAGGTCGTTTACTTGGCCGACTACAACGTCAGCAAGGCCGAGATCATCTGCCCTGCCAGTGATATTAGTGAGCACATCTCCACGGCTGGTACTGAGGCGTCTGGTACTAGTAACATGAAGTTCTGCTTGAACGGTGGTCTCATCATTGGAACATGCGATGGTGCCAATATCGAAATTACCCGCGAGATTGGCGACCAAAACATCTTCCTCTTTGGTAACCTCGCCGAAGATGTCGAGGACCTCCGTCACGCACACATGTACTCGCACTACCAGTTGGACCCACAGCTTGCAAACGTCTTCGACGCAATCCACAACGGCACCTTTGGAGATGCAGACCAGTTCTCTGCTCTGATCAACGGCATCGTGGATCACGGCGACTACTACCTTGTCTCTGACGACTTTGCGTCGTACATCAAGACACAGGAGCTCATTGATGAGAGCTACAAGAACACTGAGGAGTGGACCACCAAGACCATCACTACAGTCGCACGTATGGGCTTCTTCTCCAGTGACAGGTGTATTGACGAGTATGCGGAGGCTATCTGGAACGTCGAACCTCTACAGGTCAAGGCTGAGCCTGCGCCGTAGAGGGATGGTGGAGAAATGGTGGATGCGTTGGTTTCGCGGTAGATCTTAGATGGTTACAAGCCTAGATCCGTAGACCTGACGCCTTGTATTTACGACAATAATGAGAACCCGATTGCAATGAACAGGGTAAACTGTGCATGTGTTTGCTGTCGTGTAAGGCTGTGGTGGTGTCTTGAGGGACTCGGTGCTGGACCCTGAAACGCCGCTCCGAATGAACCTACGGCAGCGCACGGTCGCGTCGCGCGACGTACGTCAACCGCAATCTGGCCAGCTCGACGCAAGTTCGCGACATATCGAGAGCCTTCACCTCACGAGCAACCATGGCGAACAGAGGCTACGATGTCGTCGTAGATGTCGATCAAGAGGTATGCAGTTGTCGAAAAGCCGACGTAAACCCCAGACGGCGCAATCCCTCTCAACTCGACATGGCAAGCTTACCAGCTCACAGGGCGACCTCGGCCATACCGACCTCCAAGAGGACCTTGAATTCCACAGCTCCAGTAAGCGCTCGATAGATCTTTTTCTTCTTCAACATCATCCCAACCCAGCGACTAACGAATCGCGATCCAGACTTCGAAACCCAACCCTCTGGCCGTGGCGCCCCCAAGATCCAACCCGACTCGTCATCCGCCTCCTTCCTCCCCGGCCCCGGCGGCTCCTCCTCCAACAACCCCACATCGCGAAAGCACTATCTCTGGTCGCTCAACTTTTACGCCCAAGCCTTCGACGTCGACACGGCCGAAGTCCTCCGCCGCTGCACCTCAACCATCTACCTACGCGCCAACTTCCTCGATGTGCTAGAAGGGAATCCAGATCTCTACGGCCCTGTATGGATCGCTACAACCGTTGTTGTCATCTTGTTCTTGACGGGGACGATTAGCCAATATTTGGCCATGAAGGGCGAGGAGCACTTTGCGTATGACTTCAAGCTGTTGAGTGGGGCAGCGGGACTGGTCTATGGGTACACGGCCTTTGTGCCCGTGGGGCTTTGGGGTGTTCTGAAGTGGTATGGGAGTGAGAGTGCGAATCTGCTCGAGTGCTGTTGTTTGTATGGATATGCGAACTTGGTTTGGATTGCCGTCAGTCTGGTGGCATGGAGTCCCTGGGGTAGTAAGTTCTTTTTCTCAACCTTGGCGTGGGTACTGCATACTGACCGAAACACTACAGTTCTCAATTTCACGGTTGTAGCCCTTGGTCTCGCGGCCTCTGCCTTCTTCCTCCTACGAAACCTTTACCCTGTGCTCAGCACTACTGAAGCCAAGACAAGCAAGATCCTGCTGATTGTCGTTTTTGTGCTACATGCTGGTTTCGCCATCGCCATCAAGGTCCTGTTTTTCGCTGCGACGAGTCCGGTGGGACCGAACAAGGGTGCCGACAAGGATGCTGGGAAGGGTGTGGCTGATGGGGGCTCCGAGGGTAAAGGGGATATGTTGAGGATGTTCATGGGTTGAGACGGGGTGGACAAAGATAGGTGGATGGATGGAAGGAGTATGAATTTGGGATGATAGAGTTTGGCAGTAGAATCATAGCATAGCCTGAGGGTTCATAGCGCATTATTGATGAATGGACACGATCTAAGGATGTGGCAGTGACATGGAAACAAGCACATTTTTGAGGACGTGCATCCATTTTAGCTAATTATCGTTTGTTTGTATTACCCTCCAAGTCTTGCTGGAGTATACAACTGGTTATCGTGACGTTCGTTTACTCAATCATTATCCGCCCTAGTATCCGCCATGTTTATCCTGTACAACTGCAAACATGCAACTTGAACAACCTGTGTATGAATCAAACACCTCAGACATCCTCCTCAATACCCTCCTCGTCCTCAACGACGAACTCCTCGCCACCGTCAATGACCAACTTTTGAAGGTCAATACCGCCCTGTAGAGCCAGAGCAAGCAGGTGAACATTAGCCAAGGTATAGCCTGCGTCATGTTCAATGCAATACTTGACACAACGGGTGAAGATACCACCATCCTCGCCCTCCTTGGGATGCTTGAGCAGTCCCTTGCCCATGTCGCGAATGTCATAGTCAACAACACCTTCCAACTCATCGTCTTTATGCTGCATCATATCGGTAGCAGTAATATCGTCAGCCTCCTCGATTCGGCTGCGGAATGACTCTTCCCAATCTTCGCCGTACTTGTCTTTGCCTCGGTTGATAGCGGTGATGCACTTGACGGAGCAGGTGTTGCGAAGGTATCCGCCCTCGATATCACGGTGTGTGTTAAGAATCTCGACGATGCCAGCGGGGCCCCAATGGCGTGAGTAGAGGCGCAGTGCAACCTGAGGACGTGCGAGAGACTGGAAGAAGTAGACAATAACTTCCGTATCGGTGAGAGGCACGTTGGGTACCATGGCGCGCGAAGGTGGCATCGACTCCTTGAGTGAATGATTCTTACGCTTGTTGACGGACGTCACGCCGCGCTTCTGGGTGCTTGGAGGACCGATGCGACCAGGAGTAACTGGGGACCTTGGATAAGTCGACGCCGGCGTGGTCAGGTACATTGATCCCATAGTGCCCGTGAGCTGACCTGAAGTAGGCGTCATCAAGTTGGGGAAACTGGAGGCCATGTTTCCGGTGAGGTAGCCAGACTGTTGCTTTTCGTTAGCATCTCATAGTAAAAGACTGGACATGTGGAACTTACATCGATCTTCTTCGAGGGAGTAGTCATAACGGAAGGTACCGCATTCTTCTTGCCGTCGGGAATCTTGACCTTTAGGGCCTTTCGAGCCCTAGTCTTCTCGCCCTTCTTGCTCTTCTTGTTCGGAGTCAGCTTGCTAGTGAAGGATTCATCGTCTTGAGGAGTAGGGCTAGATAGTTGAAATGTTTGAAAGGGCTCATAGCGCTCTTTGGTTGGAGTGCTTGGTGTAGAGAGGCGAGGTGCGGTGGCATCCCGGTAGCGAGTAGCAGGACCAGGAGCTGACCTGGACCCGGAAGTGGCATCGTTCACGAGCTGAGCAACGGTCTCGCGGAGAGCCATGTTGTCCATTTCGGCCTTGTCCAAGCGGGCGATCAGTGTGTCGATGGCTTCGGCGTTGCCGCGACTGAAGGCCACTAGGTCGTTTATCCCTTCAGAGTCTGACATAATCAGTCAGCCAGGAGGTTCTCATGGGAATACGAAGTAGTGAGACTCACTGGAACGCTGCCTCCAGGAGCCGTCTAGCTGCAATTGCAGCTTGGGCGGCTGTTCCGCGACCTGGTCTACCTGCTGCGCATCCTCCATCACGAATGACGGAAACTGGAATTGCAGCTCCTGCTGGCTACCGAAGGTGTCCTGAGACACCATCTGATCGGTATTCTGGTCTGTGTATGCGTCAGCCACTGAAGTTTGGATACATCTGGTAGCAACTGTATGCATGTAGATGCCAGTACATTGCTATGCCACTTGGTGCTTTCGCTCCATATTGATGGCTGGGTGGGCAAAGAGTACTCACCTTGACGTGCTGCGTTCATAGCAGCGTAGGCAGGAAAGAATAAGTCCCTGTAGTAGTGTGAATTAGCTTTGTCACCCATATCGTCGTCTTCACGCGGCAATTCAAAGAGGTTCTGTTGGTTTGGAGGGTTGTGAAGGCTGAGTGGGTGTGTGGACAATGTTGTGATGGTTTGTAGCGACATCAAATTTTGCGCCACGTGCGGTTGCTAGGGAAGAACTCCAAACAAGACGAAAGGGATGAGGACATCAGAGTGAAATTGAAGACTCACCTGGAGGAATGACCGTGCATCCTATACTTTCGAGGTGAACTGCCTTGGTAGACACTGTTCATGCTGACACTGCTCGCTCTGCTGGCCCCATGCTGTAGCGCAAGAATGGTGTTGGGCAACCATACAGCCGGTTCGACATCCTCCTCTTTGTATGTTGATGCAGCAGACAATGTAGAAGCATCGTCGGCAGGCTCTGCTGGTGGTAGCGTGGAAGTCCGCAGGATTGTCCTGAGGAAGGTTTCCTGGCTCTCTTCTCTCTTGATAATTGAAGCCATGATATTGGACAGTATGGTGTGCAAAGGCGTCCGGACGAATACCAATTGTTGACGAGACCTGTTGTGGATAAACGCTCGGACATCCGCTATGTGCCATGACGACGCGGCATCGAAGACAGTGGCCTGGTGAATGTGAAACTTGGTGCACTGATGATCAAATCAGTCCCCCAACATAGCTTTCTCACCTCACCGTGAGGACAGCGGACTCACTGTGAGGCTCAAGACGACATGGGCTGTGTGCATCCATTCTTGCAAGCATCAGAGTAGCTTGTGCTAATTACACCGACAAAGGCGGATTACTCATGCGTGGTGATAGTGAAAAAGACAGCAACCTCGACGTAGCCAGTCGACTGATGAGCGATGATATGAAAAACGAAGGATGGATGGTGATTGAGTTGCGAAAGCTGGAAGATAGGGAGGCGGAATATGAGACCCGACACCTGTGTTTATATAGTAGGTGCTCGCAAAGGCTCCAGCAACGAGGAAGCAGCGGTCAGCGCCCAAACGCCTCACAGTGGCCGCGATCGGTCCATTGAGCGGTGAGATGATATTATTGATCTTACTGAGGGACGATAGGTAGCATCGTTTACAGGAAGAAAATATTACCAGAGTGACAGGAATCTTGCACGGTACATTGAATTGTCACATGATTGCTGCAAAACTTCCCTCCTGTTATTCTCAAGTATCGATGCATATCTTCACTCATGATGAACAGTCTTGCCGCTTCTGACGGCCCAAACGTGGGCGCATCCACCCTTGGCCCAAGCAAACGAGCAGTCGAGTATTCTCCCACCTGATCAACAAACGATGAAATCAGAGGAAGAGAATCAAATACCGGGACAGTCGCTAGAGCTTCACAAAGATATTGCTTCAAAGTTCGCGGGACTGGCGTTAAGCACAAGACCAGCAACACATTTACATTGGAGACATGTATGTTCTCAGCGAACTTCGTAGAAGCATTGCATACATGTCCCGCTACGTTTCGGTCACACACGTAGAAAATCACACAATTTCAGCACTCACGATCGTGAAAGTCTCGCATGAAAGAACCGCGTCCATTTCGCTGCATCGAGCTGTTCTATGCAATGACATGCGATCTCAAGTCGCGACAATTTGCAAGCCAAAGGGGAAGAGTGCGAAATGATCGCGAAGGCGTGAGATGTAACGACGGTAGCTGTCGCTGGAAGAGACTGACGATGTGAGGAAGTTTGATGTCCAGCGTTCGCGTCGTGATTAGCGCACTAGTCCGGATATGGCGTGGCTTCCTTTCCATCACGCTCTCCCAAACCCAGACAACATTTCTACTTTGACTTCAGTATAGTTGCAGTCCTGTCTCTCTAGCAGGTCGGCACAATTCGTGTTCATGTTCATCTTCTCGGTTGCTCCAGGATCAACTCGGCAGCTTCATATACGTTCGAGAATTAGAGCGTGTTGCACCTTTACTATGCTTTGCCATTATTGCCTGGGAGCATAAAGTCGAATGTATCCGCAATCACTGCTTCTCAAAGCTACTCGTGAGTCTCTTCCTTTGACCATTCCGGCCTGTGTTACCGACTGTGAGGTTGAGGAAGCCTTGGGGTAGTTGTTACCTCGGCACGTACCCGGACGCGGAAGGCCTATCGATAAGGCGGGCTCTGAAGCTACAGTGCTGCCATGGTTGCCTCTGTTTCAACCTCCAAACCTAACAATGTCTACAAACATTCTCATTGTCGGCGCTGGCGCCATTGGAGCGTTCTATGCATCTCGACTCGCAGTCATCTCTGGTATCTCTGTCTCTGTCGTCTGCCGCTCCAACTACAAAGCTGTGAAGGCGAATGGCTTCCAAGTTACCTCACCGCAATACGGCGATTACACCTTCGTGCCGGCGAACACGTTTGCGAACCCAGAAGAAGCGCGAAAGAGCGACATACAATGGGACTACATAGTAGTCAGCACAAAGGCCTTGCCGGACGTCAGCGATGATTCGACGATACTTGAGGGGCTGGTCAGCGATAAGACAGCCATTGTGCTGATACAGAACGGTTTGGGTGTAGAGGAGCCATACGCGAAGCGGTTTCCACAGGCGGCAATCTGCTCGGCCGTCACGATAGCCACATGCGCACAGCCCGAGCATGGCCAGATCAAGCACAACAGATGGACGCGGATAAATAGCGGACCGTACCTGCCTCATCTAGATACCGGAAACAAGAAGGATACCGACGCACGCGTCACGGAGCAAAACGACGCGTTCATTGCTCTGCTGAAGGAAGGCGGTATCAAGGATGCCGAAGCCTACTCCCATGCTAAACTACAACTAGTTCGCTGGCATAAGATCGCCATCAATGCCTCGATGAACCCAACCTCCGTCCTCACCCAGTGCCTCCCGAACAACGTCATGTCTCTCGACCCGGAACTGCAGCGCCATCTCAAGGGCGTCATGTTGGAGATTCTTGAGACCGCTCCCAAGATTCTCGGCGAACCCATGCCTAAAGAGTTTGCTACCCCAGACCAGATCATTCGGTCTACCCAGAAGAACACTAGTGGTAGCAAGCCAAGCATGGCGATTGACTGGGAAGCGGGTAAGAAGATGGAAATTGAGGTTATTCTAGGTAATCCATTGAGGATCGCCAGGGACAGAGGATTCGAGATGCCGCGCCTACAAAGTCTGTATGCGATGGTCAGAATGGCGCAAGAGGTTAGAGACCAGAAGAAGGATGTCAAGTTGTGAGATAGTGGATTGCTTCTGTTGATTGTCTTTTCAATTGCTTCCTCCATGGCTTTCCCCATCTTGATGAAGCGAGCTTTTTCGCAAACCGCAAACCACAAGTCGACAGGGGTTAATCAACAATGCAAAGCCCCCTCCAGCCGCCTATCTCAATTTGTCGCACTGCATTGGAGACATTGATCTCGCCCTGATTCATATTCATACCGATTTCTGAAAAGATTATATACATGCAAAAAACCAGAAGGCTGTCCACAACTCTGGTAGTTCTTCCCAAGATAGTAATCTCAGGACATGCGGGCACATCAGAAAGCATTGCACCCAGGCTGGCGTCACGCCTCTCGCATCACACGACCGCTGCAAATATCTCAAACATAGCGCGCTATTACAAGAAGTGGCCGGGATTGAAGTGGAGGTAAACGCGGCATCTTTGCCATTTGCGAACCCTAAAATACAGACAACAGTTGAGTCTTTTGTTATTGGACTGTCTCCAATATTATTTAACATAGAGCGTATTCGACCTTCCTGGCGACGCTGACTTTGGTACTACAAAAAGAGTGATCCAACATTGTGAGGGCCGAAGAACCGTGGTTCTCACAGTAGCAAACCGGATCCAGGTGAAGGCGCCTCTCACCAACGCCTATTGTTACCAACCGCAGACGATAGATATACAGTTTCGTTTCTACTCTGCCCTACCGGTAGTCTTTCACTACCAGTTGAACAATCTCATAACTTTCCCTTCAGCCCTCAACCATAACTTCCCTAATACACCAAACACAACAACTATTACAACGACAACCACTACTGCAAAAAAGATGAACAGGTTCACCGAAGAGCAGTTGCAACAGCAGTGGAGATGGACGCGAATGACGCCACATGAACAGCAGGAATACCGTGATCGTCTAGCTCAGCGTACTTCTCAACAGCAGTACGGACAGCCACAAGGGCATCAGCAGCAGGCATCTGCCCGCCCAAATACCCCCCGAGAAGTTACGGACAGGGCGTTGAGCCACAATCAGTCAGTCAGTCATCCGCAGCAGGTACCGCGGCCTTCACAACAGCAGCAGGGACCGCGACCTTCACAGCAGCAAGACGGGCGGCCAGAAGGACGGTCATCTCCACAGCAGCAGCAGCATTCGCAACAACAATGGCAGTTGCGTCAACAGCCGAATGCCCAACAACGACCGAACCCTATGCAGTTCCCCGCACAGTCTTTCAACGAAACGCGACTTCCCGGATCCAGTGGTATGGCGCCTCCTCCAAATCCAAACCGTATTAGAGTCTTCTCGCAGGCTCAGGCTTCAACACGCTCAGTACCAAACGTATTTCCTTCGAACAATTTATCCGGTGCGAATATCACTATGACGGGAAACGGCCAACAGCAACGCCAGAATGTAGCTCGGAGCGCATCTAAGCCATGTGCATCAGGTCCGCTATCGGCATCCTCCCCGTCTTCCACTTCGTCTAGGACCATTTCACCCCAGAATGGAGCAACAGCACAAGCATCAACGACTGCTACCTCGCCCACTAAATACCAAAAGCCGTCGACACCTGGCGCCAACTCTCATATGCCTGTTCTGCCGCCGTCTACTACGCGAACGCAAGGCCCTGGATCGGCTCAAGTCACAGGTCAGAAACGCCAGGCAACAGGCGCGCCTGAGGGTGCTAGGCCTGCAGACAAGCGGCCAAATCTGATGACACAATCTGGTGCCGTCGACCATACCACCTTCGCACGTCAAAACACCGCTACGCCTCATCAGTCAGGCGTATACCATCAAGCACACGGCACCCCAAATGGCGCACCGAATGGCGTCGCCCTGACTACGAGGGATCCAAATTTGGAGCGCCGCGAGCAGCAGGCTAAGCTTGATGCTAAGCATGAGGCAGAACTTCAGTGCATACAGGAGCACCAAGCTAGAGTAGCTGAACAAGCTCGCGTTATGGAGGAGTACCAAGTCGCTCAAGCCGCCGCCCTTCAACGAGAGAAGGACGACAAACGAAGGGAAGAGCTGCGAAAGGACCCGAGCGCAAACTACTGCCACATACTCGAGGTCTACAAGCTAATGCCACTGAAGAAGGGCGAGTTGCCCAATAAATATCTACTGGGGTTGATCGCTAATCGACCGATGCCGATGGACCTTGACAGCGACCTTGCGCTCGCGATCACGTACGCCAAGGACCATTGGGACTACTACTGTCAGTGGCCCAAGGATGTAGCACGGTTTGCAGGCTATGAGAGAGAGAGAAGGGCCAAGAAGCTTGCTTAGAAAGCCGAAGAACCGAACAGATGTGGCAGACAGCCTAGCGACGGCATTACGTCGCAGTTGGAGCGCTCGAAGCTCATCGAGCAAGCCGCCGATACTACAACAGCAGTGGCAACTGGTGGCATTCCAGTCGATAACTCGCTATCGTACATTGAGGGGAAACTAATCTGGGGACTGCTACAAGCAGGATATATAACGTCACCCTATGGCATTGCTGAATGTTCCCTGTATAACGCCACTAAGGCTACGTTTCGTTAGAGCTCGATAGCGCATTGGGTGTCCACTTGGTTTTAGGAAACATGCAGATGCGGGTGGTATCATTCATGGTATCGGTTTGGCTGGACCGCACTCTGTCATCACTTGCATTATTTTTCGTCAACAAACTCATGTTACAATAGACAAAGAATAGTTCTACGTTACACCAAATGATTTCCGTTCACTTGCAAGTATTTTCTATGATTTGACATTTGTAAACTCTTCCTATTGCTAAACGTAAGACGGAAGCTTGCTCTATCGCTCTTCTAGCTCTTGCGATCACCGCCTACGACATGAAAGTTGCAAAGTACATACATAAAAGGGAGATCTTTTTCGACGGTTACATATAAGCTAGGAAACGTCCCATAAAGTCTTTTAGACAATTCCGCGACGGCAATACTGATACCAAAAGGTACCTGATACCCTGCCTTTCCAGTGAATTGAATCATGATTGAAGAACCTCAAAGGTTGCTACCTTTAGCAGTCCCTTTCTCATTCTCCAATGACGACTGATCTAGTGTATTTGAATCATATCTGAAGCAAAAAGGCAGTGCCATTGGAGCGAATTGGACTATAAACTGCGGAGTCTGGTTATTTCGCCATCCTTCTTATGGCACTAGCTGGGTGTGTCGTTTCCAGACGCGACTATTCCTTACTTAATCCACTTCACCTACAGGGGAGCAGGAAGTGAATAGTACTGCTAGTAGGCTAGCGAAAAACACTACATCGTGCACGCTTTCCTCCGATTGAGATTCCTCGCAACACCATCGACCTTTCGCTGCGACCATGTTCACTAGCAACGATTCTGAGATAGACGCTATGTCAGCTCCAACTATTCATACAGACCTCTTGACCACACCCAAAGTCAATCGTCCTCACAAGAGGCGCCGTTCGCGGGAACTACCACAATCAGAGCGACCTGCTCTCCGCCCTCACGCCGACTCATCAAACGGACAGATCTCTCTAGCACCGAAGCGAGACGAAAAGCGATACTTGAACGATACCGCCGACAAACAAAAGGAGAGCGGAGTCCATAAAGCTAAACGCCAGCGCACCTCTGGCGTATACGACTCTGCTAGCAACAACGAGATACGTCGCCCGCCAGATCAGGAAGAAACGCGACAGCAACCGAAGCAAACCACAGGGTGGTCTAGCACTGATACCATTGTACCCAGACGAGATCAACGCGTAGACATTGTTACCTTGCAACCCGTGATCTTCGGCGTTGCATCTTCTCCGCCAAATGCTTTGCGATCATTCAAGCTCAATGGACACCTCACACCCGCACAAAGCTCTCTCGTACCTCAAAATCCTGCGTCTCCGCCTTTCACTTCCTACAAATCTCTCGAAGGCGGCTTCGCTAGCCTACTAGATGACAACGAAAGTGTCCTAAAGAACTTTGTAAAAACCAAGGAGGAACTTTTCAGGAAGCCTGCTGCAGGTGACGTCAAGCAAACTCTAGCGCATAATCCGCGTCGCAAGAAGGCCTTTGATGTCTGAAAAGACGTATCACTGTCGTCTGATATGATTAAACCAATATCCAAAGCTCCAGATCTGCTGACTGATGTCGTTGGTACCCAAATATGTGAGGCAAGGTTGAGAAAAAAGCCATGGGAGATCGGTCAGGAGCCCGGTGCTATAGTGAGAAGACGGTGCAAGAGAATGCGAGTAGAGGAGGGAGAACACTATCATCCCAACGTCAAGAACTTCAGATTTTCATGCAAGCGAAAAGCTGAAGATGATCTTCGAGAAGGCAGTTCCAAGAGGGTAAAGATGCTAGGCGATCAGCCTTTTCCTTTAGTAGGGAATGGTGAGAGTCAATCTTCGCCAGTCCAGGAATTTACTTCTAAGTATTTCACTGAGGTCGCAAAACCGCTACCTTCGGAGAATTTAAAGGAATTACCTGATGCAGTAGCGTCAGATCAGAAAGATCCCCTGGGTTGCAAAGACATATACAGTCTGGCCAAAGCGCAACAAATGCCAGTTGCTGAATCGGAACCTATACTCAACGACAAGTCTTATCTTCCCGAGATCGACAACGAGACCTCTACCAGGCAGCCTCAGACATCCGAAGACGATGGGAAGGTCTTCACACTCGCAAGATCTTCATCTCCAGGCCTGCAATATACAGCCGATGAGCCATCGCAATGCGAGGAATCTTTTACAGACGATGAGGCGGCATTCAGGGATCTCAACAATCACAGAGCGCCGTCACCAGCTGCTGGAGGTGTTGTTGCATCTGGAGCGGCTTCAACAATCGTGCCCACAGTTCCATCATGGATTGTTGAGGGTTCGCAATACTCCATCGGGATAGACGTAGCCTATAGCGAAGGTTATGATACTGAATACCCCAGGAACTACGAGCACTATCTTGCCCAGTTCACCGCTCGGCCTGCATTTCCTCGAGCAAAGGAGTATGAGTATTCCCCAATGCCAGAGATGTTGGATGTTGAGATAATAAACCGGCGGTTGAACTGGGTGGTTCCTGACAATGGCGAAGCTCCCCGGCTTCTAAGAGGATTGCCAGTACCTCCATTCCACATCGATTCGGAACTGGCTCGTTGTGTCCGTTTTGCGCAGTCAGATTCACAAAAACGCGTTGATTGGCGAATTCACCCCAACCACGTTGCTGAGATAATTCAGCGTACCAACTTTTACGGAATGGAGTTGTTGATCAGCCGGGGGTTTATGCGCATATCGTGCCCTCCAACCATAGATGAGTTTGAGCTAGCTATGGCAACTCGGCTTGCACATGCGTCCTTTGGGAAAGATCCAGTCGCCTACATTGCGGGCGATGTGCGAGCCTTGGCAGAGTACCTGGTAGAAGATATTCCTTCAGCAATGAGTCTTATCCCGAAAGAAGAAAAAGACCACTTCAGCGATTTTAGCAAGTTTTATAGAGTGAAACTCGCGGAGAAATACCCTCCTCTCGATGCTGTCAGTCTAGCGACATGGCGTTTACTACTGAAAGGTGAGCTGGGCCAACCTTCACTCAAGGCACAAAGCCTACGATACGTCATCGACTCTATCGAACAGCAAACCACTCAAGCCCTGAGTGACGGAAAGGATTTACAGTCTCTGGTAGACGAAACATCTGTTGAAGACGTTCAACCAAAGAACGAAGATGTAACCAGCCGCGATTCATGTGGCGGCTCAGATCATGGTATGAACGGTGGAAATCTCGAAGATGGTTTTGGCTGGGCCATCGGTAAGCGCAACGCGGACATCTGGAGCCTAGACTGCATCCAAGCTTGGGAAGACTTCACAGCGAGCCCAGATTACCAGTCGGATAACCAAGGAGCTGTTGGAAGTTTTTCTGGTCTCATCTACGATAGCGTGGCTGAAGGAACCCTCCAATCGATGGCGGACTTGTACTCGTCGCATACGTTCTGGTCTAACTAGAATTCGAATGTCCCATGGAACTCTGAGCAAGACGTCAGCGCATTAAGCATAGACGATATTACACCTGTGGCTCCTACTATGGAGTTGTTCTCTAGTCAGAAGACTGGAACCCTGTTCGACGACGGGATAGAAACGAACGAATGGCTGTGAAGGTATGCCGTTCAAGACCCTCCATTGAAGAGATCGAGTACGCGATATCAAGCGCTGGTTTCTTTACAGTTGGGTTCACCAATGGCATACTCTCTGAAGTTTGGTTCCGTGTGGGTCGCGGTTCAAAGACGGAAGTCGTGAGTGGCTTGCGTTCGCTACCGTGAAAGACAAATGGATGGGGATGCCACGATCGGTACATGGACAGCAGCCGCACAATCATAGGAGAGGATCGATGCGATATCCCCATGGAATATAGTAATCAGATTTCATAGATTCGATGGCTGGCAGTGGCCGATTGGAGTGTTTTAGTAGCAGATCTTGGTAGCATGACATGCCAACCTTGGATAGCCTCATTGCCCACAGCAGTCTCGGAGTATCATAGGAGGGGAAGGAACCAATTTCTGGGGGAAGAAAAACCGTTAAAACCACGGCGATTTGGAAAGAATAACAGTAACAAAGTAACAGACACATCTCGCTCAACTGTACTTACCACTTCCTTTTCTCCGACTACATCTTTAACGAGACCTCATCACACTTCTCCTGCAAACAAAGCTGCAAGGTATCGCATCGCATCAATTATCCAAGAAAGAAAAGATACGATATGCCTAAAAGTGCACCAAAAAGCAAGAATCCAGTCGGTCGCCCACGCAAAGATGGTCTCCCAGCGGGCTATTACAAACATAAAAAAGTCGCCCAAGCGCACTCGACAGCGCTCAATACAGCTGCCTCGGAGGTTACTGGACAGATTGAAAAACGCCCGCGCCGCCGACCACGCAAGCACGATACCTTGCCGGGTTCCAAGTGGGTTGGGAAGGCGTCGGCCGCAGCGCCTGCCGTCTGGCCGGCACCACAAACAGCGTCTGAAAATTCGCTATCTCTATCACCGTCACTACTGCCACCATGGCACACTCTTTCTAAAGCATATATCGATACAAGACATAAACCAAAAGCAGGGTCTTTCACCGATCCTGCAATCGACGACTTTTACGATACACACGTCTCTACTCCTTCAGACACGGCGACGGAGTTTGATGATGATACAGATGAACGAGATGGGGACACTGAAGACACAGATACGGAGATGTTTAGATTGGAAGGTACTGAAAGGGTATTAAGGAGATTTAGACTTGACGACCAGAGGAAAATGTTTCCGCTGGTAGAAGCTGAGGACGATCCACTAACGGAGGAAGGACTAAAAGTAGAAGCACAAACAGAAAAGCAAAGACGAGAGGCATCAAGTCAACGCCAGAAGAAAATGTGTGAAGCTCACGGCTGTTACAACTCGGATTGCCGATTGAATCATGTCAGGAGAGCGAATCTGGATCTTTTCTTGCAAGGTCTCGATCAGCGTACGAGTGAATTGGACGAGCTCACAAGCCAGCTGCACGAGCTCAGGGAGGCAATTGCAGAGACAGCAGCACCAATACGCGATGCGACAGCAGTAGAAGGAGGAGCGCCATCCGCGTATGTCATGGAAACAGAACCGAACCATGAAAGCGAATTCGAGACATTGTTTTCTGCTATCATGCAAGGCCGTGTGGAGGAACCAGACACGTCAGCCTAGAGAAGAGACGTTCTCGGGAAATTCCCGTTGGCGCCGCCGTCCTTTGGATGCTATGACATAAGGAACCTAGATAGATGTTCAAGTCAGAGGTGTATAGATCATTTGTGTGTATGATTTGAAGAACGAAACTACTATGAGTTTAATTATCGAAAACAGACCGAAATCCATGGTGTAGCGCATATATGAAGTGATGACGTTATTCTTGTCCAGGAGGCCGATTTTCAAGGCGGTGCGTGGCACGCGAGGTGCCGGCGCGATCTCGTTTCGTGGGGCAACCTGATCGCTGAGCGGTCCCACACAACTCGACGACTTCGCAAGAGGAGATTCAATGACATGGAGAAGTAGCCATGCTCGATGAAGCGTTGTATTTAGAAGCGAGCATGGGCGAACACAAGGAGACATGCGCTGGTTCTGATCTGTCGTGGTGAGTTTCAGCCTCAGACCAAGGCGAATGGCAAGCTCCCCACCGTCATGTGGCCAGATAATCTGGACGTTGGGGTTTGTGCAGCAAAGGAGCGCTCTAAGTGGTCTTATATCATGTATCCTATTGAGTCTCTCTCTCCGCTGTCTGGCTATCATAGTCTCTTCAAATGTTATGTTCTGTTCAAGGTCACGGGACTCGAACGTCCTGTAAGGCGCAACATCCATCACTCTCTTTCTTTGTTAGTGCATAGTACTTTGAAGCCTCCGAATCTGGTTTGACCTTCTACGAGACACCTAAGATTGGCGCACAATTCCACAGTCCTAAGCATGCTAGATACGCTGTCAGCCAGTGTCACCTGTATATATGTCAACAATGGCAGACATCGAAAGAGATGTTCGACGAACCGCTCTGCTACTCACCAACACACTTCAGTCATCTCGCAGTTGTCGTGCGTGTAATACAGAGATTCTCTCGACGTCAACGAGCGGCTGTATTGACGATATCGGCTCCTGCTGTCGCCTTTAATCAAATTTTCAGAGGCGTTACGAGCCAGGGGCAGAGCCCTTTTCATCCAGCTGAGTCTTTGAGCCCTTTTTACCGTTCAAGTGGACAACTTCCAAGTGTGGGGTATCAGTTAAGGCCCGAGTTCCTCCAGCTACATTGCCGATTCCGGTTTCTCGAGGGGACCAGCCTTGCTGTTCCGATTGTAAGCGTTAGTAAGGCAGCGATTCAGCGAATGACCACTTCGACGCGCTAGGACAATCTCCGAGCGAGAGTCGGGTCTTGTCTTGGTACAGCTCTAAGCTAAGGTCCCTTCTTATATATTTATCAGATCGGCTTCTACCATAAGCGTGTGTCGGTTGACAACTTCCTCAGATCATCTGTTTGGTTCGTAAGATCTCGCGAACAACTAAACCTAGGTAGCTAGTTTGCTGTTCATAAGTATCAAGTTCCGTCGTCTCGAAAAATTGAAGAAACATCAACGCACTCAATCGACTGATGCTGTTTGCTCTTGATAAGCTGTGCTAACGCCCACATCCCAGATCAACATGGCGAAGCCGCCAGCAACCAAGAAAATCCCTTCGAAGAACAAAGACGGCTCAGACCGCAAGTCTCCTTCCTCTATTTTCGGTCCGCACGCAATCACACGATACCTCTGCATTCCGCAAACCGGCAACATCACCGGCGTGGAGCTTACGGTGTTTCTTCCCGAGCTACTCCGAGCTCCCGGCGTCCTTTCTCGGTTCATTGAGAATGGTGCTGATGCTCAAACTTTGGCCAGGATCTCTGCATGGTTTCGAGCCACAGTGAAAGATCACCACACTCCCGCCACGGCTGCCAATGCCATGCGTCACATAACTCAAGCGACCATGCGCCGTTACCTTCAAGAAGAGAAATGGACCGAGACTCGCCACAAGGCTGGTCGGTACAAGAAACCTGGGCAGGTTTGGGACCACGAGAACTTGACATTCGCCGGCGTCCAGAATTACTGCGAGGACAACACCAAGGAGGGCCGTCACAAGCGACCGCCTACCCCCAATGTCCGTTTTGCATTGCTAGCAGTTGATGTCGTAGTCTTCCCCTCTGGCGACGACGGGCTAGACTTGACCCGATGTGTCAGGGCAGCTGCAGCTAACGAGGACTTACCCTTAATGTTTCCACGCGACTATGGCTTCCTCACGTGGCTCTTAGATGGCCCTCAGCTTGCGCGCCCTGCTAATCAAGATCGCGAACTCTTTAATCGCTGGAGGCAGGTGAGCTGGGCCGAGACGCCTTCTGGGCACCAGGCCAATACTACCCAGTAAATTGCCTAATACAAGTTTACGGCGGCGCAGAAGGCGGCTACCGAACAGTATCTTCAAAAATATGCATCTACAAAGCAGTCTGCTCTTGATGCTGTCTATGACCCTATGGATATGCCAATACAAGATTCTCATGGCTTTGACGTCCCCTCCGCCAGTGGCAATCAGTCACCCAACAACTCTCTTCTCGTCGACCTGCCTATGAAAAACTCCACAGTCGACTTGGGATGCACTCTGTCTGAGATGGATGAGGATGACATGGACATGCTGTATGTCAAGTGGCTCGTCGCTCACGGAACTTCTTATCTTGAAACCAGTAAAGAGATGACAAGTACCTCTGAAGTTGTGCGTCGTTATCTCGAGCATAATCGCAGTATCCATGGCCCATTACCACCCATTTCAAATGAAGCCTCCGCTATGGTGCCTCCTTCTGACGCTCTCAACAATGAGATTCTCGGTGCTAGCTATGGATCATGGCCTTCGTCTCCGATGAATTGGCATGTCACTCACTACGACCACCCAGCTACGCCTTTTGATGTTAACCGGATTGACATCGAGATGATGAGGTCTTCTAGCCATGAGATTACTGGTTATATCGGCCCAGAACACGGTATGAGGTCTCCTCGAGTTGGCTCGGAACACACCGACTTTGATTCATTGGACGACGTCGGTTGCGCTTTCGCACAAGAGACACTTTGAGCTCTAACCGATTCAGATTCACAACCCGTTCGGCAGCCTCGTGAAGAATGCGGCTGATTATACAATCGTTGTTGGAGCATACCGCGTTAAACTGTCGAATGGACACTGATCTCCTGGAAGATTGGAATGTTTGAGAATCTGTTCTGTTGAGCTTGGGTTTCGATGTGACCGGAGCGTTTGGAAGGTCAGCTAGCATGACATGGTGCTTTTGGTAAAACTCCTTGGAGGAGTTGGGCGTCTTGTACAACTTTTGCATTATACCCTTGTCTTTGACTTCAGGTGGCCTGAAGATGTCTCCACTCAGTATTCCAGTATCTCATCCAATACAACGTGGCACAATCAGCAAAATTCTGTCCTGTGTGGTCTATACGTTTCGTTACAATACTGAGAACATTTCGGAGATACTCTTCGTTCCCGCAATCTCTTCGATTTCCGCTCAAGCTGCTGTCTGACTGAGCACCCAATTGGTATGATAGGATGTTTATGCTAAGCCTCGTGCACTATCGTATGTGCTTACAGATACAAGATGTGCAATTTTCTTAAGGTTTCGCTGCTGCTTGCAACTCGAAAACGTGGTCATACAATGCGTAGTGCAACTCGGATGATGGAGAGGGTGCAGCATTACATCACACGTTGGTCCTCGACGAAGCGCACTAGTGAAGTGACACTGGCATTCTCGGTAAAGGTATGCTGCAAGAAGATATTGTTCTCACTTTTACGTTTTCAATTATGTGCCTAGATGTAGATCCATTGGCATGAATACGACGATACACGGGCTATAAAGCGAGATCTAGCTCGGAGAAAACCGGAGCACGAGGCGCAGACTTTTGCTCAGTATTGCCGGTCACCAACCAAATCACATGCCGTCTCTGATAACCTCCTCACTAACCCATCCAATCTCGTGCCTATGCGCTGTGATGCACTCAAGGGAATAGTCATACTCCGTCCAGATGCTACCAAACATAGCGAACTGCTGCTTAGCCCAACGAATGTTCTCGGCCCAGTCACTTGTATCGTTCGGGTAAGGCTGGCTCAGCAGGTGAAGCTCGCGGAATGGGGCGTGGCGGCGAGGGCCGTTGAAGCGGGCGTGGTCATACGCAGACGCGTACATGGCTTCCATAGAGGTGTGGGGGGGAGAGGAATAAAGGTAAATACTGTAATCGTCGATCCTAAGGCGGCCTTCAGAGAGGACAGGAGGTGTGAGATAGATCGGTTCGCGGTTGAGATACTCGCGCGCAGCATCCATTACTTCTGGGGCGTAATGGCTGGTCATGAATGACGGCACCCCCCGCTGTCGCTGGGCTTTCTGAGGTGACGGGCCAATACTAATTCAACATTAGCGCGATGTCTTGTGACTGACTACTATAGAACATGTAATCGAGTTAACAGAAACGGTCTGAGTGGGGACTTACCCAGGAACTTTGAGCTTCAATGGTCGGCGCTCAGGTACGAAAGCAGCTTTGATGTTGGATCTGGCCTTACGCGCAGCAAGGCGACCGCGAGATGTACGGACCGGCGAAGCAGCCTCTTCAACATCACTCACGTTGTCTTCGGGAATGTCTTCGTCAGGCTCTGACTCGCCTTGCACAAACTCATCATCATCGGTGGATGAATTGGGAGTGAGCGGCAGACGGGACGGCTTCCGTTTCTTTGGGGGAGTGTTGTAGGGCGAGTCGGAGTAGTCCTTGTCCTGGAACCAATGTCAGCAACGTCTTCAGACACCATCATTGCTGAAGTGAGGTTCAAGCATACCGCGACATCTATTTCAGGCTCTTGAGTGAAGTTGATCTGCCTACCGACGAGCCTACTGCTCCTCCTCTTGTTGCCATCCAGCACCTTTCCCAGACCATCTACAGCACGCTTATTGGGTGTTGCCGACATCGAGATAGCAACCGAGTCGATATCGCGAATAAACATTCTGTTGATGCTGCGCGGGGTTCTGATCTTGCTGTTTGGTGTCTGACCTTTACTGGGTGTAGACTTGACAGGTGAAAAGACGTAGTTGTCGTGACGAGCAAATACTTGCCTATCATGGTGAGCGAGAGTGACAGTCACCGGTCCACCGAGGTGAGCAATGAGACGCTGAAAGTCGGTGGGAAAAAGCCACTTTTCCTCTGCGTGCTCGATAGCGTATTTCACACAGCGGGTAAGGTCGAGTGCGTCGTCGCCAGATGGGTGTTCCTTCACATGTAGCGCGAGGACCTTGAAGTCCAGCGGCTCACAGTCCTCGTTGACTTTGACCTTTTTAGGTGTAGCAGTAGTGACAATCTTAGGGTGGGTACGGTTGGGTGTACGGAAGTTCGTTACGCTGAGGTCGTCTTCAAGTCTCGGGATCTCGCGCTCATACTCCAAATGCGACCCAAAAGTCCAGTCCAAGTAGCCTGCGCGTCGCATAGCGTACTTGATCATGACCATAGCAGAGTTCGGCTTGAACTCTTGGCCTAATGGCTGGACCCTAAACTCGTTGATCATAGCGGCGAGGTGGCCAGCTTTCGCGCCGTGTACAACAAAACGGTCGACGACATCTATGGACTTCAGCCAATGCGGGAGGTACGCTAGGATCTCGGCAGCGGTCAGGTTGCCATCTGGGAAAGGGAGGTTCCAGCTTGGGCAGTTCATGCCAAAGGCATTGTTCTTAGCAATGGAGGCCATGTCGACTGATTTGATAGTCAGTATAGGATTCGCTGAGCACGCGGAAGAGCCAAATGAATGGATTGTGTGTAGGAAGAAGCTGTATGGGTACTAAGAATCGTGGAGGCTGCCTTACTCAAAGTGGATGTGTGCAAGTGTTGGCAAAAGTCGACAAGCAGACTGATCGCTGCTGTTTACTGACTACCAATCCGGAGGTGTTCTCAATAGCTAGGGACTTCAAGTTTCCAAGAAATGTTGCAGGACACCTGAAAATTGGTAATTCGGCGAAGCGGGGTGCAGCGAACTCAAGCGAAAGTTGCTCCAAATGACGCTCGGACCGGGTAGAGTGGCTGTTTTGTTGATGTTACGATGGCCATAACAGAAATGCAAGGCACGCTCTAGTTACCACGTGCACATTCCCACAACCAGCACGGGGACTAACCCTTACGAATGCGCAGTGCATGTGTTCATGAAGATGAATCCTCCGCCGTTGTCGAGAACGTCGTCCAAACATCTTACGGTTGCACCGCCGTCTTTTGGACATCTTCCTTTCCTACAGTAACAACTCTCCACGTTGGTAGCGCAGTGGCATCAGCAGCCGGGCCACCTATATTCAAGCCACAACCGAAAGCAAAACCACGCAACGAGCATTATGGATACGGTCTTGGTCCAAGAGCGCCTCCAAGGTACCTCCTCTTTCCAGCGCGCGCGAACATTACAGCCGTTGAGCTCCTAGCATATCTCCCGAACAGCGTGCACTGCGGCGATGTCGTATACCGCCTGATTACGAACGGCGCATCTCCACATCTGCTGTGCTCAATAGTAAACACACACCGAGATCTGTTGGTGGAGTGGAATCAGAATACCTGTCGTCAAGCCATCTATGAAGCCATGCACAGAGCAGGATATAAGAACTGGCGGTTCAAGGCACACGAGACTTTCCATGAAGGGAGAAAGTCGACCTGGGACGAGAGCAATCTGGATGTCACAGGGGATCTAGCATCCGGACCAGGCAGTGCGAAGAAGACACCTGCGAGTGACATACCATTCAAGAACCTAGCCATGGACGTGCGACGTGAACCTCAAGGTTATGACGCGCTGGATTTGACACGAATGGTCGAATATTGCGTGAAAAATCCACACGAACCATGGTTTTACCCTCGCGACTACGATGCGGTGTTGCGGCTTGTGGGCGGCGCAGCTCCCATTCGACACGAACATAGCGATCGCCAGGCCTTCAGGCGATGGACCGAGGTGAGCCCTCCACCACCACTGAGCGCGTCGACAAATTCCCTGCTTGTAATAGACGGAAGAAACAAAAAAGGCAGAAGTGGGAACTCGGGTAGCATCGTAGGAGATATATTAGCATTGAATAAACGGAAGGGAACAGACACGCTGTTAACAGCAACTCCATCAATGTGCGAGACAGTAGCACCAAAGACACAGCAAGAGAGCAAGAAAACTAAAGGCAGGCTAAAGAGAACAGTAAGGATTGAAGAAGAGCAAGAGTTTGCGAGAATTGCTAGAGAGGACGAAAATGTGATGATCCAGGCTAGTCAATACCTTCTGGCGACAGCATATGTCGCACCTCCAGGAAACGCGATCATGCTCTGGGAAGTAGCAACTGAATCAGGCGACGAAGCAGTTGACTTAGCGTTCGCACGCGGAGGTCAAGTGGGTGAGAGTGGTCCGCATAGCGCTTATGCTTTTGGTGGCCCTCGTCGTTCCCCACCATATCAACAGCTCTATCGCATCGATCTTCCAGATCCAGCAGACGTAAGCTCATGGGCAGAGAATCTGCGGTGGGCGTTTGCGCAAAACACGCTCTTCCGCTACCCATGCCGCCCTGATGCCTGGAACGAAAGTCCGGAACACATGGAGTGCATCGTGCAGATTCGGGGAGATCGGGGCTGGAAGTCGGATGAGTTCCTCGCTAAGGAAGAGAAGTAGCGGGTGAAGAATGCGACGATATTGAAGTCGAGAGTGACTTTAGCCTGGCTGTTTGACGTGGTCAGGTTGATGACAATAGTGTTGTGTCATGTTGACCGCACGTCATGCACGTTCATAGCAGCGGATGCGCGCCAGGAAATAGTGCCGTCAGCTCCTAGCGAAGCAGATATCAATGAGATTATACGACCAGATGCGTGGTACTGAGGACGGTCGTCTGATGGTTTCGCTATCAGTGTCGCTGGGAGTGATGATAGAAGGAAGAGGTGAGGTGCCACGGCCCCGCAAACCTCAGGCTGGGCGTTTCGGGCAGGCACGGACTAGCGTCGATCATTGTTCCGACCGAAACGAACATCGAACACCTTCCAAACTTCCTCACCCCATCGTGACAACCATCGCCCTTGCATTCGCTTGTTTCACGAGAATATGGCTTGTATACGGTGTTGCACGGCGCCACAGTGGATCGGAGGCTGAAGTTCCCGACGCGTACACCGTCGCAGAAGATGAAGTAGACACAATGACAGGTAGTAGATTGCGAAACAGCGGAAGCTTTTCGAACGAATACGTGAGATGTGGAAAGGTATTTAGATGCGAAAGGTTCTCTCGCGGTTCGCCTTTCAAAGCTCTTGCTCTATACAAACCATCAGAAAACACTATACGAGCCGGTCTCACCTAATACACTCTTTACGAACCGACACGAACGCATCCGACGACCTCGCACCAGCAACGCTCTTGTACACCTTAAATCTAAGGCACTTTTGCGAATCCCAAATACTCCCACCATGCGTTACTCTACCATCATCAGCGTCGCGGTCGCTTTCGCCCCGGCGGCACTCGCACAAAGCTCGTCGGCCACCATCACATCAATGGTCCCGATGATGTCTCCCTCGGCGCCTCCCGTCACAATGGCTTGGAACAACGAGCCGAGCGCAACGGATAAATCGGCTCTTGCATCAAAAGCTTCGTCCATGAACTCTGCCATGGAGTCGGCAATGTCTTCCATGTCAATGAGTATGCAGATGGAGAGCGGCATGACTATGTCTAACGGTATGGTCATGGCCACAGGCAGTGCTCAGGCTGCTATGGGCAACTTCACCGGTAGCGCCGGTAAGATGGAGGTTGGCGGTGGTGTGGCGATGATGGCAGCCATCTTGGCTATGCTTTAAACAGATTGCATACCCTTTAAAGGCTTGCTGAAGCGTGCAACAAAGGCTTGATCAGCTAACCATCGCCATTTCGGCCTTCTGCTTACCTGACATTCGTCTTTGAGAACCCAGTCTCCATGTCGGATCTTTTCCTCTTTTCACAAATACCATTTGTACAATAAGACCTAATGTCATTTCTTCCGTGTACCACACAGTCTTCGTCGACATATCACGTTCTATGCAGAGTGTAAGCTCTTTCAAACTCGCAAGCCAACTGTTCTGATAGCGATAGCGGGTTGGCGGATTTACACCACAATCTGGTCATACCTCACCCGTCCTGGTCGTGTTGGTGGTCGCAGCAGTTCAGATTGTTCAAATAGCCTAGTACTTTCAGTACACTTCCGATATGTTCAAAGAGATTTATTAGAAGTCTGATGGGATCGAACAGTGCTCGATGTATGAACAGGAACGAATGAAGAGGTGGTCTGAAGCTAAAGAATTTTCATTATCATCAAATGATACCCTCATCTATCAACTACGGATACCAAACACTAAAGACTGATCTTACAGTCCAGACCTCGGGCCTTCAGTTTCAAGAGTAGCACCAGGAAAGTTGATTCCATAGTCAAACATACTCCTGCCTGCCGGCACGCCCTGACAGCCACCGCCCAGATCCTTAAGCGGCTGCAACGCCGGTACAAGACGAGTGTTGACCGCATCTAAAGCAGCATTCAGGACAGCTCCTCCAAGAAGCTTGCTCAAGAAAGAAGGGGTATCCGCTTGCACAGCCTGCGCAATAAAGCAACCCATTTTCTTCGGGTCATTAAGATCCTCTGCGAAGTTGATGAACCCGCCGGTAATATCACCCAAGTTAACGCCCGAGAAACTGTTCGCCGTGCCTGTGTTACCGCCAACCTGACAGTTCAATGGGTACGCCGCGCACTGTTGTGCGGTCGAGATGCCAATGTCTGCGAGCGTCCATGGGTCGAGCGGGTGGCGCTTGTACCAGTTGTCTGGGATGCGCTCGTAGCCGTACTTGTACGTCAGTGTACCGCTGGCATCGCGCTTGTAACTGAAGAAATCCATGAATACGTCCTGCGTCAAGAAACCGCGCGGTGCTTCGGCGCTGTGGTTTGCAAGCAAGGCGTACGCGAACATGTGCGCGCCAAAAGTAAACGCAACACCAGCGTACGCCGGACTGAAGTAGAAAGGATTCGTAGCGATGCTGTGTTTCTTGCGGTTGTTGGAGTGCTCGGCGAGGACGCGGGGTGTAATGTTACCCCCCGTACGTGCGTTCGCGAGGTCGAAAAGCTCCTGCATGTATTGCGGGTAGGAGCGACAGTTGGAGTTCATTTCAGGTGCCAACCAGTCACCGCGAGTTATGCTGGCATCGCCCTCACTTCTGAGATGGCCGTATGCGCAGATTCCCGTTTCATTGCCGAGTGCGTCGCCAATGAGTGGGGGAAGGGAGCTGGTCTTGTCGGAATGGGGACCGATGCTCCAGCGGCCGGAGATGGGGTCGCCATTGAAGAAAGCAGTCGCAGTCTCAAGGAAAATAGTGGCTGTCTTGTCGAGGCCGAAGGCTTGCCATAGACCGGTGTTGATGCTCTGTGCGTCGACGACACCATCGCGCTGAATGTAGCCGTGATTTGCGGCGGCGTTGAGACCGGCACAGGGACCGCGGATGTCTCCTGGGCCTGGGGCGCGCCATTCGTGCTCGCCCGATGTGTTGACGAGTTGTAGGGCGGGGTCGAATTGGTTGAAGAGGGCGTGGTTGGGAGTGCCTGGGTATTCTGGGAATTCGATAATTTGGGGCGTCGTTTGACGCTCTTGGATACGCTTCTCAGCGACCATGCGAGCTATCTCAGGGAAAGCTGAGACCAGCAGAGCTGGCCCGCCGAGGAGCACGAGAGATGTCTTTGCAAGCATTGTGTATCGCAAGAGTGAAGGGCGAGGAGATGCTGAGAAGGATGTCTTGGAGCAGGCCTCGTGTATCTTATATGTCTTCGCAACCACCGCTGCAGATTAGTGTAAGCTTCCCAGTGCGGAGATAAGGATCACCCATAAAGCTGCTCATAGCCGATCTGTTCGGCCCTGAACAAGTTCCTGTGTCTTCTCGTGGTTGCTCCACTAGTACATGGGCTACTTTGTCAGGGTGTAGCTAACCGTCTCGGTGACACCATAGTGCGTTGTCTTGGGCAGTTGTAGGATCGTCCCGAAGCAGTAATCGCCTGCGTCGATCTGCAAGGCTCACATGGCTAGGCAGTATAGCTGCCAAGACTGGGGCTATGAGCGACAGTGCGCTATTGAAGGACAACGGATGCCATTCCGCGATCTGCAGTATAGTCAGACCCTGAGTTGGCTACGAAAGAAGTCCAGGAATGATAGAGTGCTCTCTAAGCCCCCTTATATGCCTAGTTACCCCGATGTAGTAGACGTGAGGTCTTAGGCAAGATGTTGTTGTGCATCTGCGTTGTTCTTTTGGGAAATGATTGGGGATAAACACCAGTTACAACAGCACCATCACTAAACGTGTATATGCGGAAAGTGTACAGAAAAGTTGCGAAGGCGTCCGACAGTCTCCTATAGCTGGGTACTCCTAACAGAGATCGCAGAAGTCGTCCTCCCATGATTTGAACCTGGAGGGAGCATCGCCCGGTGAAAATCGATTCAGTTTGTTGCATCTGTTATCACACAATACAACTGAGCGGTGATAGATGCCGTTTGCAAAACGCCCCCAGTCCAACCCTTGTCTTTTCTTACCGCCCGCTCGTCCGGAGCCTGCAAACTTCCTCAACTCTTGTCTGATAACAATAGCGCTCATCATTGGTACACCCGAAGTAGCACCTGACAGGCAGCCTCGTTGGAGCCCCACGAACTGTCTGCCAAGGTGTGGATAGACTCTTATGCGACAATCTGTCCGAACTGCTGACAAACCTCGCTATAGACGGTAGGTACAGTGTAAATCAGATCAGGATGAGGAAGTGAGGTGACGTCCAGCGCAAATGTCGATTTAAGCTCGACAAAAATATAGGCTTAGCGTGACGCTAGCGGACACTACCCCGGATATCTTACACTCCGATGGTCTAGATCGTCCGTTAGTTGCCCAGATAGTGTTTGCGATGATCGGCGACTGACACGCCTTACATACGTAAATCGTGCTATTGGCTGGTAGTCGCAGCAATAGTTGTCCGCCAAGTGGTTCGACCTGAAGTTTGCGTTAGCATCACAAACCCCTGCGTCCGCAACCCTTACTTGTAGATCTCCTGCTGTATATGCCTCGGCTCCTTCCCCAGATAACCAGTGAACACCGATCCTAGTCTCTAGGGGCAGGTGTGCTCCTCGATAGCCGAACAACTGCCGAAGAAGATCTCACCAATCAGTGCTCTCGCTCAGATACCGTCCACCAATAGCCATAAGTTCATCAGTGAGCTGTTTCCCATCGATCATCCAACATCTAGTCCATATGGGGAAATCTGTCCCCTCCTAGTACAGTTGTCACTGTAGTGTCTTCATACGGCTGAGTACTACAGAAAGAGAAGCACGTTGTCCAGCCTTTCATCCCCACAGAACAACAGATGTGACAAGATCACTCAAAACACGAGATTCAGATTATGCGATGAGAAGATTCATTCACACCCATCTACATAGTTTAAACAATGTCATACTCATAAAATCTACAAGTGCCTTCAACCTCGCCACCATATAGACTTTGCTGGGAAGATTCACACTTCACTAGCCACATGTCCTACATCAATTTCAAATACTACAAATAACAAACACCACCAACGCTTAGCATACTGTTCGCCCCCTTCTAATATCCCCTCGAGGAGGCATTAGCACGAAGCGTTCGGTAGTGTATGCAGTACGCCGCCATTGTTCAATGTCCATAAAAACTCCAAGATCTTGAGACCAGCCCAGCTCATCTGATCAATACTAGCCTCAGAACCTCAGTAACTCTGCCGACTTCTCGCCTATGCCCGTAGGACATGATTAAACTTTTTATGATGCGTGCTTTCAGGAGAGACGACTTTGAGCCGTACTCGGTGAACCGGATGGCAATTTTGTGGTCTTGGTGTAGTCTACTGTTGATATACAATTGAAGAGTCGGCCGACTGGCCAAGTGTTCGTGTTGACTGTGCTGACTTGTGTGATGAAGTGTGATGCTGCTCGTTTGTTAGTAACCTTGAAGGCCAAGAGAAAGCGGAGATAAAGAGTGCGACATACTTCCTGCAGATTCTCATCCTTCAACCAATTTGGGGGAATCGCTATCCGCTTTACTTCTTCGTCAAGAGCATATATCTGCCTATCAGTCAGTCGATGTCAAATACGCATGCGATGATCACCTATAGGTATTAGTTTCGATTCCGGATCACAAGCATCCCATGATCTCCGTTTTATCCAGTTGGATTCTCGCCGCAACCATGACTTGCCGACCGATACACGCTGAGACTACCCTCCTGATTTTCCTTGTCAAATCCGCTGTCTATCGACGTCGAGGATGTCACAACTGCCGCATGAGTTGTATCTGATGCGATGACTCCAATGAGCTCTGTCGGCCGAGACTGCGCTAGCGACTTGAACGTGACAGTCACGCCCATGGAATCGGGGTCCGATGTCATCGTGTTAATCATCTAGCACAAGTCATGATAAGTGACACTTGCAGATGCAGCTCCATTGCTGTGGGAACAATGACATTATGTGGACATGGCAGTGTTCCGTGGGGCCAATTATTGCCAGGTATGACGTCATGTCAGTACCTACGTCTGGACTGCTTACAGAAGCCTGGAGCTTTCTCATCCCTTCGACGCGACCGAAGCACCAAAGCCTCTACACTAGTTGAACCGCCTCTAATAATCCCATAAGGATTATATGAAAATTCGTCACCGCACCAGTATTCGCCTCCACGGGAACATTCCGAGCCAGCTCGTACCTGCAACATGACAGCAGCAGATCGAAAGTCACTCTTAGATCGCGTATTCGCCGCGAAAACAACGGAAGAATCACGAGGACTATACGATGAATGGGCAAAGACTTACGACTCAGACATGACCCTCCACGACTTCACCGCCCCACGCCTAGTCGCTCAAGCCGTAGCCCGAGGCCTGAAGCTGAACCACATCTCACCAGACAAGCCTCTGAACGGGCTAAAGATTGCGGATGCAGGATGTGGTACCGGCCTTGTTGGTATCGAGCTCTCTAAACTTGGCGCTACAGATATCCTGGGTCTCGACATCAGCGAAGGGATGCTAGCGGTCGCTAAGAACACCGCTGTGTACGATGACCTGAAAACTACGGACTTGACGAAGCGATTGGAGTTTGAAGATGGGAAATTCGATGCACTGACATGCTGTGGCACATTCACGCATGGCCATTTGGGGCCGGGGCCGTTGGAAGAGTTTGTGAGAGTCGTTAAGGACGGCGGGGTTGTTGTTGCGACTGTTCTGGACAGCTTCTGGGTTGAGAAGGGCTTTGAGAGGGAGGTCCAGAGGCTGGAGAAGGTCGAAGTTGTAGAGCAAGATCTACACCAATATCGGAAGGATGCTGGAGGCGGACGTGTATTAATTCTACGGAAACTCTGATTGTGAGCAATCACACAATGGTAAATGTCATGTTAAGGGAGGCGCTTTCAAGCTACAGAAGTGAGTTTCAAAACAAAGTATAAGCAAACTGTGAGAAGACAAGTTCATATGTTTCGATTTGTATTCTTCTTAGCATCGATGAAGCTACAGCAGCCGCTTGTTAGCCAAGACGCTTTCAAAGTTCCTCTCAATATGCTCTTCTATCTATCTTGTGATCCGTCGAAAGAACTCATGACAGTTATTGTACGGCGAAGATACCCAAGGAGAGGGCTCAACCTTCCGGAAGTTCACTAGGAAACCGGGAAGAAAGAGAGACTCATCGAGGTCGCAATAGGAACACCCATATATGCAAAGAGTAGAAATGGCGTTTTGCACATCTTTGGGTATCATCTCGAGCAGACCTCTTAAGTTCCAGATGTCCACGCATAGTCTGTTATTTTGGAAAACCAGCAGCCTTGTCTCTGCATAGTATTGCCGACACACCAATCGAGACTGGAGAAGCGTACAGAGAGGTTGGTAAGAACGAGCCGCGCCTCTGTTGTAGAGCCGACAGATGTACTTTGTGTGTGTACCAGGCTCCAGGACCACGATACATTCCGCGCGGAAGACGTAGTCGTATATCCTGTTGCGAATTTCTCCAGGCAGGCGCAAGAGTGGTGATTCAGCCTGGTTGCGTAGTGCACTACAACACGGTTAGTTCCATTCAATGCAGCCTCAAAGATGGATTGAGCTTACATCGTTTCCATGATATCGGTGAATGATTCTGAAGACGGCGTTGTTCAGCGAAAAAAGTGTTCTTTGAAGATCCTGCAGACGTGCACCATGTAGTTGTTGTCAGTTGGTGAGTGTGATTCAGGTAAGTGCTCCATGAACCGCTTGCCCTGTCCGGGCTTAGTGCCCCTACGGTCTCTCTCACTTCAAAGCGTCTATCGTACAATACTATTACAAGTTGAAGGATACATCAGTCCATCACAACCATCCCGCGAAGATAGCCAGCGTACCCAAATGGCGTCGGCCGCGCAAACTGCGATACGGCAAGCCCAAGCCCCAGCCCTGCGCCTGCCACACCCGTCTCTTGGATTGACGCACTCGACATACGCCAACTCTCAGTTCCAACGAAGCATTCCTCGTCCCAGTCATATTCATATCGTTGAAAATCGTTATGTTCGCGGAAACGGTCGGGCGCGTATCCACATACGTCCATGAAGAGATCAACCAGATCCTTGTCGCTGCCTTCGTCGAAGTAAATGCGTCCGCCAATAATCGGCCACGCAGCCGAGTATCGAGACCTGGGTATTGAGCCACAAGCCAGCCATTCTGACGGGCGTATGCATCTTGGATCGATATCAAGGAGAGGTCCAATGTCAGCCATGCAGAGCCACTGGTCTTCGCCACCCCTTCTACCGTGCCAGAGCGGGACCAGAGCACAGTGAATTCCCGACGCGCCTACAAGTGTGGTGACAAGGTCTGAGGCTTGAATCTGGACCACCTGGATAGCCTCATGGCCTCGAACATGGAGGTCGTATGCCTCTTGCAGAGCCTCCGCTGATGCTAGTTAGCGCAACCGCATATTATGCTATGAGATGGAGCGGCTACCGAAGTCACTGAACACCGAGATGAAGGGGCTGGGCTGTGTGTCACGAAGCCAAAGGTGTTGCTCTATGCATTCCGGGCTCAAGTGAGAGAAAGTGAATTCACAGTCTGCCTGGAGTAGACGAGAGCCGGTGGTTGATCTCGAATGGTAGGTTGTTGCACTGATTTCACTGAAGACGTGATAGAAACATGGTCCCCCAAAGTCGTTGATCGGGTCGTTTTGAGCGAAGTCGCTGCTGATTGGTCGGTCAAAATCTAGCCGCATCATCGATCGCCGCACAGTGGACGTACCTCAACATTGTTTCATCGCAAGCCATCTCATAACACTGCAGCGGCTTTCATCATCTCCTTGCTTTCGCAGCATGCAGTCATCGCATGTACTAGAGACATTGCACAGTCTGCCGTCTCGCATGGAAGCCATCGGGTCGACTGGTCCGTGATGGCGCAAAGCTCGCACCACCACGATGCAGCATTTTCCCTCCGCATCGAGCGACTCGTCCAGAACATAGGCCCAGCATGCATCAACATCGTCCTCGAACGATTGCTTTCACTCATGGATCCGGTACTAACGAAGTTGCTTTGGCCAGCTACTCTTCTAAAGGAGAAAAAACTCTGACAATGCGCGCATCTCCCAGGTCCAGCAGCCGTGCATGAGACATCTCTTGGGCTACGCAACAAGCTTGGACATGCACCAAATGTTCAAGCAGTTCCTTGTGTTTTCGAAATGCTCCCACTCTGTTCGTGTGTGAATTTTGACGATCTAGAACCGTGCTCGAAACATCCAACGACTAATCATAGTGAAGGCGCAAACCCAAATCGTCCACAACGTGATTGGCAATGAAGTGAAAGTGTCCAGCTCGTCATCTTATACGCGGCTCGATTTACTTGCTGAAAAGTTTTGGTTGCGTTACACCAAATCTCAACCAGAGTCTATCTAGATATGAGCAAAGACCAATCACACTTGACGGATAATACGCAGAACCTTGCGATGCAAGAAACGGAAGAAGCAGCCATGCTGCATATGTGGAGAACGATGGGATATGGAGAAACACCTGGTCTTCCGAACTACAAACGTCACCCTATCCCCGCTGTCGCGGAACACATTGAACCCATCGCCCCTGCTATCACTCTCACAACGCCTACTCCGCCATCTTCACATGAAGTATTGGATACATCGCAGAAGACCAGGTCACTCAATATTGCCAGTGCGGCCTTTGAAGAGGATGCATGCCCACCTGCAGCGCTCGATCAGTCTTCCCAGGAGGTGTATCGATCTTCTCCTCCGCCTACCAATCCTCTTCAGCATTCGGGATCACCTCCTACAAAATCCTCCGGTTCGTCACTTCGTTTTGTTCCGCGGCAAACTCAAGACTACGAGGCTATCCTGCAAGCCATGGCGACTGGTAAGTTTGACATCCCTATCTTCGGAGCAGCAGGTGCAGCCTTCATGAATCGCCCGCTTCCAGGGACGCCCATAGCGAAGAACAGGAAGCGAAAGTGTGCTGAGACACCGCATGACACAGACGGTCACGAAGTTGAGAGCGCGTCAAAGGAACCAGCGAGAAAGAAGAAGACTGTCAAGCTTAAGAGTTCCACTTAGATGTCAGTCTGTCATTAGTCTCACCTAGACAGCGAGAACACAGTACACGATCCTCATATGGGAGTTTAACGACTATTCTTTCATGCATATGAGATATTGACACTATCTAGTTCTTTCGTTTAGCCCTCTTTTTCTCTCACTAGACTGCCATCTGCGTCGCAAGTCATTCTCCCAAAACCATGCATCGCTCAATATTACAACTTCACTTGGCTTATGTGTCATAGTTCAATTGCAGACCTGCCATTCACAGCATTTGAATACATGATGATATCTCCACCCGACCCATCTTGAATGCATTTGTCTGGATTTACTGATGATCGTTACGATACTGATGTTCGGCAGTCGGGCAATGACGTAACGGTTACCACTGCATCCATCGTATCATACCTAGGTATTCTCACTAGGTATGCAGATAGAAAGTCCACTGAGTACTTTAATTCACCCCTAAGGTTCTTGGAGCATATCTTGACATTCCAATTCGCCGCCAAGATGCCACATCCAAGCCTCGAATACACCACCGTGCAACCTGCACTAGACACCTACCCCAAAAACGCAACGCGCAACAACGCCAACGGCACAGACACGGACGTGCTCGAAAGACTAAAGATCCGTGAGATCTGCGAAGGATGGGGCATGTACCGCGACGCAGCCGAATGGCAGAACTACTCCTCCATGTTTCACCCTGGCGCGTACATTACAACATCATGGACCCAAGGCCGTCTTGACGACTTTATCGCTTCTTCAAAAGAGGGATTCGAGAAACAGACACCCCATGGTCCTTTCCCTTATATCCTGCATAGGATCTGTGGGCAGACGGTCGATATCCAGGGTGATCGCGCGATTAGCAAGATGAAGGTTACAATTACGTGTCGTATCATGCTGGATGACGTTGAGATGGACAATGAAGCTGACACCCGCTTCTTTTTCTTCTTGTCTAAGCATGGGCAGGGGAGATGGGGGGTGAACTTCATGACTCTGCTCTTTGACAAGGACAAGATGGTACCTGTTGTTCCTGGCAAGGCGTTTGACATACCGGAGAACGAAGCCAAGCAGTATCCGAGTGGATACCGGTATCTGGCGTGGGCGGAGAGTAAGGCGGGAAGGCCACCGAAGATGGACTTGAATGCGCATGGACCAGAAAGAGATATCCTGTATGCCAAGTGTAAGACGTGGTTGGAGGGAGGGGAGGTAAAACCTAACCTTACGGGACATGATGTTGTGCAGTACTAGGCTTTGATCGGAAGATGGCGAAGAATATTGAAGAGAATAAAATGATTTCATGTAAAACGCTATATACAATACATTTTAAACGTTCTGCTCGTTGATGAAAAGACCGGCCATGCCCATACCAGTACCAATGCACATACTGGTGAGCAGCACCTTCTTCTTTTGCCTCCTGCACTCGCTCAAACCAGTAACGATTTGTCGGGCGCCAGTGCATCCAAGCGGGTGACCCAGCGCAATAGCACCTCCCCTTACGTTGAGCTTGTTGTGGTCGATCTTGAGTGTCTCGAGACAGTACACGGCCATTGACGCGAAAGCCTCGTTGATCTCGATGAGGTCGATGTCGTCGAGGGTGATGTTGAACTTGGAGAGAAGCTTGGGGATGGCGATGGATGGGCCGATACCCATGATCCTTGGTGGGAGACCGGCGACGGTGGCACCGACGTACTTTGCGAGGATGGGTTGGCCGAGCTTCTCGGCGGTGGAGCGCTTCATCATGAGGATGGCAGCGGCACCATCTGTGAGTTGCGACGAGTTTCCAGCGTGTGACTTGTCGCCGTGGGGAAGGAAGGCAGGCTTGACCTTCTGGAGGCTCTCGAATGTGGTGCCGTATCGGATGCCCTCGTCCTTGGTCAAGGTGACGGTCTTGATCTCGCCAGTCTTGGGGTCCTTGAGCTGGGTTGTGATGGGCGCAATCTCATCGTCGAACCAGCCAGCCTTCTGCGCAACCTCGGCTCTCCGGTATGACTCGGCAGCGAACTTGTCCTGGCGCTCGCGCGAGATGTTGAAGTCGTTGCCGACGTTCTCTGAAGTCTGACCCATGGGCTGCATGCAGTCACATGCCTCCTGGTTCTCGAGCACCTCGTCCACGAAGGGCCTCTCGAGCCTGTCGCCACCTGCTGTCATACTCTCGGCGCCCATGGCCAGACCAACCTCGATGCTGCCGACGGCGATCTGGTTGGCAATGTCTTGTACTGCCTTGAGTCCCGAAGAGCAGAAGCGGTTCAGGGACGATCCGGCTGTGGTGTTGGGGAAGCCAGCGGCGAGCATGGCGGCGCGGATGTAGTAGGCGGCTTTTGCGTCAGAGACGTTGCCGACGCAGATGTCCTCTACAATGGCGGGATCGAGGTTCGACTTTGCGACGACCTGCTTGAGTGTCTTGACCATTATGCCATCGAGCGTCGTGTCTTTCAGTCCGCCCTTGTGCGCCTTGGTGAGGGGGGTTCGGAGGGCGAGGGTGATGACAACATCATCGGGGTTCTTGGTGGTGCTGTTGTTTACTGTCAGCGACTGAGTCCTCCATTGACTATCTATCGCGCCTTCTCCTTCACGTGTCGTCTTTGTCAAGGAAGAGCTTACAGGGCCGAGATGCCGCTCGCCGAGGGCGTCATGTGGGAGACGATGGACTTGAGGCGGTCTGTCATTGTGAATAGGTAAAGATGGATGAGATTGAAGTTTGTGAGAGGCAAGGATGAAGTTCAAAGAGATAGGGACAGAATGCGGAGGCGGAGCTCTTAACATAAGTTGTGGGGCACATAACCGCAGCTTCTGGGCCGAGGATCTCGGAGCCACAAATCACGCGTTCTTCGGCAACTGCCCGGGAGAATCGTCGGACCTTATCGTGCTATCAACACAGGAAGAAGGAGCATACTAATCAACATATGCTTTCGTAACATGTGCGACTACAATCAGATCCAGGTAGCTGCTGTTTACTTATCCACAAAATTGATGCATCGCCAATTCCGCCTTCCCCGCAATTCGCCGCCACGCGACTGAGCCTCTTAGCCTTGCGCTATACCTCCGACCTCGTCCATCTCATCTCGACTTGGCGGCTGCGAAACATCGCTCCTCACGCCTTCATCCAATGCCCTTCACCTTTGATCCACAGTCTCACCGGCAAATGCGAGGGGTTAGGCCCTCCTCTTTCTCGTCGACGCCACCAATCTCTGCGACGCGATTCGGCCCCATCGTCCTGTCGCGTCACGTCTTCTTGGCGACAGTATGAGGCGCAAGAATTCCCCATCCCCCTACATTGCATTGCCTATAACACACCGATGTTTCCATCTCTGCTTATCAAAGACGGCATTGTAGTCTGCGTGTGGAGAAGAGCTAGTGCATGGTTGACACAGCCTCATGGCCGACAACACGACCCAATATTGGCGAGCTGTGCCGCCAGTTTGTTATGCCAGCAAGGGAAATTTGGCCCCCAAACACCATCACACCCACACCGTACTCCACGCAGCATGTCTGCACGAATGCCACAATGTCATAAGGCAGAGGTGCGAGAGAAGGCAGACCTAGCATTTGTGGCGCCTGAAGTTTCTCAGCAGTGTTTCCTTTGACCCATGATATCGCGAAGGTCAACCACCATGCCGTCAGAGGTTTTCGAATTTTCTTTTGTACGAAACGGGAAGCGAGCGGGATCTAGGCTAATAGACTTACGCCCTGCTCTTATCGACATCTCAATCAGGTCCCTATAAAGGCCAATGAAGTAAGAGGTGGCTTAAGGCATACCGCGAAATGCATGCTGCCTGCAAGCACCCACGAATAGCTTCAACTTCTGATTGGAGAGAAAGTGCCACTGGCGAGACTTGCATGGTTCCACGTACCGGGAGCATGGGGGCGGCGGAGCAAGGCTGCGCTTTGACCTCATCCTCCCTCCCTATCCTTCCCAATACTACAAATGCTCGTCCTGGGCCTCGTCGTGATTGATGTGGCACGCGTTCTTCCCATTTCTCCCATTTTCAACCATGGCCGCAGCTTTTACAACTTCCTACACGTCCTCCGCATCGACAACGTCGATCGCAGGACCGTTGATGACTGCTTTCACTCCGCCAGACCATTGTAACAACGTTGTCAAGTCGTCATGTGTCCTTTCCACGCCTTACAGTTACACCAGTATTGGAACTTCCTTGTCATACTCTTATGGCGATCCAGTCACGTCCTGTGCCTATGTGGAGCGCGACCTGTCATGCGGTTCCGATGGACAGGCCACTCGTGACAGTGCATGTTTCCCAGACAATAACGGTGGTGGTAGTGGCACGTTGCTATTCTCTCCTGGGACAGGCTGTCCTGGTCAGTGGGAGATGAAGAGTGAGGTTATATTATCCAGCAAAACCACTGCAGTGTGCTGCCCGTCGTAAGTACGCCCGGACAAGTTCCTCGGCGAATACTAACAACATCTGTCAGTGGCTATGAAGAGCATACCGACTATGCGAGTTGTACTAGTGTTATCTCCTACACTGATGGTACCGCTCCTGCCGTATCTTGCTCTAGCGGCGGAAACACGGTATTCGACCTTCTTACTTATAGTACCTATACCTCAGCCTATGATGCCAGTTCCACATCGATCTACACCAGTATTTATTCGACATATCGTATCGTCTGGGCGCAAAGAATCCTCGTTGCTTATCCCACTACCTCTGCAAGCGACGGACGGGTCACCCCGCTCGGGGAGCCAACTTCTACCAACAACCCCGAGGGAGGTTCCGCAGTACCAACACCTAAACCGGATGATAAATCTGGTCTCGGGGCAGGCGCTATCGCGGGCATCGTCGTGGGAGTGGTCGGCGCGCTGCTTCTGGTCGGCGCATTTTTCTTCTGGCGTCGCCGCCAACAAAAGCATCACCATGCACCAATCCCAAAGTCTAGTCCGACAGGAGAGCATGATGCGTTACCGGAGTTTGTTGCAACGAGTGGTACGAGTACCGGCCCTGCACAGATGACCGCGGCCAATTCCAATGGGTTGTTCCAACCACAGCCGGAGTTGAGGTCTCCACGATGAGACCGCGATGGTCGGTCGGTAGTTTTGCATATTGAGGACGCTTAAGTTCAAGCGCGCCTGTTTCGAGATCATGCGAAAGCAATCGCTTCCGCTACGATAATGATACCCTTTTGCCTTTTATTATTCTATATATTCAAATAGCGTCGCGTCGTGTAGACCAGTTTATGAACGCGCAACATGGCTCCGTACCACGATCTCGACTACCAACTTCTTTGGACCATGCGGTCACGGCAACCGACACCACTATCACATGACGTTGATACAAATTTCGTCGCAAGCTGATGGAGTTAGGCATTTGTCGGTGTTCAGTCCGAGAAAGACAGGGCCTGGCCTAGTTGTTTATCAACTCGGATGTGCGGAGTATGAGATCACTGACTTGAGAATCTTCGACTTCACTATTAGGCAGCAAATACATTAGCTTGCACAACAGTCCCTTGACCCACAGTACTAGTGTTGCTCACTCGAGTCTCTTGTTCTTTCGTCAAACCAACCCAACTCTCTGCATGGGAGCAACTCAATCTTGCGAAGAACACCCAGCTTGGCCAACATCTTTGCGATTGCAACAATGAATGCTTCTACCACGGGTTCCCAACGCGGCCCTCCATCCAGAGCCCCCAGACAAGCAGCTCGAAAAGGCGCTGACAGTACTCCTGGTAGAGAACATCTGCCATCCGCTAGCGGCGCTACTTCTTTGTTAAAGTCTCGCAGGCGCTCGCGTACTACAGCAAAACTTCCTACCAATGAAAAGGACGTCAGAGGTTCTGGTTCAGATATCGAGGGCGAAGTCGAGGAACAGTTCAACAACTCGACTGCGAACACTCTGGTCGAAGTACACCAAGCGAGGCCTAGAGGGCCTTTCTGGCCGTCAACGGCGCATCAACTATTCTATATAGCGAAATTTGGGCAGCTACCACCAGACATGTCGTATAGGCCCATCCATCCACTAAAGAGCTATGCGACGCCCTCGCAGTTCGATCTTTCCAGCCTCACTATCCCGTTGACCGCGAAGGAAATCTTGACGGTAAAGCTTCTTCTCCTGGTATATTATACTTGTCTAATGGGTCCAGTTCTTCCCCAACCACGTTAACATACCTGAAATACAACACAGGCTCTATCACAGTGACATCAAAGGCTCTTTCCAAGCTAACTTCATTGTAAGTGGTCTCGAGGACTGTTTGAGTGTTCGTAGTCGAAAGAGCTGACATGATCATGAAGAATCATCAGTACCGTCTCCAAGGCCTAGATATCGTCATACCCATGGATTGTCGCGCGTATCTCGAGAAAGCGAGAGCAAAGTTAGGAAAAGAGTTCACAACCAAACCTACTACCTTTACCACCAGTCATTACACTTTCTTACCTGGTGACGCGAACGGATTCGACAACGTCAGGATATTTTACCCAATCATCGATTGTGGCTTTCATGTTCATCCGAGCAACTTTCCCATGGGCCCTGACAGCGGTCCCTTCACGAAAGCCCTCATCGAAATCCAGCTTATTGGCAACACGACACTGATGTTGTCTCAGCTTGATTTTGTCATTGCGAGGATGGGCATCAGTCGGAAGCTAGTGGACGGATATACTGATGCAGATTTTCAGAGAAGACACAGGGTGATGGTGAAAGAGTATCAGGACTTTTTGGAAGCGAGCGCGAGGGAGAACAATATTCAATTTGATCACTGAGATATAGGGCAACACCGCTAGCAAGGCCTTGAACATAGTCAGTGGATAGTCGGAGTTCTCTTACAGCACTATGTCTACACCTAGGATGGTTTCTGCAGAGATGAATCTTCCTACATCTGTATGGGGAAACAAATGTAGAAAGTACCATTTGCTTCTTAAAGTCGTGTTCATGGACTATCTACGTCCCTTCAGGTGCCTCTGACTTGTCATTACTAGACATCATGGGAATATCCTCCTGTTCTCCACCACATCCTGATCAGATCGTAGTTTGGATCATGTCTGCGAGCCGGATCAGAGTTATGATCTGGGAAGAGACGATCGCGAGCCGCTTGATCAGCCTGGATGATGGAAACAAGACTTGGACCTGGAAGATTATACTGCGTGTCCAAGCCCACTTGGGTAATGTACTGCTCAACTTGAGATAGTCGTACATTATTATGATTGTGGCGGCGAGCATGAAGCACGGCGATGGTCAACCTCCCTTGATCCGCACCTTGAGGGAAGTGTGCTAGACCATCACCCAAGCTGACGAGAAAACAGTCGCGAAGATCGTTGAAGTCGACATTTGAACTGACACGGTCAGTGCTAATGCTGTCGAGTGTGAAGCCAGCAGCACTGCAATGGTGGTTCTGAGCGTCTCTTCGGTGCTTCTTCATACTGCCAAAGCTGTGAGCCCGTAGGTCTACCGTACCGAGCGATCGCTGCCAGTACTTTGTATAGATGAGCAAGGAACTTTTACATGTATTTCATGAACACTTACAATGAGCATGCGCAGCATGGAGAGAGTCCAGCCTGCTGCGTCGAAGCGCTTCCACAGAGCTCTCCAGGATGAGGCTGCTCGAGGAAAGAACTGCTCTTTTGTCAGTTCATCTTGACTATGTTACGGATTGGTTGATCAACAACTGACTGCGACAATTTCCACCAGGTTCACCTGAATGTTCGGCCCAAGACGACGGATATCGACATGATCCCACAGTGCAACACTGTTGAAGCGGCAATACGAGTCAGACAGAGCGCGAGAAGGTAAGGCCGCAGATCGAGGAGCGATGAAAATCCAAGCCAGCTTACGAGACTCGGGCCATTCGTATTGATAGGTGCCGCTTACGCCTCCGGGACGGATGCCAGATGTACGGGGACCTCGAGGGATAAAGACATGACCTACTCGGGTGAGTACAATGGTCCGTATGGGCTGAGCCGCTGGTTGGTGTACTATCGTTGGCGCCCTGAAAGAGGGTTGGAGACTACTTCCTTGTATCTGCAGTGCTTGGCCTTGCGCCTGGAGGGTCTGAATCAGTCGCCAGTTGATGTATTGCAGGTAGTGTGAGAGACTGTGGAGTAGAGCTCGGCTCCTGAGCTCAGGCGTAGTGAGAGCCTCGAAGGCCACTCGCACTTCTGTAGGAACGCGCGACCTATAACCAGGCACTAATTGTAGGAGCCAGTAACACTCAGCGACAAGGATAGACTCCATCGTCACCGAGTCCTTGACCCAATACTGCAGACCGCTCGGTGTAGGTATCATTGTACCGATCTGTTCTAGGCGCTCACTCGAGTTGCAAAAGTCCTCGATGACCTTCCGTACAATTGGTGTGCGGGTGGTTGCTGTAGCGCGGAGCTCATCGCGAGTTATTTCACTGGGCGCTGACTGGTAGTAGAAACCTTGGGTGGTTGGAACTTTTGTAGTCAGTACTGTCGGACCCAAAGATGCCAGAGAGAGAACATTGCGATATAACATACCAAGATACGGGTCCATGATGCTTTGTGCGCAGTCAGCGAAGTCGATTGATTGGTCTTGATATCAGAGCTCTGGTGGTTGAATCGAAATTGATTCGTTATGTAGATGAAACCCGCAAGAAAGCGCGACTCACAGACCATACAGTCGCTTATCATTGAGGACATAGGCACGTGAGTACGCGTTCTGGCTTAGACCGCGTGTACCACGGAGCTGTCGTGAGAATCATCGGTCCACCGTACTCACGTGCTTCGGAAGGTGATCGGCAGTGCGTTTGACCTATAATTTGCGGTTCGTCAATTTATGCATAGTCACCAGGACGCTAAAGACAGCTTATTGAGGTGCTGTTACTTGCACTGGTCACTGTCTGAACGAAAACCTGCAGGTCATGAGCGTGTTCTTGGCCTGTGATACTAAGAGACGTAGCAATTAGCTGCGACTTCCGTCTGCCTGCTTTTGCCACTGAGGTTCACACAGCGACAATTTCCAATCAAGAATCATAGTACGATTGACGTTTGTAGATCTACACTGTACCCGATCTCATTCCGTGTCGATTTACGAAATCCCTATCTATCATGTCAAGGAAGGCCTGCGAAGGGTGTATCCTCAACGACAACATTCGTATCAGGTTGGATCAGATCGGCAGCAGGAACGGTGATTCCGTGCCTTGTCGCATACTGAACGATCTCTGACATCCTGACGTTCATGTCATGAGACACGTTTCGGGCATGCTGAACGCAACGCGTGAGGAGCTGGGCGTCGCGACCAGTGGGATAATGGACTACTCCATCACCTAGATGATAAAGAAAGTAGTCGTGTAGAGGTCGATCGGCTGCCTTCTTGTCCGTTTTCCCTCTCGTTGACATGTTCGAAGGAACATTCGTTGTGAAAGTGTGTGTCGGCACATCGGCCGGCCGGCCGTCATGATTGTGGTGAAATGCGGTACGGTGGTAGCTACGAGGACTTTGCAGTTGTCGAACGTAAGACTGCTAAGATGAGCCAAGCGGGCTTGTAGAGAGATTTCAAGACACTTACCATGAAGTCAGCGACTTCTTTCGGTGACCATGACTTTCTTATACGATCCCACAGCTCGTAATTTACGGTCTGGTAAGGAAGGAACTGCTTCAAAGTCAGCAAATACCTCAAACTAAGAGTGATGTGCGTACAGTCAACATCTCCTGTGCAGTAGTAACACAGTTGATCAGAGTAGGACCAACCGTTCTTGGTGGTGCTACCCCTCTCATCTCGTGGCGATCATCGGAATTAGCTGAAGATGGAAGTGTTGCTAATGTCCTTCCTTCGATCTCAAGATGAGCACGAATTTGACCACGCGACATCGCAACACCCTTACATCCCCTACCAGAAACATTCACTGTATTTCTAGTTGAAAAGCGGGCCATCATTGCAGCGATGGGATCCGCCAAGGGAGCCTGGACAGCTACCGTTGCTGGAGTGACAGTTACGGGTACCGTTGGCTGAACTTGAGATGCTGCCGCCACTGCAGGTGCCGCTACCACTGTCGTTGTCGATGCCACAGGTGTATGGGGTGTGGCGGCCTGGGAGGCAGTGGGGTGCTGCGTAGTTGTATCTGATACAACTGTCTCAAGAACACGTCCCAGGTCTGACGATGAGCGGGATGAGAGAAATTGCTCAATCCTTGGTGCTGTATCATCGTTGCGGAACCGTTTGCGGGATTCAGTTGGGCGCTCCTCCACGTTGTTGTCTACTCCATATTTCCACTCTATCTGGAGGCCGTCCTCGGCTATGGCTGCTTTGCGCTTGAATGAATGCGCTGTGGAGGTAACTGTTGGTCCTCTGTGCATATGGACAGGATTCGGGACACGCGCGGTCTGCTCGAAGAACGCGACTCGAACTTCTTCTAGAGCTATCATCAGATAGCAGTTCGGAGTAGTGAGGAAGATCTCCACCCACGCATCGATAAGTCGAAAGTGTGGTCCAGGTGTGAAGCAATACATCAAGTCGTCATCTTCCTGCACATTTCTGAAATGAAACCACTGAAATCTTGCAGAATACTTGATGACATCTTCAACTCGACGACGGTGGTACTCGTTGCTCTGCAATAGGTGGTCTTCGCGAAGGTTTCTCGGAGTGTAGTGTCCTGGCGTGTACGTCACCCTTGGATCGTTCCAGAGGAGGGTCGGAAGGGCCGGTGGGTGCTGGAGCGTACTGTCATGATAGAATCCGCTCGTCATCTGCGAAGTTGAATTGACGAAGTTTTGCATAGGCCCCATGCGAGGACCAAAGTGCAGAGCAGGCATAACGTTACTGTTTTGGTAAGCTTATATGGATGTTAGCAATCTTAGAAAGAAAGTAGGCTTGAAACTTACATTCCATTGCACTCGATATTTTAAACTGAATGTCGATGGTATTAAAGCCAATCGGTGTATAGTTCGGATAGGAAGTGTGTAGAAGTCTTTCAAGTGACGTTTAGGACAAGCGACAGGAAGAGCGTGAATCGCGGTCAATCTACACTGTGCGGAGGATGAGTGGATGTAGGGAGCTTTCAACAAGTTTGAGTTGATCGTGCGTTCACTGTTCGCTCGAACCACAGAAATCGTATGCTTTTGAGGATAGGGGAGAGCGGCGCGTGCAGGGTATAATGGCACTAACCACTCTCAGGAGTGAATTTGCATCAAGTGGAGAATCAACGATGATGCCTTGTGCTAACATCGTGACTCTGATCAGCAATTTACTGTGTAGGCGGAGCTTTCACGCAGACCTTGCGTAGAATAAGCGGAGTAAATAGCACTGTCTGCAACAGGAGAGAGAGAGACATTTGAGTGATATATACAACTGAAATGCAATATTCGTGAGGTATTGAATCGGTCAGAAGTCAGAGAAATAAGGAATCTCTAGACGGGTGTTAGAGACATGATATCCAAGTCATTTTCGTATGCGCTACGAGACGTCGCAAGCATTGTCACCACGTTATACTATAGCAAATACAACGTCAGTAAGCAGCAAGTAACAATGATGGACCTCAAAGTACACAAAGACTGCATATTCGTCAGCATAACGGTCGCAGCTCAATTCGTATGTCTTTCTCACTAGCAAACCATGACTGACATCTTTTGCGAACAACGATATCCATCTTATGGGTCTTGACCATTGAACTTGGTGCGGTAATCGTCCCTGATCGTGTCAAGGAACGCTTCTGACGGCAGCTGGTCCTCGAATGCCAGGTTTTGGAAGTTCATCTGATGATGTGCCGGCACGGTGATATTATATCTCTGCGCGTACGTAGCAGCCTGGCTCAGCCGAACGTTTCGATCGTGTGTGACGCCTCGAACGTGTTCGATGACTAGCGTTAATATCTGCGCCTTACGTCCGCGAGGTGGTCGGACCACTCCATCACCCATACTATAGAGGAAGTAGTCATGTAGGTCCTTGTTAGAGCCACGCGCCCCGCTGTCTGTGCTAGTATGGCGCAAAGAGGCAGTGGGAACATGGCCAGGGTAGCTTTCACCCCATTTCTTGGCCTTTGCGAAGTGATGCCCGATTTTCGATCGACCAAAGATCCCTGGTGTTTGGAGATCGTGTGCATAGTTCTACAAATAGTCTCAATCAGCTTATTGTTTCTTCGATCTCTCAGATATAAGTAACACTCACAATGTAGCGAGCTATGTGCATTGGCTGCCAATGCTCAATTGCCCGCAAACACATCTGTCGGTTGAGCGTGCATATGTTTGAAAAGTACTGGTTAGCTGTTAGTCCCTCGACGATAGATATAAACAATGGGGAATTATACTCACTGTGAAGTTCTCCTCGAGCGACGTTTCGAAAGGACAGCAGGTCACGTCGATTGATTCAGGCGTGCGGAAGTTAGACATTTCAGTGCCGAGTTCAGAGAATGCACTACTTGGCAGCTCCTGGATGCTTTTATTCTGGATCTCGACAAAGGCCCGAATACGCTCAGCACTCCAGGCTTTGTTCCCGTTGTCGGTTGGAGTTCTACTTCCCGGTCGAAACCCAGGGACAGTTATACCCCTTGCCTGGAGTAGTTGGGTGAATATTGGCGGAGCCGCCGGATTCTGCTCAGATGCAGCTGTACCATCGGGAACAGACTGCAAAGGGAAAATCGATACGCTATGCGCAGTCGATGTACCTGGTTGAGAGCCTGTGGTTGAGGCCACTGGTAACTGTAAATTTCCTTGAGGTATCTGCTGGCTGGGCTGGATGGGCTGGATGGGCTGTAACGGCTGGGGTGTGACGGTCAGGGATGAGGATTGCTGGACACCCAAATTTGCAGGAGCTGTAAACGACTGAGAAAATGGAAAAGGTCCAAACCCTGAGGGTGGAATTGGGAGCGGACCTGTGATCGGCTTGGCTGTCTCTGGACCCGCAAAGCGTGCCCCTCCAGGCTGGGAATAGCCATATTGGAAAGAATTTCCTGCCATCTGCGTAGCCGGAAGCATATCAAGAGGCATAGAAGCTTGGTTTCCTCTTTCTATGATCTCTGCAAAGCTAGGCCAATGTCCGGCAACGTTGTAGACCTGTTCCTCAAACGCCGTCCTTACCTCGAGTGGCGCGAGGTCAAACAGACGAGGGACGAATATGAAGAGCATAATCCACTCTTCAGCTAGAAGACCGTTTGGCAGCCAGTAACGGTGGCCAGCAGCTACCTCCATGGGTGTGGGGAGTACGAAGGTGGTTATGGAACTATATTCCCAGATACGCTCCAAGTAGTAGGTGATCTGTTGGCTTGTCATACATGTATAGTCGGCCTCGATGAAGGCTTTAGTGAGGATAGGCTGAGCTGTCGGGACATGGGGTTCACCGATGAAGCTGTTCCAGGAATCGAGGTTGGATGCCATGGTATCAGACGGCGACTGGTCGATTGATCGAGTTGAATCGGCAATGGCTAGTGTTCCTTCGTATTACAGTTGCCAACTCAACGCTACGTAACTTTCGACCGAGATAGTATAGGTGCGGTGGGTTGAAGGTGAGCTATATAACTCCTACCAGGAAAGAAATACCAGAGGAGCGTATGCTCGAGACAAGGATCTCATGGTGAATTCCATCCGCAGCCGGTACTCAGGTCGATGGCACATTACTCTGTGCGAAGGAATCAGAGTGAACCAGTACATCGTCGATCGACAATGCTTGACAACCTCCCTGAGGGTAGCAGGTATGACCACTAGGATGAAACCTTCACATTCACTGCGCTGACCTTCTGAACTTCTGATAAGTGACTTATCAAGTTTGCTTGTGCGTTGTTTTCACGACAATTGTTATACATTTGCGCGTGTGATGACTCAATTTCCATACCGTTCTGTATTGCCATTTCTTCACCCAGCTCTTGATACCCATAGGCTCTCGCGCAAAAGGCGGCAAGTTGAATCCACAGGGTCGCTCTTTCATCGTTTGAGGTGAATATCATTAGAATGTTTCCCTAATCAGGTTGGACGCGCGGTCTGGCGCGCCTGGGCAGTTTGAGATCTAGAGGCGACTCCAGAGCACAGACGACGCGACTGGATCGAACGGACCCTAGATCGTTGCTAGTAAGAACAAAGCCGCTGCGAGTCCACTCAAACTACTGCTGTTTCTGCAACACTGCGAAGGCCAGGACTACACCGATAAGGCGTAATCGCAATACTCCGCGACGACGGTTTCAACCAGCTCACCTACTCGGATCACTCGAACGGGATGTCTCGGGTCACCCCAACCTCTGACAGCTTCTCAGGGCAAAGCATCAGAATATACGGAGTGCGAGCTCGTGGAACAACAAACACAGCCGGTATGATGCGAACAATACATGCCTGTCTTTTCAATCGTTTCTGACAACACGCAGGGCGAACGCAGATCGAGGGAAAACACCATACCCAAGCTAATCCTCCCGAAATCTTCGTCGTGCTCGGAGCCAAAGAGGCTTCGCTCTCCGCATCAACATCGTCATCATCTCGCACCGTCCGTCCGACCGGAGTGAAAGAACTCGAACATGCTCCCCGGCTTGACGAATGCATTGCGCGGCTGCTCAGTGAGATGGAGGACGTCAAGGTGCCATCTCCAAGCTTTCTTACAACGCGTATTCGGGGTGAAAACAACGATAGCAACGGCCTCGTTTCAGCACTACGTCTCTATCCCATCCAGGAAGTCCTAGTCCGCTATATCTCCATGAAAGATCTCGAAGCGATTGCCTGTACGTCTTCAGCACTTTCAAACTCTTTGAACTTAAAAGAGACTAGGCATTTCTGGAAGTTCAGATTTAAGAATGGAAGGGGTGGTAGTTCATGGAAGCGTGTGAGGCATGATGCATACTTCAAGGCTCTCGAAGACATGCCCGAGCCTCGAAAACGGAAGCTAAGCGGGGACGAAGAGCTTCCTTATGCACCGCCGTGGCGCCCTCAGTCGCGAGGACCAAAAAGAATTCAGGTAGCACTTGGACGTATGTAAATGGACGAGACCTTGGGAATGAGTTCTCAGACACTTCCTAATGTTGGCGTAGGAATGTGGCGCGCGAGCATAGCGATCGATAGTAATCCATAGTAATCGAGTGTAAAAATCCTTTTGGGTGTAACCGCTCAAGCCACAATGCATCATGCATGCTGTTTATCCATTGAGGGCACACTGAGCAGAATGAGCGTCAGGAAAGGACACCTTCGCCGGATATCCCCCGACCTGCCCAAAGTCCCCGTGGCTTATATCCTGCTCATAACCATGCCTTGGGCCAGTCTTCCATCTCGCAACAACTAGGTCAGCCGACTGCGCAGCCACCCCAAACTTCAACTCGACCGACGAAGGGCCCTTGTCGTCGACAGCCGGAAGACGACGAAAATTGGAACGGGGTCATATGAACTCAAGAAAGACCGCTGGAGAACGTCGCGAGATAAATTGCTATCTGTGGTGACGGAAGCTTTGAGGATGGTACGACAGCAGCTTCAGACAGGTGCGAGGTACAGAGAAGGGTATCGGCTACAAGAGACATCGTACCAAGCAGTGTAGCAATGGTAGAATTAGTAGTCTACACAGTGCATACGCATGTCTCGCACAATCCAACTTGGATGTGAGACCAACTGTGTTTTCTCTTGCGCTAGCCTTCGACGTCGGGAGATAGTTTGCTGCACCATAAATTGGGTTCGAAGAGAGATTCAAACATGGGGTTTCTCAAATATCTGCCAGAAATCAAGATAGCCAGCTCATCCCATCGTGCACCAAATGTGGCGTCTGTTGGCGTGGCGGATATTGCGTGCGGACCCTCCGCTCCTGACGACTCTCTGATGAGCACTGACCTTGTTACATGACCACATCCTGACCAGGTGAATTATTTACTTCCAGTAGGGTCAACTACCAAAGCAATTCATTGTCGGCCTCTTGTCTTTGTATGTGACGCAGCGATCCTGCCTCAGACCCAGTCGAAGCTCATAGGAGATCGTTCAAGATGCACTCCATTGCTAGCTCTTCCTGCGCCTCTGTTCCTATACTTCCGCATGCGCGAGACGATGTCTCTGTCGCACCTTGAGCTGAGTATCCACGATGCTTCATGTTCTAAGTCCTCGAACCTCGAAGGCTGCCCAGAACTCGATTCGCGGCCACGCGAGACAGCCACAACGTCAAAACCTCGACTGGTTACTATGAGACGCTCAGTTGCGAAGTCACCACAAGACAGTCGAATATCGCACGCTGGTTGAAGAGGCGGAATTGCGATGGTTCATAGGGAGATGATGATGAGGGAAGAACAAAGAAATGATGACGCTGTCGCGACAGCCGAAGCCGAGCCATCTCCGCAGGTATCCTCGGCGCCAGTGGAGCCGCTTGTCTCGACCGAATCGTTACACACGCACACACCTATCAGCAACACCGTTGCAGCCATTCATCGACTACACTCAACGCGAGCACTGATTGAAAAGCACATAAGCCCCTGCTGACCAAAGCGACTTGATGCAACAACTCGGCAGTAATGACTCCGCACCGGACCAGCCGTACGCATTCGACTGCACATGGCGCCCATGCTTGCCGAGTGACTGCTTCGCACTACGCGACATCACTATATCCGCTCACGATTTTCGTTCTTCAGTACTGTACGAGATCTGGTATAGATGACATGGCTACTAAATAGCCATCTGGATCCCTATGTTCCTGACCATGTCCAAGAAACAGAATGGTTCTCAATCCTGGTTTTCGTCGCTTGAAGAAGAACGGCTCCCACTCTACAGGTCCTGCAGTAACGGCAAAGCACCTTGCCGCTGATTGCTACTCCTTGGTATCCATACTCTCATATGCCTAGAAAGAGTTCGGGAACATAATGTTTCATTCGCGTGCAGTGGCTGCTACGCAAGGCGGCTCCTCTGCCATCTTGAACGCTACTCATGTTGCACCATACACGATACATCCACATGCAGCTCAGTCAACTGTCGCGAAACCTCTTCACCATTACCATAGCCCATTCTGATTGGTTTGCCTAACTGTATGCGGCGCAGATCCGTCTAATTCCAGGGATACGTCTCGTTGCACGGACCCTCAACACATAGCCTATACGCTCTTCCTTAAGACTGTGGGGATCTTGATCGGCATCAAGCAGAGCATCGCATACTCAGAACGGCTTCTCTCGCATGTTGATGCCGTACCATGAAGATAAACAGGCTGCAATGCTATCCTCTTCATCCTGTCAGGACATCTCGTTCTACCGTCGCAAAAGAAGTCATACCCATGGCAGCATCTCGTCCTTAAACTGGAGAAGTGAGAGTACCACTCTTGAAGCGTCCCAAAACTACTGCTGTGGTAGTCTACCGGCGAATGCATACGACGGCTGTCACGGCCACTGGTTTACACGCACGTGGGGTTGTTCAAGCTTCCATCGAAATGGTCAAAAACCTGAAATACCCCATCTCATCAGACTCAAGACGATCATACCATCTGGAGCCAACTCTCTTGGTGATCACTATAGTTCGCTGTCGTTCAACATCCACGCGAATGGATATCATAGACATGATTTCCTTGCGACCGTATGGCATGCTATGAACGTCTTTACGCTCCCCGGGTTGCCACATGCAAATCCTGGCAAGCACAAAGCTGATCTCATGTCTCCGAAAAAAGCCAGGTTACGACAGCTCAAAACGTGCGACTGCCCACGAATCAGTATACGCACTCTAAGCATCTCCGATACTTTCTTCTCAGCGATGCTCAGATTTGCCATCTTGTATATCTTTGAGAGCCAAGTTGAACTTCGCAAATGCTATCTGTCTGCAACGCCCGGAAAGTCCTCGCATACTCCAATATGTGCGAAAGAACTCTTCGTTTCTTGACAGTCGCTCCTTGTCCACGAGTCTTGTCTCTCGGCCGCAAAGGCAGGGCGACATGTCCTGATCGCACCATTACCTTTGTAACCGGATCTCAGAAGCGCTCTTGTACTGAATGCTTCCATGGCTTGATGCAGGTTGCACTTGGTGTCTTCCGGCCATGTTACAGCATGATTTCTCTTCCTATAGGATGTCTGATAGGATATGCGTCCTTTGTCTCCTTTGATGCTTTGTAGACTGCTCGTCAGGCGTTCCAGCGATAGGTGTGCACTACTGCGCCTCTACTTGGGAGCATTCACCTTGCCAGCCCTATTTCGATATTGTCGTTGACACGTTGATCGTTCGCATACCTGTGTCGCTATGGTGCGGAAGAGGCCGCGCAGGTATCCGGAATCCGCATCCTTCGAAGGACATTCGATCTATGCCATAGCTCATCGTCGGTCTGCAATAATCGCTTCCCTGGACTACCAGCATTTGGGTCTCGTCGCCAGCTAGTGTGCGTCCACATAGGGTTGATAGGACCAAACATCTTTGACTCGCAAGCTCAACAACAGATCAATGTCTAACCACTATGTCAGCAGCATGATAAAGAGCTCTAGGTAATCTCGCCCCTGAGGGTACGAGGCGTGCGCAAGTTCGTCGGTATCAGACCCTGTTGGCGATCGAGGTGGCGGTGGAGGAGAGGATCGTCAAGGAAGTCAGCGTCGAGACGCTGCAATGCTATCAGCTTTACCTAACCATGGCCATACGATGGACATACCGCCGTACAGCTATTCTCGTGTGGTTCGTGGATCCTCATTGCCTTGCTTGTGGCCTCCCTGTTCCTCCCTTTGTCGTGAAAGTGAGCATAGCTTCACACAGACGCTAAGCGAAAGCTCCCACGACTCCCGCCTACGTGTAAGTACCCCACCAACTTAAGGGTCTGCCTCTCCGCTTCTCGAATCTCAGCTACTGGAACTGTGATATCAAATGGGTGCTCCTCCCTTCGCAGATATTCGCCTGCAATCTGCCACGATGGCCGCCAACAACAGCGATAATCTCAAGCCCAAGCCTGCCACTTCACACATCAACACGGGCTACTACTATGGTAGCGATAGTAACAACTCCGAGGCTGCGAAGAACGACCAGGCAGACGAAGAAAGCGACAGTGACGGTGACGGCGACGAGCACGTCCGAGATCTAAGCGTTGGCAGCCACAGTAAGTACACGAAAGCGTAAGCTTCACGGGTCACTAACGCAGGATCGATAGACCCCGGATCATGGCTGGCGTATAACAACGAAGGCAGAAAGCTCAAGGTCGAGCTGTCCATGCATCTCAAGAACAAGGACAGGAAAGAGGCAGCACGCGTCCAAAAAGAAATCGATGATCACCTTCGGCGTGGTGAGGTAGACATTAGCCAGCTTGATCCTGACACTATAGCATGCCTAGAGGCAATTGACGGTCCGGAACCTCGACGCGCTCCTCGTGGCGCTGTCCGTCTCCCGACTGAGCGTTCTGCTACCCCTTTCCATGCAGGCTCATCCCAGGCTCTTGTACTTACGCCATATTTTACCACTATCCCTCAACCTCAACCGCATGAACCCTCCACATATCGCCGATAACGGAATACTAGAAGCAGGCAGTACACTCGCCCTGAGAGGTCTCAACCGGGCCCTCTACTGCAAAGCATCACCAGTCAATCTGGACTACAAGACACTACTCAATTTTGAGATGACTCTGCTTGAGATGGCCACTGTAAGCTCATATGCTCGTTCGTCCCGTCCACTCTCTACACCTACTAATTTGCCACCATGTAGTATATTCCGTTGTCATTCTTGTGGCTAGGTGGCTTCCTCTCGCGCGTCAAAGCAGCCAAAGGGGGATGCACGGTTGTTGCACAAATGATGGTGAGCAAACCCAGGAGTTCTGAACACAGAATCATGGTGCTAATTCTGATAGCTCTGGGCGAGGGCCCTTGACAATGGTACCGAGTTAACAAACAAGCTCGGAAATCTTCGCAGTACAATGCAACACAAACTGAAGAATTATGGAACGTCCAACAGCGCCGACAAGACTGCCTCCTCTTGGGCCCCTACAAATATGGTGACCACCAGAGCCATGTCAAACTTGACTGCGGACACATCCCTCTTGCGACTTCGGCACGGGGTAACTCGCCCTCCTCAAGGTCAGCATCGTGGTCGTCTCACCATCGCCATCGAACATGCACATACCTGTGGCCATTGGAGTGTCATGCTAAGCGAGGTCGAACGGTATATTGAACACTTCAAGCTGAAAGTACCTAAGAGACTCACTGCGGACGCCGACAAGCTGGCTATCAAGGATTTCGAGAGCATCTATGAGGCGACATCTCACTAAGAACATCCCACGAGCTCTGCACATGCGCACTCTTGGGCTCCACGCCCATTCTATAGGGCAAGCTGAGAGCACTGATTATGCGATGTACGGCATAGATGTTTATGACGGAGACGTAACGGCCAGTCAGGTTATAGAAGCCACCACTTGGTGTGGATGTGTTCACGAAAGAGATCTTAATTCGAGTTTGTATTCGCAAGCGAGGCGTTTAAGGTCAGGCTGATCACTTGGCTGGCAGGCTGACAAAGATTCTGGTTAGGTATAATATGTGCCTTGGAGTTCTATACCCACATCTTTCATGATCATAGTTCGTATTCAAAACAGATGAGCCCGGAATAGATTCTCATTCCTATTGTGGTGTGATGAAGCCGAAAACATATTTTGGCGTCTCGTGTTAGGTTTTGTGGGGCAAAAGGAAAGATTGTCAGTTGTTGTGAAGGTGTCTGGATCCGGGCACATCTCATCCGTTTGGGGTTAGCGTATCTGTCTGTATATCGATTACATCGTCATCTGCGCTTCATGACTGAGGTGGTTTTGTCTGTCCTACCTTCCGCTCAATTTGCCATTCTATAACGCATGGTTCTCTATCTGGGCTGCATGCATATTGCACATCAGATTGGGCACTAGATAAGGCTTTGCGTTGTCCAACCGTGCCACCCAACGCCTACTGTACGGCAGAGCGACCACGCCGCATTCGCGTGCAGTGCACATACCTGGCAAGGCAGTCTCGAAATGCTGCGCATGCACGATTTTGCTTTCGCATATGATGACTTGGCCTGCGAAAGCTGCACATCGATGCGCTCAACGATGCCAGTCCATCTGAACCGTACCTATGTATTTTCGTGGCATCTCTCTCAACAAGAGCTTGAAGGTTTTCACTGTGTCTCATGGAACGCGGCTGGACACGAACAAGATAAGCTTCGCGAAGGATTAAATGATCCCAGGGATGGTACTGTGCCGCATACGGCGATGCCGGCAACACACCAACAATTATCATGCACGAAGTAACCAGCTCGCGTAGATATAGCCAAATGTCGTCAGCTGTCCGTCAGTAGATCTCCATGCAAGATAATCAGCATGGCAGCCTACCTCCAACTGCATACAACACAATCATGTCACTGTCCACACCGGCACTCACCATCCAACACTGTACGGTCCGATGTTGTCAGCACACGACTTCAACCGGTGGATTCTCATCGGCGCATTCGCGGGATGACATGTAACGGAACGACTCCTCCCAGCTTTTGCATGAACATGGGAAATGGACGACTATCAACAACAGACGCGGCGCGGTCTGTTGACGAGCGAGCCGTCGTTTGTTTCCAACAGACGTGCGACGTAGAAGCCGTTTCAAGGAGCGGACATGGGTCGGGAAAAACAAACGAGCCACGCCCAACAAACAGCCTTGCTGGCCTCGTTTCCAAGGAACACGTTCGCTGACTCTTTTCGTGCTCGGGCCTCAGATCTATAGCAACGTTGGGTCTAGCCTTACCGCATGAAGACGGCACGGTTTCAGAACTTCATGCACGCCAGCTGCGCCTGTACGCCAGACGCCGCTTTGCAGCGCGCTGTTAGTGTTATGCGCGACGCGACTGTTGCGGTTGGACGAGAGCCGCGACATCCAACACGAAAGAACACAAATTCTCGCCTATGAAACTGCGGATAATACTTCGCCTTGCTGCAAAAGCCTATTTTGCGGCAGTGACAGCTGGAGTCCGGTGATATTTGGTGGCGGATATTCGCTGCCCCGCGCTGCCCCTGGCCATCATTTTACGGCGTCGAGGGCGTCGGACCCTTGGCGTGGAGAGACCTTGCATGTCATCCCCCTGGGTACCATATAATTGCGGCCACGGCAGGTTGGTGATCGGCATAAGCATATACGCCTCTGTGTCCCCTTGGTGCCTTTCCTTGTCATACAAACATTGTTTCTCTCATATAACGGCTTTATTCGCTTCTTAACAGACATCCATTAACCCCCGGATACGGTTGCATATATCAACGATACGCTTCTCTTCTTTAGATCAAATCGCAACTTCCATTCTCGCTATACGCAAATCTCACACTATGTCTTACCAACCGCAATCGCCTAGTGGGCTTCCCAGCTCTCCACGAGCAAACCGCCAAATGCAGATGCTCTCTCCACTCGACACATCATTTCCCTCGGATTCATCGCAAACACCTTCGCCATACTCCAGCACATCCGAGAAGCATTCAGAAAAGGCCCGCGACATCTTCGCCGATGCTACCATTCCTCTCAGCCCAGCATCGTCAACAAGCTCGACTAGGAAAGCAAACCCTTACGAGGGTCTTGAACCTCGGAAGCGTAGCGGCCTCGCGCGACTCTTTTGCTGCCTTGGCCGCGAAGAGCGCGCACGACGAAGAATGAACAGGAGTTTGGAATTTGAGAAAGTTGGCGAAGACTGCCATTGGTCGGAGTACTAAGGATACGAATTATTCGACAACATATTCGATGATGGAGATTTCGCGGCTTGCCATAATGCCCATGCATATCCATTGCGATCTGAAACACGACATAACGGGACGTCTACCCACCGAACCTCCAAACATCCGACAGCTCGGATACCAAACAGACACCTTCGGATTCCCCGGTGTCCGAGTCACGAAACAACTTGCGATACAAGAATTGATCGCATGCTCAAACACTCACCACACAAACATTGTCTTCATACTGTCACTGCGACGTTTCTTATGTTTATATTTACAACATATTCTCGGGCTTGGATTTTCCGGTCCTTCTTATGGCATTGCTATTGTCTGGATAGACATGCAACTGCCGCTGTTTCTCTATCTGTTCAGCGTTGGTGTTGGGGTCATTTCTGCTATATCCGGTTCACAATCAGAGACCATTTAACGCGCAAGACTGGGAGAGCGAGCGCAATCTCGTCATGCAAGACGAAGGCAAATACAAAATCATTATCATGCAATGTCTGCGTACTGGTCCGCCGCGTCGTTCATCTCGTGCTTTGCTCTCCTTTTCCACGAACCGCCTGATCAACAAACTCTTCAAACTGACACGCATCCCTCCCCAGCACCCACTCCAACACATTGCTGTTCCCCACCAGCCCTCTCGCATCATAGAACAAAATCATCCTTTCCGCCGTATCTCTACTCCGCCTATCCGCCTGCGCAGCATCTTCAAGCTTAAACAACCTCTTTAGCAGAGCATCCACCGCGTCCCCAAACGCCTTCTTCTCGACCATGACCTGTTTACCAATCTTTCCCTCAACGATACGCAACGCCTCTCCAAAACTGATAGGCTGATGCGTCGACGTAAGCGGATACTGCGCATAAAAATGCTTTTCCCGTTCCTCCGCCACAACCTTGAACACTTCAGCCAAGTCACTTAATGCAAGCATCGAGAACCTATTTTCCGTACTCCATAGGGCAGGATACACCGGTTTATCCTGTTGTGCCAGCATAGCGACAGGTATGTTATCCATAAATGTGCTCGGCTGAAGAATAGTGTATGGAATCCCAGATTCCATTATCCATTCCTCGACAACTCGTTTACAGTCATGATTCAACATCTTACTGAACTGGCTGTTCAACACGCTACTCAATATGAAATGCTTGAACACTCCGTTGCCATTATAGTAGGCGGCAACGGCGGCGTCAATCATCATTTTGCCGATTTCTGTTTCGTGGGGGTGGTAGGAGGGACCTATGTGGATGACTGTGGTGACATTTTCGAGGAGCGAGGCGCAGTCTGAAGGGGAGTAAAGGTCGGCTTGGATCACTTCAGCACGGGGGTAGTCTTGTTGGAGACGGGCTTTGGAGGAGGAGGAGTGGACGGCTAGGCGGATGTTCTGCCACTTGGAGAGTAGAGGGAGGAGTTTGCCGGCTTGTTTACCGGACGCAGAGGTGATTAGGAGACGGTCTTTTGAGGGGTCTGCAGGCATAGTCGCTGTTGTGGGCTGTATGAGACAAGACGGGTGTGGTTCGAGGGCATTGAAAGAGCTGAAGTGCAGTGCTTATACTCGTCAGATGGAGACGCGTCTTGACGTCACATTCTTACGTTCTTACGTGGTGTACGTGTCCGACCTGTCCATTGGGTACCTAGGTATTGGGGCAGCGCTCACGGGAAGAGTATACGGCATTGTTCAAGGACACAACAGGACAGTGGTGTCGTCTAGCCATAGACTTTGCTGCCCTGACATTCTACAATTCCCTAAACGTGCACCTAACTGGTCAAAAGATACTTTTGTAGTATATGCAAGACCCATAGTAGAACAATAAATCAACATGAATGCATCCCATTTGCTGAACTTTGAAGTCATCAGGTGGATTAAGAGGGTAACTTGCGAATGTCAACAACAACATGCAGGTGTACTTCGCAGACAGCTTGAAGCACCCGTCCCCCAGACCCGTGTGCGGGGAACGTGCTCTTCGACATGGAATTTGCATTGAAGGTGTCTGCTCACGAACCAGTCGCATTCGTTGCTCTTGCAGCTGACGTACTAAGCATAGATGCCCTCGGGCGCATCCGTCGCCGATGCCGAAGGGCAAAGGTCTGGACACGGACACGTTCGTACGAACTGTGGCTCTGTGGCTGACTCGAGCCTCTTTAATCACATGATGCTCAGAGCCTCATCCGTCACATGATTAGTATGAGGCTCTTGATGACCTTGCGCGTCGCGTTTCCCAAGCTCGGTCGAGAAATCCCTTCCTCGGCTCCTGAGCGAAATTGCCGGCTCGTCGCGCCCGTGTTTAGTGGGGAGGTCAGCGCGGGGCACCCCAGAATCGCGATGCTGAAGACTCCGGATGGATGGCAATTCGCAAACAGGCTGGAATGGAAAACGTGGCCTTGGTGTCTTGGATGTTCTGGCACATGGTGCAAAAGATATAAAGACGGTCGCATGTGCTCATCCGGTCAAACGGCCATAAGCCTGCAGGCATCACGTCACCGGCAGCGTCTCTAACCTTAGTCCGACAACCTCGGCTCCTTGAATTCACAGCTCCACCCTTGTCATCGCAGCCAGCGCGTGCTCATTTGGCCTCGGATCTGCTGAAGCTAGGACTCTTGATATCATATTCTGTCATTTTTCCCCTTGTTACTTTACATATCTTCATTTGTGATGTTCAGCAGAGCTGCACGCGCGCGAGCACCCGCCTCGATACTCCGCAGACCTATTTTGAACCAGTCCGCCTTTGCAAAGCCCAGAGTATGTTGTTGCTGCAGTGTAAACAGACGTATAGTGGGGGGATGTATGCTAATATTCGACGCGCATAGATTGTCGCAATGGCACCAACAAGGAAACAGTCGAGTTTGCCAGCGGGTAAGTGGACACGCTCTATCCACATGCTTGAGACATTTCAGAGCTGACGACCATGTCTGCGCAGGCTACAAGGAGGACCACAGCAAAGGCGCCATGCTGCGCTTTGAAGATTCTCTCCCACGACTCCCCGTTCCCACACTAGAGGAAACCGCAAAGCGATACCTCAAGTCCGTTCACCCACTCCTCTCCCAGAACGAATTCGACGCGACCACAAAAGCCGTCAACGAATTTGTAGCCCCTGGTGGTCCCGGAGAGAAACTACAGAAGCGCTTGGTGGAGCGGAGAGAGGACCCCAAACACAGGAACTGGATCTACGAGTGGTGGAATGATGCTGCCTACATGGCCTACCGCGACCCCGTCGTGCCATACGTCAGCTACTTCTACTCGCACCGCGATGACAGGAAGAGGCGAAACCCGGCAAAGCGTGCTGCTGCCCTGTCAACAGCCGTGCTCGAATTCAAGAAGATGGTCGATGAAGGCAGTCTGGAGCCCGAGTACATGAAGAAGCTCCCCATGGCCATGAGCTCCTATGAGCACATGTTCAACTGCTGCCGTGTCCCCAAGAAGCCATCAGACACCAGCGTAAAGCACTCTTACAAGGAGAACGCGCACATCATCGCCATCAGGAAGAACCAGTTCTGGAAGATTCCCCACGAGATCAATGGAAAGCAACTCAACACTAGCGAGCTCGAGCTCCAGTTCAAGCGCGTTTACGAGAAGGCTGAAAAGGCACCCGCAGTCGGCAGCCTCACGTCTCAAAACCGTGATGTCTGGTCAGACGTATACCCCAAGCTCAAGGCTGCCTCGAGCGTCAATGCCGCAACACTTCAGGAGATTGAAGCCGCATCATTCATCGTCTGCCTCGACGACGCTTCTCCCGTTACTCTCGAAGAGCGCGCACACCAATATTGGCACGGCGACGGCGCAAACCGCTGGTACGACAAGCCCCTCCAATTTATTGTCAACGAGAACGGCACATCAGGTTTCATGGGCGAGCACTCCATGATGGACGGTACACCCACCCACCGCCTCAACGACTATGCGAACCAGCAAATCTTCAGCAACGCCCTTCCCTTCGACGACCCCAACGTACGCTCCGACCTCCCTAACCCGAAACCCCTTCGATTCGAGATCAACAAGGAGCTGCAACAGGACATTGCCGACGCGCAAGCACATTTCGCCAGCCAGATTGGCGCACACGAGCTCAGAGTACAGGCATACCAAGGCTACGGCAAGGGCTTGATCAAGAAGTTCAAGTGCAGTCCTGACGCCTACGTACAAATGATCATCCAACTTGCATACCACAAGTTCTATGGCAAGAACCGTCCTACCTACGAATCTGCTGCTACCCGTCGCTTCCAGCAAGGCCGAACAGAGACATGCAGGACCGTCTCGGACGAGAGTGTCGCTTTCTGCAACGCCATGGCCGATGCTGACGCCTCACCTGAGGAGTGCCAGAAGAAGTTGAGAGCGGCGCTTGATGCACACGTCAAGTACATTTCGGATGCTAGTGATGGACGTGGTGTCGACCGTCATCTTTTCGGACTGAAGAAGTGCCTCAAGGAGGGTGAGGAAGTACCTGCTCTGTACCAGGACCCAGCCTACTCATACAGCTCCACATGGTTCATTTCGAGTTCGCAGTTGTCAAGCGAGTACTTTAACGGTTACGGATGGTCGCAAGTCATCGACGACGGATGGGGCATCGCCTACATGATCAACGAGAACAGCATTCAGTTCAACGTCTGCTCAAAGGGACTCGGTTCGGTAAGTCAAGTCGTTTTCGGAACAAAGGGAATGCAAGCTAACAACAAACAGGAAAAGATGAGCTTCTACCTCAACGAGGCCGCCGGTGACATGAGGGATATCATGCTGCCCACTTTGGACGCGGCAAAGGCAAAGTTGTAGGCATATTACGCCTGCGTGCTTTGTTATTTTTACGGCCATAGACTTCTTCATATGCCAAATATTAACATTACAATTCCATTCTCGGACCACATCCGTGACCCTGTTTGCCCTATTTTCTTATCGTTGTCGTACCAACTAAACACCATATACATCGTGATCATACTTTACACTTTATTTTCTCCAACAGCTACATCAACCACCTCTCCCTCTTTTTGCTGCGTCTGCGGCTTCGCCAGCCTCGCATTCTTCCTCTTTCTCCACCACACCCACGCCAGATACCCCGCCATCCCCACTCCCAACACGACACCAATTGCGATACCTGCCTTCGTCTCCGGATTATCCGTATCATGGTTCGCCTCTTCTGCAGCCTCAGCGTCTTGCCTTTCATCTTCCTCTTCTCTCGCCTCCCGTGCCCGCTGCTGTCCACTGGGCACTCCACCGGGATTTGCAGCCGAGAACACATATTGTTCGCGCGTATGCTTGCCTTTGGGCTGTGTCGCGAAGAAGACCTGACTATACGCTGTATGTTCCTGAATGTCACTATATGATGTCGACGACGGCGGTAGTGTACCCGATGTGAGGGCTAGAGCACATGCGAAGAGCATGGTGTCGGGTTGTTTGTGGAACCACATGTCGAGTCCAATATCTGCAGGGCTATCAAAGAAGGAGGGGTACAACATGGCTATCTCGATGCTGGCGGTTGTGTTGTCCTGTGAATAAAAGTTATCTTCGTTTGTGATTTCGGTTATATTATCCTTGGTGTTCTCGCGGTAGACCTCGTCTTCGGCGTTGGCCCAATCGTTGCAGCGTGATGCTGGTGACGGGGTATCGTTGTCAGGGTCAACCTCATAGGGCTCGAGGCAAACCAAACAAGTTAGCATCATCGATAGTGGTTCGACGTTACTTGTATCCATGTTGGGGTTGGTGGTCCATGTTGCTTCGATGAGATCTTCTGCTTCTGGCATAGTCTTGAGTGAAGACGCATCGCCCCAATACTGAGTATTTGGATCGTGTAGTGCGTGTTCCAAGTATGTCTTCATAGTTGCATCGGAATTCAGTCCAGTCAAATTCCCTGTGCCAGGAAAGGTGAACATCAACGGTCCGGTCTCGAGGGGTTTAGGCTGTTCAGCATCGATCGTGCTCTGCGGTTGTCCATCGCGATAGGTAGCGTTCCAGAAGTTGGGCGAACCGGTCACATCGCCCATGCTAAGGATGATGTCTGATATGCTCGTTCCCTCGTCCTGACCGTTTTGTTGCATCTGGAAAACACACGCGAAGTCGCGGTTGCGAATTGCCTTCTGTGGATCTCCTGGTCTTCCATCGTTACCGGTCGGCATTTCGACATCTGACCCCATTCCTTCTCTTGCTACACCAACATCAATCCATACTTCCGTGGCATCTGCTTGATTGAAATCCAGACATGCATGCGAATCCTGATCACCTTGCACAGGGCATGTAAGACAGTAAACGCCCAGGTTTAGGCCCTCAGTAGTGTCGATGCCAGACCAAGAGGACTGGACAATGTCTTCGCCGTGCATATATCTTGGTGCATCAGTATCGCTCTGGTATGTCGATAGGTACTCTTCGATAGCGTATCGGGTGGTGTTGTAAGTATAGGATGCTGGAAGTGTCGAGTTAGTAGGACCACCGTAGGGAAAGGTCCAGCTTATTTTCGAAGCGATGAATGCCATCTTGCCGCCTCTCGTCTAACAGGGTAAGTATGTTGTACAGTGATAGTACGACTGTAACAGTGCGAGGCGTAGGTGTAAGAGGCTACAAATTCCAACACCACATGGCATGTACATCGCGCGGGACATGTTTCAAGAAATCCAATAGAATCGCTATCGCGTGCGAGAGTCCTCGACCTTGATTTTCTATCGTAGGATCCGGACGAGAGAATGTAGTTAGCAATTCTCGCTTCTGGCTGTCCACCCACGTCACCCAAAGTGAGACTGCCTGGCACTGAGAGCTTGGCAGCTTGATGGAGATAAGCCTTGGAGCGTTCCGCTCTATTAATGTTGCAGCGTGACCGGTTACTGTATCGAACTTGGCGCTGTCCGTGCATTTTGCAGACGTTGAGTCGTGGAAACGGGATGCTTGAAATCGCGTCAGTACATGTGCAAGGTAGTCACAGCTAAGCGACAACCGGCTGGAGAATCGTAAGGAGTTGATTTTGGCATGCTAAGGTACAGATCAAAGTTTACGACATGGTAACTAAACCCAGTCCAATCCAGAACCCGTAGCTCACGTCATTATTATTGTACACACTCATAAATTCTTTTAGGAATTTATGGGTTCTGCTTGACCCACTCAACACCCTTCTTGATGTTCTTGGCGAGGTCAGCGACGCAAGCGTCGAGGAGGCTCTGCTCGTGGTCGGTGATCTTGCCGACGGGGTGGATCTTCTCAACACCGTTGGGGCCGAGCTCAACGTTGGTGGAGAAGTAGTCGCAGCCCTGGTCCTTGAACAGAGGAGAGTCGACGAAGGTGGGCTCGATGACGTTCTTCTGGCCCTGGGCAGCCTTGAGGAGCGACTCGGCGAAACGGGCACCGGCCATGGCCATGGAGAGAGTGGCAGAACCAGCACCGTCCTTGGCCTGGACGACCTCGTCACCACCGAACTGGACACGGTGGATGTAGTTCTTGAGCTGCTCGCCCTCAAGGTTGTAGCCGGATTGGGAGAGGAGGGGAACGATGGTAGCGCCGGAGTGACCGCCGATGACAGTGATGTTCTCGGTGGCGGGGTCGGTGTTCTTCAGCTGGGAGATGAAGCGAGAGGCACGGACAACGTCAAGGGTGGTGACACCAAAGAGACGCTTGGGGTTGTAGACGCCCTTGGACTTGAAGACCTCGGCGGTGATGGGGACGGTGGAGTTGACCTAAAACTGTCAAAATTCGGATCTGCGCCAAAGCGATTGAAATGAACGTACGGGGTTGGAGATGATGAGAACGTTGGCCTCGGGAGCGTGGTCAGCGACGGCCTTGGCGAGGTCGCGGACGATGGAGGCGTTGGTGTTGAACAAGTCTGTTGCATGATTAGTTGTGTCCAAAACATGCGCCGTTTCCATGCTCACCATCACGGGTCATGCCGGGCTTGCGGGGAACACCAGCGGGGATGACAACGATCTCAGCACCCTTGAGGGCGTCGGCGAGACCTGAGGGAGTGGCGTCATGGCCGATGACCTTGTCGTGTATCAGCAGATGGTTCGCGGATGAATTCGGAGCGTCTCTCGTACCTCGCTCTTGGTGTTGATGTGGCCAATGTCGGCAGCGACACCTGTATCACGTTTGTCAGGACTACAGCATCGCGTGTATAATTGACTGGAGCTTACCGGGAGCTAGACGGATGTCGTAGAGGGAGAGCTTGCTAACCCTGGGGTTGAGCTTGAGCAGCAGGGACAATGGCTGACCAATGCCACCAGCGGCACCGAGAACGGTGACCTTGGAGTTCTGCAGGATAAAAAGTCAGCATCTTGAGCTGCAATTGTCCCAATGGCATGGCCATCTCGCAGCGCGGCCAACCGCCCCACCAACAAAACAGTCGCGACTTCCGGGAATATGCATACCTGGCGGGCCGAGGCCGAGAAGCAGCGGCGCGAGCCCTGGAAGAAAGCTTGTCTGGCAGCGAACATGATGTCTGTGATTCGGGTGAGGAACGTGAGACTGGGTTGGACTGGATGAGAGGAGGTGGTGGTGTGGGAAAGCTGCGGGAGGTTTTGCGAATCTTGAACGTCAGTGCTTCTTCGGCTGGGCGTCGGAGCTACGGCTGACACCCGCTTTCACAAACACCTCACCCCTCCTGCCACCTTCCACCCTGAACTCTACCGCAATCGCATGCGCAATACCGAGAGTGCACTCATGATTGAGCATGCATTTCACTTTGTCATAACGCAGACATGAGGCCTCGTCGCTACGCCGTGGATTTTGAGGCCACCGAGGTATCGTCGCCCACAGCCACACTGTCACACCGTATGGCATCAAAGTGATTCCAGTGGCAGTCCATCGCGACTCCTCCGCAACGCTACACTTTGTAGACTGCATGCCTTACCATGCTGTCGAGCCAATAATGCGTCGCAGCGGTGAGTCAAGTACGCTAAGTTAGGGTTCCGTCGCGCTACCATCATACAAAGTGCCGACTTAAAGCCACACCTTGACTCACTGTGGCAGTGCATGTAGTGAATATATACCATGCATCGCGACGTACACACTTCTTTGATTCACCTTCATCAATCAATACTAGAACCATCGCTCACCGTGTGCGACTATCACAGATTCAAAAACGAAACAAATAGAGACCTTTCAAGACTTCCTCTTGAACGCCATGGCCCCTCCCGACCAAGACAAGTCATGTATTCCTGAACTCCAAGCAGCACTGGGCCCGCTGCTCCTCACACGTGCATCCCCATCAGATTTGTCGTCTCATTCCCCAGGCTCCTACACCATAGCACGCGGTTGTCCTGATAATATCCCTCCAAAGGAGCAAGTTCTACCTAAATGGACTGGCGCCTTCAAGCTCTTCGACTTTCCACGAGAGCTGCGAGATAGAATATATCACTACGTTGTCCATGTCCCAGGGGGAGTACATTACACGACGCAAACCAAGAGAGACCTTCAGGACAGGCCTAGCTCCGATATCGTGAACCTCCTCCTGGTTTCCAAGCAAGTCCACTATGAAGCGTCACAGATGTTTGGCAGGAGCAACACCGTTTGGCTATCCTCTTCATATAGTCCACGCGAAGGCTACCGCAAGCCACTTACCGGCCTACTTCGTCTGTTCCCTGATCCGGCAGCGGACGCATTGACGAGTGTGAGCCATGTATACCACGACACTATTGCCCGACCCCTTGGGATGTGGGGCATGGCGCCGAGCCATGACAGTATTGCTAGCGGAGGTGATGGTACAGGCCATTTTCACAAGCGTCAAAAGCCTGGAGAGACCTTCTGCGAGATTTTGAGGGATGCGCATGTCATCTCGCAACGTTTCCCAAAACTCAAGGTCTTCGACGCCGTTTGGTATGTCGGGCCTAGGTTCCACGAGTATCCCATACCAGAATGTGTTGTGCATAACATTGCAACTTTCCTGAAAAACTCCGGCAGCCGGGAGGAAGCAGTGAAGATGTGGTTAGATCTTATGCGACAATGGCTACAAAAGGGTAACGTGGTCCCACTGGGGTGCGTGTGGTTTAGCGTGCAAGGATATAGCACAGATGGGTTTGGGTCGGAAATGGATGAGGCGGCAAACGAGGCGTATCAGATACTGGTAAAGGAGTCAAAGGATCGGGAGGATATCGAGGCTAGTGGAAAGATGTGGTTGGAAGACATGGAAGAAGCGAGCAGGTGTAAAAGGAAAGGGAAGAGCGGAAAGAAGGCAATACAATGAGTGATTGTATTGAATACAAGGACATGACAGGGGGTCAGACTCCTTACCCAGGATTCATATGCAGCATGCTACCGAACAACTGGAACTGGTTCAGCACACTGTTTCACCAACATAGCCAAGCCCAGCGTAGTAGACCGCCACTGTGCTGCTGCTTGATTAGAACCATTTCTCAGTGTATTCGAGCAGACATTCGAGCCTTTGTGCAGTATTCCAGATGCGGTGTTGTTCCTGCAGTACCACTGACTGAGCAAGAAGGATGCAATGGAGAATGTCCCTCCATCGCTTCGATTACCCACTCGCGACGAATACTACCTAGTTACGTGTAGATGACATGTTCCTCACTTCACGTACGCTAGCGGGGAAGTCGGCACACTGATCTCGCAACAGAGTGAGGGGAGAGTCTTAACTCTTTGTACCTCACCATGGATAGGGCCTCTAGTAATAGGACCTGCTGCTTGAGGAATGCATGTTCCGGTCACTTGTGGCGCTGCTGCATATCTGCCCCATCTCTCTAGGCCACCTGAGCTCGCTAGTGGTCCTTATGTCACTCTGTCTCCGCTCAACAAAGCAGGCGCAGAAATGGCGGTCATCTGGGGGTCGTGTGCTGTTTAGTGCGGAGGGGGCCGGGGAAGTCGACTGTGGCTTCTGTGGGCGCAACTCCATTACAAGTACTCGAATCTGGGGATCTACTAGACGGAGTAAGTCCGAGGAATGTCCTGTTTCCCCGAAGTCATATCGAACGAAAGCCGTAGACCCCTATTTGCCTGGCGCTCGCGGATGGTTTTCCGTCGGGGAGAGCAAAAAGATCCCTTCGGGAAAGATCGTAAGCTAGAGACTAACATCGCCTAACGCTGTCTCGACCGACATCACTGTGCAGCGTCAGGCCCTACCATACACGCTTCTCCGCACGACAGTCTCTAACGGATCCGCCTGAACCGACAAACTTGACACATTTCCCAGCAGCGCTTTCGCGGGTCCACTTCCCATCCGGCGAACATTCTACCGCCAGCATAAGAACGCTCGTGCTCCCCGAGTTTCCCCAAAGAAAGCCGCGAGTCAATTTTCGACACATCTAGTCCATGCACGTTTGAGCTCAGACTACGAAAATTTCCCAGCGAATTGCGAATTCTTGACACACGAATCAAATCTTTTACCGCTTCTTTTACTCAACATCTCCCCATCATATGCGTCAAGTATATATGTAGACCCAACAGGCCTAGCGACAAAAACTTTCCACAGCGACAAACTTCCACAGCGACATCTTTTTCTTGATCATTGACACGCATCATTCCATAGCAACACTTCCTGAGCGACTTCCTTGCCCAGCAACCCTACTACCACAGCGACATTCCACAGCGACACATACTCCTTGCGACAAACCCAAACAACCTTTGCCAGAATAATCCACGCCCACGAAACATCATCAACAACAACCGCCATCATGTCCTCTACCCAAGCAACGCAACCATTCCGCTTTCTGGATCTACCTGGAGAGATTCGAAACAACATCTACGACCTTCTACTATGCTCCTGGGAAGATGAAGTCGAGCAAGACCCAAGCATGAGCAGCAAGCTGAGCCGACGCAGCCCAAGCAACCCTTCATCGTCACTTCTTCGCGCGAACAAGCAAATTTACGCAGAAGCGTCAGACTACATGATTAAGCGCAACCAATTCGTCCGCATCACCTGCCGAGGTCTGGACTCCCGGAACCTGTTTCTCGGCGAAGGTATCCCAGTAATCACAACCGATGCGCGCAAAGTGAGCCTTTTCGATGGCCACGTCATGCACATCACGCTTTCCAAGCCTGTGTTTGCGCCATCTCCATTCCAGTTCTCTGAATTCGAGATCATGATGCTGCGATCTGACTTGCCGAAGTTGTGCGAGCAGCTAGACATTGAGAGCGTAATGGCGGACGCGAACTCGACCACAAGCGAGCACGCCTCCATCAACGCAAGCATCAGGTTGAACTACGCGCACACTCGATTCTTCACCCCAAAGATCCAAGAGCGCCTGCTAGAGCCTATTGCGTCATCTCTCCGCGGTGTGCCCGATATCAAGATCTCTGGATTTGTCGATGCAGCCCTTGTGGATAGCGTGAGGAACCAGGTCGCACAGCCCCGCTGGACAGAGCCTGACGCGACAATTGAGGAGATCGGCACTGGTGTAGATGTCGGCAAGCGCCAGTGGCAGCAAAACAACTTTTACTCTGCTTCCGAATCATGGGCTTATGCGATGCGCACTCTCGAGCGCATGCGCCATAGCTCCTCCTGGACTGGTCTGCAGAAGGCTGGTGGGGAGGACTTTGTGAACAAGACCGCCGATCTCTACTTCACCCTGAACCTTTTCCACGCCCAGTTCCTGCAAGTGGACATGGCCAATGACCAATCTCAAGGACCTCTTGTGCAGCGAAACGGTCGCGTTGCGATCCAGCATCTGCGCAAGTGCGAGACCGCGGCTGCACGTTTTGCGCAGCACGCCGGCGCTACATGGACGCCGAGCAACCAGCAGTCGGCTAAAATGCTGTTCCGTCATGCGAGGTGCTTGAGGCTGATGCGTGACACCGCCAACAGCGTCAGAGCCGTCACCCTCATTGAGGAAGCTGCAGCGCTTGCACCCACAGACATTGCGATCCGAGATGAGAAGGACGCGGTGTTGGCGTGGGAGGCTGAGCTCGAAGAAGCGCGCCGCTTGCTAGCAGAGCAGAGTCAGGCATCGCACGTTGAGAGGAGGTCGATTTGGTCATCGGTCTGGGATGCAGTTACCGAGCTGACATCTTAAGCAAAAGTAGCATAGCGATCTTTCTAGTTTTGATACCCAATATTTATTTCACCAGCCGCTGAGCGATACGTCGCCAGCTGTAATTACTTCTATCAAGATTCCCCCAATATGCGTGTGTTTGATCATCGTTGATAACTGGAAAGCCTGCGCTGGATGTTGCATGAGTGCGTGTGGCAGCCAGGGAAGGGACGGACCGCTGCCGCTCCATTAACTTCAACAGCTGGAGTATGCATCGGCACTATGTGCCAAAAGCCGAGCGGCTGATGACCAGTCGCAGAAGTATAAGTAGTCTCTCGGTATTCGTTTCCTCTCCTTTTTGCTCAACACCTATCTTCTATATTCTCAAGATTCAAAACTAGATACAACATCCACATGTGGCGTGGAAGATCTGGAAATCAGCATTTGAAGTTCTTATATTGGACATGGCTCTTTGGTCGTTTACAAAAATGTTTCAAAATGCATTCACTATCGATCCATGATCGGACTCTGGACCTACTTTCAATTCGAAGAACTACGTGGAGGACCACTATGCCCTGATTACGGAAACGAGTACAAAAGCTTGTTTTTGCTGCGCTTGTCCTGTCGTCCGTATACAACAAAAGCGTTCTGATTTTCAGAAGACACTCGTGATTGCAGTATGGATCTGTTCCTTGAAACGATTACCTCATTTCCCATGCTTCTGTCGGAATGACAGCAACGCATATAGCATGGCGGATGTCTCGCTGTGTTCCTGATAGAGCTTCAAAAACAAACTGGGCGCTGATCCATGGTCTGGATCCGAGCGCAATATAAATTCGTCTCACCTCTTCGTCTTCCTTCAATCACAAACTTCACATGCATTCACGAAAATTATGAGGCCCTACATTCCATGTTGTGGTTTCTCCTGGCCAACGTATTCCAAAACATAACAGGAATGGTGACATGTTTGTAGGACAACCCACTACGCAAAGCAAAAGCATACCCCAAAGCCCATTTTCAGGATGATGTGTTACCGCAAAAACTTGGACGACCTAAACCATGTGAAAGGTTTCTTTGGTAGCTCGAACTAGTAGAGGTCAAGGCGCTGTGTGACGAACAGAAGGGAGCTTGTCATTGTCATATAGTGCGGTTATCATGTGGCCTAGAGGTGTTCACCGTATTGTGCCAGATTCACTCATGAGGTTGATGTTGCACAGACCTTGGAGGTACACTCGTGGTATATTACATATCAGCAACCAGGGGCTCTTCTCAAGACTGCATCTCCATACGTCTCAGTCCGCGCCTGATTGACAGCAATGAAGTCTTTTGAGATTCTTGCTCGTCGAACCATGCGCCTACTATTCGCGCGACGGAACGCGTCGTATTTAGGTTCTCATTATTCACTGTCTTATTCTCTTACATTCGATTGTTTGCGACTTTCCAAAACCAATGACAACACACGGATGGCGTGCTGTGGTCGGAGTTTCCAAAGTCATACCCTGTTGACGCATGATTGGACATACTTCTGGTCATCGGAAACATATCAACCTGAGTGCATGTTTCAAAAATATATGCAACTCTCTTTCTTGATTTTCTTCGTTAAATCGTTCATCGCTTTTGCATCCAGGCAGGCATCATCATCCAGACTTAAGCTTTTGCACCTTGTACCCTGTATGGACTCCCTGCTAGAGATTTCGAGGGTTACATCATTCCAAAACTCTCCCGCATGATGGCAATCGAGAAAAGTGTACCAAAACGCTCTACAAATGGAAAGATGAATGCGGCCATCGAAATGTTCAAACTGCTCATCAGGCTCTGGTAGAATGCGTCTCACTCTTCCTGCCCCCACCTCTCTTGTCACTTTGGCAACTGCGGAGTTCTTGATCTTCGACTTCACTGAGAGCATTGTCAACGGATTCAACGCACAAAACCAACACTACCCGCCCATAAGCCCATAATTCAAGATTCCTTTCTCGTACCTACTCCATAAAGAAGACGATGAACTCTTGGACGATTTGCCTGCTCATCATGACGGCCGCAACAGCACACGCCTCGCTTGTAACAAAAACGCGAGCAGTTGAGGGTGGCACGTGCCATGCAAGTGTGGCGAAGGAAACGGTGGCTCACATGGAGCAGTAGGCCTAGTACATGTTTTTTGGGGACCGACGGCGCCTCCTCCACTCCACTGTTCATGTTAGGTTACAGACTGCCCACACTGAACCAAAGTATGCTAAGCCTCTGGGTGGGAGACAAGAGTCTGGGTATGCAACCGGTAAACAATGGTCCTTCTATAGAGAAGTCTACGCGTCACTCTTCGGACAACTACTCTTGCAACTGTCAGCCGAGTGCCTCCGAGGCTCGGATAGTCTTCTATTGTAATGGTTCGGTTACGGCCAAGGACTTCTTTATCTAGGAGCTAGCAGAAGGAATGACAGGACACTGCTCTAGAGAAGGTTGGGCCAAAATCTCGTTGCTGGTTGCGCTTGCGTCTATGATTCGACTCCTCTTGCAGAGTTTGTGTCATGGTTCATATGTGTCGAGAATGAAACTTTCTAGTCAACGTGTAAGACCTAGCTGAGCAAGAATACACAGTATCAATCAGTCCATCTAGTGGACGTTGCCCAGCTTCTGCATGCACTATTTGCCAATATCGTCATCTCTTTACATGGTGCAGGCTTTCGGTACAGCGGATATCAACATCCCTCTCTTACGTGGTCCCCAAGCGCTGAGCTCTCTTGGACATGCTCGTCCACGGATATAAGCCGGAAGCCGCTCCGCGGAGTGCCTTGGCGATCTGCCCTCAGTGCATTCTGCGAATCCAGCATCCTTTGCTTATTAGGGCCAATGCTATGAGATGTGCCATGGGCTTGGAGTGTCTCGTGAAGGTGGGGGAGACTGGCGATGTCGGGCTTATATGTTGTGCGTAGTCCTCGTTGTCTGACCGCTCGCCCTCCCACGTCTTCGCCAGTATCGTATCATCTTGAATCCGCCAACAACCGAACTATGTGTCCTATGCATCCATCCAGATGTTGAGTAAGGTAGCTCCGAAGCTCCCTGTGATGGCTGGTGATGACATGACTAATGTTTCGAGGTAGCGAAATCGGCTACGCGCAAGATGACAGAAATCGTTATCGAAACTACTGGCAATCACCACACAGTCTGCGATGTGCTGTCGAGAGACGTAGGAGACAAGGAGGACTGAGAGAAAGAAGAAGTGTTCGTGCGTTTTGGCGATGGAGACCACCCGTTCCCTACACCGCGCAGATAACGTCATAACCTTCCTTACTACGAACCTCGCCGCGTATCGCCAACGCTGCATTCTCCCACCCTCTCCATACATCGACCTGTTCTTCCAACGATTCCAATGATTGTTTTCTGTCGCTATGGTTCATCGAGGAATTGTTTTCCCGCATCAAAAGGCATATTGCCCAAATTACCTCGGACGAACGGCACAGTGGATACTGCGGCTAATTTGTGGCTGTCAGCCTCACTGCGATTCCCGAGGTTGCGACAGCTGCCAAAACCACAACTCCTGCTAGGCTTCACTAACACCTTCGGCATAGTTTACACAAACAAGTTGGCCATGTAAAACAGGTATGTACAATTCAAAGGTCCACATCTCATATGATGCATGGTCATTGACCACCTATGAACCCACATTACTCATCATTAATTCATAGAAGATTGGACAAGTCACCCACAATTTTGGGTATAAGTTTTGAAAGAACTACTGGTATATCGATTGCGCGAGCCGATTTCGAAAACACAATTACACAATGACACCACCGACGCTTAGGTAGTGTAGTAGAAGTCCGGTCGTACGTCACCCATGTCATCGATCTCGTCCTCGGTCTTGCCCTGCACCCAGTGGTCGCGCTTACCCTCCTTCCTGAGCTTGTTCTCACGCTTCAGCATGACGTGCATGAAGAGAGTTCCACCGAACAAGAACAAGAACATGTAGGCAAGGACGATACCGTGGCCAGTGCGGTAGTGTGGGGCCTCCCACTTGTTGTAAATGTTGGAGGACACGACACCGTTCATGTTACCCCAGCCGACAACGACACCAACCATGACACCACGCTTGAGCGAACCCTCGACGTTGTTGGAAGCCCATGTCAGCGTGTTGGAAACTGTGGGGTAGATACCCATGGCGCCTAGGAAAGTGGCAGCGTACTGGACATGCGGGTTCGTGGTGGCGAGCAACATTGCGAAACCGATGCATCCAATCAAAGACACGGCCATGTTGCAGATACCGCGCAACTTTGTCCTATCGGCGATCCAACCGACAGCAACTGTCAAAGCGGCAGCACAGGCGTAAGGTGGGACGGACAAAAGCTGGGCCTTTGTGCCTTTGTGACCCATGGCGAGAAGGATAGTCGGGAGGAAGAGCGAGAAAACGTACAATGGGCAAAGGCAACCCATGTAGATGACAGCATACCCCCAGGTCTTCCAGTCGCGAAGGGCGGCAAATACATGTCGACGGTCGATGCTTCCAACCTTGGCGCGGGCTTGTCCATCCAGCTTGAGTCGGCGTACAGCTCGTAGCTTCTCTTCGGGGTTAAGGAATCGGGCCGTGTCCGGGAAGTCGAAAACCATCCACCAACAGAAGATACCGACAAAGACTGTCATCAGACCCTCAATGATGACTATTCAGATTAGCAAGAGTAACATGGTTAGGATGTGGGAACATACAGATCCATCGCCAACCTTCGTAACCGCCTACTCCGTCCATCTCAGTGATAGCGGCGGCCAGCAAACCGCCGAAAGAACCAGCGAGTGCTGCGGCGGAGAAGAACAGGGCGGCACGGAAACCAAGTTCCTGGCGCTTGTACCAGCAGCTGTCGCATTGTTAGCATGACGTCCGGCTCCGTGATAGAGTAACTTACGAAAGGTAGTAGTTGACACCAGGAAACAGACCCGCCTCGGCGATTCCGAGGAAGAACCGACATGCCAATAGACCGGCCCTGTTCTGGACAACACCCATGAGCGTCATGATGACACCCCAGGCGAGAATGATGGCGGTGAAGAAGACACGGGGCGACCATTTCTTGATGGCGATGTTGGTAAGTGGCTCGAATCCGGCGTAGGAGATGAAGAAGATGGTGAGGGCGACGTTGTAATCACGACCTCCCATCTTAAGAGCAGGTTCCATGTTTGCAACACGTGCGTTTCCAATGTTGGTACGGTCCAGGAAGGAAAGGAGATACAAGAGCGAGAGCCACGGGATCAGCCACTTGTCCATCTTCCAGACGAGTGCTTTGTCCTAGATGGTTTTAGTACGTCGCAGAACAGTCAAGAGGAAAGAGAGAGACGTACGAGTCTGGCGCGCTCCTCATCGCTTTTGCCGGCATCTGGGTCGGGATACTCATCGAGATCACTCGGAGAACTGATCTGGGAGCTGCTGACATCGTTGGCATAGATGGCCTGGCCCTTCTCGTTGGCCTCGAGGCTGGATTTCTGTTGTACGGCTGCCATGGTGTTTGGTGCCTGGGGGTGGACTGGAGTACAAGAGTCTGAGGAAACACATTCCAGAGGGGCAGCCAAGTGTCTCTATATGTACTCAGGCTCGCGAACGCCGTAGGTGTGTCTCCCGAAACGAGACGGACCCTGCTGGGGTTGATAGGACTAGGCTGCTAGCGCGACCCGGGACCCCATGGGGCGGTTGGATGGGACAAGATTGTGGATCTGACTTAGCCCGTCAATTGCTGCGTCCGAGCGTGGCGGTGGTAAGGGCGCCGAAGGGGGAATGATGCGATATCTCGACTTGGCGCTAGCGGCTGCGGTACCACGTTGCCTTTGGGTTTGTCAAATCTGTCACCAACCGACTTGCTGCCGGAATCCACAATGGTTTGTGCTTCACCGATCATGTTGGACGTCTACTCAGCGGATCCAAACCAAGCGGGTGTCCTTAGATTGGGTTTCAGCCTCCCAACTCCCATCCCTATGCCAGGACTGCGGACCGATAGCACTGCGGCGCATACGAAAGCAATTATTCCACCATGTCGGTCTTTAGGCAGAGCCCCTCGTCGCCCCGGGCCAAGCACATGTATTAGGAACTTGCTGCGTTCCAGAACGACCGGGACTTGCGTTAGATGGAAGTTCTGGGCACCGCCGACGCGACCATTCGAAGCCTCGCAAAAGCGCCACCCAAGACCTTGGCACAACGCCCTCCAGCATGGAGCCGCGGATAAGGGACGTGGCGGCAGGGTGTTGCTTTTCAGCCGGCAGGACGAAGCTTTTCACAGTGCTTCGTTCCGCGGTTTCGGTGGCGCCGTGTTACAGAGCCCAGAAATGGACGATATCCACGATGTGGTGTTGAGTTTCCAGCAGCGGAATGCACATCAAACGGCGGACTCTTCCCCGCCATCTGGGGAATTGTGGAGTGGCTTGGCAATGCTAAAATCAGCCGGACTTGATTAGGCCGCCCCGCTCACCAGGTGCTGAACTTGCCTGGTGTGCTCTCGAGAGTCCCGCTGTCCGCTACCGGGGGTAGAGCTTACGAGAGCCCAGATTGGTGCGTCGGATAAATGGAGCACTGGCCTCCTGCAATTCGCCAGCACCATCCAACGCCCATGGCGCCAGCGGAACAATGGAAGCTGCTTAGTCCTTGCATGGCCGCCTACAAGCATCATGGATAGTAATAGCATTGGTCTCTGGTAACTTTGAACGTCCGCTGGACCCGGACCACGGTGTTCAAGCGACACTGGGCGCGGCATTTGCAGCAAGATTTGCGTTACTCGCACGTGGCCCCGCAGCGGTATCGCAGACAGTTTGTAATCGTTGCGCTGCCCCGGCGGATAGCCTACGAATCCAAACACCAAGACGGCGTACACGATGTCATGCCTAGAAACGCCAACGAGCACACCAAGCTGATCGCCCATGTGCTCGTCGCGTGGCCGTCAGACGGCTTCCAGGCAGATCAGCGAACGTTGACTTCGCCCCTCGCCTGCTTGCACCATCTCAACGCTCTGCATCTCCCAATTACGTGCTGCACGATCATCTAGTTGCGTTACTGCGACGCACTCGAAATGCATGTCAAATACTCCCGCCTATGGCAGGGCTCCCCAGCTGCATTGCGAGCCGTCAGCGCCGGGAACGTGCGCTCGCCTTTTCGTAAACATGCTTGAAGAGAGATTGCCTGGCTCTGCGACCAACCACGCCGCAATAAAAAGACGGTATCCATACTCAATACTGACATCTCAACAACGAATTTAGAAGCAGATGCAAGGTAAGCCCCAACAAGCGTTTATTGCTTTTTCACTTCGCGAGAGCACCCAGAATCAGGGTCGCATTATCTCTTGGTATTCATTTATCTGTGTTATCAAGCGCGGACGTCGGCTATGCGCGTCTAGCAAACTATCGTATGCAACGTCGTCTAAGCGCAAACATCCAGTCTGGCAACCGATGGGTCGTGGTCGCTGATTTGCGCGTCGTATTCTGGCCATGTGTTTACGTGAATGTGTTCAAACTCCGCCTTGCTCTTCTTTGCCAAAGACGGCGAGACGAACATGTGGTCCAACTCTTGGGCGTTCATGTCGAAAAGGTAAGTGTAGCGCTCGACCTTGTCAATCTTGACTACCTCGTCCATATCCTTGAGTCCGCTGATCTTGGTGTACTCTTCCAGAGGCTGCACGAAGGCAAATTCGTTAAAGTCGCCTGCAGTCACGATGCGGGCGTTTTTGTCCTTTGAGAGGATATCCTGTATTCCACTGTCAGCCATGTTCTCGTCTTTTTCGCCAATTTCAATGATTCAGGGGCAGAAAAGGGCATTCCTTTCGTGCGAAGATGGCGTTCTTGGTAACACCGAAGGACGAAGGTACGAGAAGCTTGCTGCAGCCACCCCTCTCCGCGCCGCCGTGCCGCATAGAGCCGCAACCGACATTTGAACGTACCTTGACAAAGTTTGCGGTGAGACGGGACTGCTCAAGACGATCGTCTAGAAGCGCATTGTTAGCGACTATTGTATGAGCTGATTCAGTTTGATGAACTTACCTACGCCACCGTTGACAGGTGGTCGAGCATCTCCGTGCAAGCTGCTGCTTCCTCCCTTGGAACCAAAGTGTACATTGACGGTAAAGAACACGTCCGACTTCTTCGCGCCGGCCTTTCCGATAACCTCCCATTGCGCGGCCAACGGCTTTCGGCTCGCTGTCCACGCAGCATTGGCGGGTTCGATACGTCCGGGGTTATACTTGAGCGTCGGGCCAGCAAGCACTTCGTTGGCATCGAGCGAACCACCTGGGTTGGGCTTGTAGAGGCGGATCAGATTTGGCTTGTACAGGTAGGCGACACGGATGTTACCACCTGGCTGGCCACCATCCTGATCGTCGACAGGCACGATGTCTGTGAATGTGTAGTTGGGGCCGCCTGCAGCTGAGATGGCAGCAGTCAGAGTGGTTAGGGTAAGGTTTGCGGATACAACTGCGAGAGGTCAGTATTAAAGTTATGCACGGGTTCACAAGCCGACGGTGTGTATCGTAACATGTATAGGACGCGTGAAAGGTAGGACAGCTCGTGCGTGGCCCGCTAGCGGATACCGCATCTGAACAGCGAGGGAAACGGTGTCAAGCAAACTTTCTAGAACACTTACTTGCGTCATTTGTAGGACCGTTGTCGTCTTGTACTTCCTGTACGAAGATGATATCTGGACTCTTCATGTAGTTCACAATGTGGTTTGCCAGGTCAGGATGGTGGTCAGACGTAGGTGCCAAGTTCTCCACGTTGTAGGCGCCAAAGGTGATGCCGTCGCATTTGCCGTTCGACACGAGCTTTGTCGCTGAAGGAAGGGTAGGCTTCTGGCTCTTGGTGACCTTGATCGCGGTCGTTGGGAGGATTCGGTAGAAACCGAAAGCGTAGCTGACGATACCAGTGATCTCGTCAATTGAATCACCCATCTTGGCGTCAGTGGGGTTCTTGGTTCCGTCGAGCGGAGTGCCGATGACGATTGTCTCTGGGTTGGCGTCCTTGTCGGTGATGGTCAATCCACCGCGGTCGTTGCGACCCGACACCTTCCAGTTTCCAGCAACCCACGTATCGCCGTATTGGTTGGGCTTGGTAAGCACAGTAGGCTTCTTGACCGTAACTAACTCGCCAGACAAGCTCTCCCAGAAGTCGAGACCGTACTTCTTAGGCTGCAGCTCAGGGTTCGCAACGCTGATCTGCGATACATTGTTCGGCACAGCGAAAACGTCTCCGCCATCCAAACTGCTGTACTGCTCGTTTGGTGGGTCGCGAGTATCTTTGCCAATGACCAGCGGCTTTACAGCAGCTCCTGAGCTGAGTCGCCCCTGTAATACCGGTGCCGAAAGCTCGGTCAGGTAGATGTAGTCCTTGTTCGAGCGGTACTCGAGCACCTTTCCTCCCACGACAATGGTATCGCCAACCGTCAAGTTCGCGCCAAAGGTGCGACCGAAAACGTACAAGGACTCGGATGTCCGTTCATCGCTGTCGGGCTTTGTCGATCGCAACCAAAGGCCATCAGGCCCCTTCGCTGTGACAACACCGGTTACGTTCGAAACAGTCTGGTCCTTGTAAGGCGAGAGGAACTTGTTGCCATTGATCTCTGCAATCGTAAGCGCAGTAGATACTGCCACAGACGCCGAGAGGGCGAGGAACCGTGTTATAGGTGCCATAACGAATGGAACGAAAGTGATTCGGAATGGTATCCTCCAAAAAACTGTGGCTCCGGCCCTATCTTCTTATAATCCCCATACTGCCATGCAACCATGCGTTCCAAGAACCCGGTCCCGGTGCTCTATCAATGACGATCGCGCTACACTACACTACACTTGACCTGTTCCTGACTTTTATCGCCGCATCGCCGCCCGGCCTAGCCGTTGACAATCCACCGTCACTAACTCATAGTTGCACTTGCCTATCAGAGCAGGAGAATAGCATCTCGCCGCTCACGCGCGAGCTCCGATGCCTCTTGGCAATACCACAAACTTTCTTGTCGTGCTTGACCACTTTATCGACGCGTGCTGCGGCGCGTGTGCTGTCATTGGCTTGCTTTCGAGGTGCTGGGGTGCGGGACCCTGGCTGGGCGCGGGCCGAGGTCGTAGCTACTTCGGGAAGGTGGACGGTGATTGGTGCGAAAGCGGGATGCTGGGAGATTGGGCGGCGGGTTCCGCTAGTGGTGGGGAAGCGATCTAGGGACATTGCTATCAATCAGACGGGAGAGATAAGACACGTGTGTTATTGTCGCATGCGGATTATAGGAGGCGAGGCTTGAGCAGGTGTGGCGGTGGAAGGGACGGGTGATAGAAGGATGAAGGATGGTGGAAGATGAAAGACGGGGGCGAATAGGAGGAGCGCACGTGGACTTGGCGTAACAATTTCGATCTTTGGTGTAAGGGCATATTTATTTCGTAGATGATGGTTCTAGCATCGGACGCGTGATGATGTGTCATGAGATATGCAAGCAGTAACAAGCTCGTGCCTCGTAAGTCGTACTTGATTAAAATACAAACCTAGAGGTAACCCGTCCTTAACGTAGGAAAATGCAGGATACATCGAGCACGTATGGGTCATGGTATACTTGGATGCAGAACGTAAAGAAAGGAGTTTCTTCTTAAGCAGCACTAGCAATTGCGCTTCATGCAATAATGATACTGATAGTCACGCATCTGCAACGTGTAGTAACCCAGCCTTCTAATCCTCTTCATTTTCCCACCCGTACCCTTTATCCCACATGCTATCATTGCCCAAGCCTTCAGAGAGCCAATAAGAGCGCTCTTTCGTGTACTTTGCGTCCCTCTTCGCTTGAGCTATGGCAAGCGCTACTGCCATTCTGGGAGTCGGTGTTTTCGATGGCGGGTGATCTTTGCCAACTGATCAGTTCGTCAGTGTCCTAGGATGAGCAAGGAGGAGGGCGACATACCCATCTCCGTATCTCCATCTCCTGTTGCATCATGTTTGGCATCCTCCTGGGTTCGATCTACACTGCTGATGCTATCGTTGCGGCTGATCAGGCAAGCTTCGTTTGAATTAGATATTCTAGCTTTCTTGGGCTCGCCGTAGTCTACGGAGCGAGCGAGTGAGGAAACTCGCCGTTTCGAACCGGTCGCTGCGGACCAAGCATCTTGTGGGTGAGCAGTTTCCGGTCGAGTGGACGTAGACCCTTGGCCGATAGATGGAGTGAGGAAATGGTGACTCTTCCTGGAACCTGCGCGCTCTGGTGGCCTTTGTATATGCTCTCCTTGAGTTGGTGCTGGCTCAGGCGACCGCGGATTGTCAAACGGGAACTCGTACGGTGTTGGGGGTAATCCCATCATCACGATAGGGTGTGTCAGGTACGACATGTCTGAGTTTCGACGATGTCCTCTTCCTCCCGTTCGTACCGCTCGTTGAGGTCTAAACTGCGAGACTGGCTTACCCAATGGGTTGCGTGGACTAGATGAGATACCCGGTAGGCTTTTCTTTATCTTTCTCCAGACAGCTGGAAATAGTAAAGTGTTAGCCAGCTGATCTGAGAGGGTGAGATGGATGTCATTTACCTGGAGTCCTTGTTATCAGACAATCTTGGAACTTGACACGTATACGAGTGGGGTCCTTGAGTGATGTGTCTTCTGTCGATGGTAGCGAGGAAACTTGCTCTGGAGAAGTTCGTATATCATCGGCTGGTGGAGATTGTTGTGCGAAGACTGGGGCAGACTCTGGCAACGATGGCGTTGGTGAAGTCGCCCATGAAGGGTTCAGAGCATTGTATCGCCACGGTAGGTATTCGAATTCCATTTCCTCAATGTTTTGAGCTGCAGTAATGAGCTCACTAACACCACCTGGGTAGGTTGAATAAGCTATGAGGCGGTAGCATGCTTCGGATATAGGTGCCTTCTTTTTTTCGTCCTTTTTCGTGATGTCAATGAGAAGCTTAGCCGTTACGTGACGGAAAACTTCGAGTATGAGATCAACCAGCAACCGGCTTGCCAGAATATCCTCTCGTCGCCTCTCAAGGATCTCAAGAGATTTGACCTCTTGGCGGAACTGAGGCGTTATGAGGAGTTGAGGGGACTTGCAGATCTGTGATTCAAGGAAATATTTTCGAATCTCAATCAGATCAAGGATACCCCGCTCCAACTCTAGATAACGTTGAAACATAAGGGGGTGCTCGACCAATCTCTGTACAGGTGCTTCTGAGAGTACCCAAGGCTCTGGTATGATAAGCGGCTCTGGTGCTTTGAGGCTTTCGGTAGCCTTACAGTAGATGCGAGATTTCAACTCGTCACACCGCTCCAGGGCCTGCACCTCCTGTGCAGCTATGAGATGTTGCATGTTGGCCCTTCGTTCTGCAGTAGCAGCATCAATTGCATCCCAGGAAGCTCTTCTCGCAATGGGAGGGCTATGAAGCTGTTAGCACATCGTCGTAGCATTCTGCCTGCTACATAGACAGTAGGATTTTCGATGTTTTCCAGAGCGATGTGTGTAGACAGCAGAATACTACGCGCTGCCGCTAAGTCCTCTTGCACAGGGAGAAGTATAGGATGCCGTAAGAACATACTGTTAAGAAGTTAGCTGGGTATGCTGATAACTCGTAGTGGGCGCCTCACCCGATAGATAGAGTCCGGTGAGGCACGACCCTCCACGTTTGTACCGACCGTGTTAGACTCTTTTTCGACCGTGGCGTCTATGGTTGGCGTCGCGCTGTCCGATCTGCCTCTGCTTACGAAGGCATGTAGTTCATTGGCCAGGGATCTGGGGAGATCTGCCTCGTACAAATCCGTGTTGGTATCATCGCTCGTGGGAGAACAAGTCTCACCGTCCCCAGGACTACCGAAAACCACAGATGACGACATAATGTTGCGATTTCGGGAAAGGCTTGGGTGTGTATGGGTGCTTGCGTTTATTCCTTTAGCGAATCCTGCATGTTCTTTCGATGCGCGACGGATGAAGGCTTGTCCAAAGAGCTGTTGTAGCAATATTTGTTGAGTGATAGCCTACACACGTTAGTAGGTTACTTATCCCGCGCACAACTTGCTCACCAGACTTGCGTTGCCAATGGCAATGAATATACTGAGTATGTACAAGGGAACATTATGGTGTTCTGGGGATCAAAGCACTTGTGTGGTCTTTCTGCCGTCCAGATCATCGAGGGAAGCGCATACCTAGTCGTGTGAAAAAGGAAAGAAAGACTGTATGCCGGTAGGGGAAGGCACTAGGTCGAACCTCGCAACAGAAGGAACAGATGTAGAATCCCTTCAACACCCTCAACACTTCTACCTCCCAACCCCGTAGCAACCTGGTAGCTCTTGTACCACCGGACGTCCCTCTTTCGGTTGCCACATTTCTACTCCTGGCATCTCGTACCTTTCCAACATCTTCCATTCGAACTTTGCAGGTCTCGGCTTCAAAGATTGCTCCATCACAACAACACTGACACCATACGGCTTCTGCTCGTTTCCATAAGTTCGTATCAAGCTGGCTCGATTTCTTCTGATATTCTTGCGCCTTTTGGCCCGGCGATACATTAGGATCAGCACAAACGCCGTTATAGCTGCAGTAAAGACTGCGCCTACAGCTATGCCCGCTATCGCGCCGGGTGGAAGAAACATTGCATATAGGTTGGTCGGAGTTGAGGACCTTGGGATCTTTGTCGGAGTGATGTGAGTCGCAGACGGGATGGCGGTGGCTACGATCGTTCGATTGTTTACGGCGAGTGGATCGGAAATATATCCTAGTCTTCGATGTGGAAGAGTCGATTGCGATAGTGTATGTATGAACGTGGCCATGGATGTCTGGGAGTAATGAAATGTTGATTTTATGATTGTCGACGACTTACGCAGCGCACTATTCAATACAGTTCCGGCTCATAGACGAACGGCGAAAAGCACAGCTACTTGCACACCATCTCGCATGCCACTTTGCCGTTCACAAAGCACAAGGAGAAATGATTCGTAAGATCAATAGTCGTTCATTTCCACATCGCGCCGATCTGACAAGGCCTATTATTACCAGCAACTTTAAGCGGAAAACTCGTTAGCATATATTACTTCTTTAGGATCGTAAGGCCTAAGGTGGTCTGAGATCAGGCTGTGCCTGAGCGTTGAAGGATTCGGCTGACATCGAGAGCGATGAATTCGGAGTAAATCTGACCCGCGCGCCACGACGCATGGTACAGAAAAGGGGATTTTTGTATCGTTGGTGGCGTTGTGTAGGTACAGCTGTCAGCTGCATATGAGTGTTGCAAGCTCCTACGATTTATGTACTCTTTTGTTTTCGATCAGGAGGAAACACTTACAAGCATGGTAAGAGGAAGAGAAAATGGGTGATGGCATACGAAGTCCGAGCGTTGGACAGGCGCTAGAACGGAAACGGTATTAGCGTCAGTCTCATGCACAGCGGTATCCATGGAGGGAAGCTATATTGAACGAAGTATGACGTTCTCAAGGATTTGAGCCTTTGATCTCACCAACAATATTCGATGGATAAAGGGGTTCGCATACCTCTAAAGTAGAGGGAAAAGGGTATATTATAGAAGCTAAGGTACGCGCCCGGGCATCCGCCTCCCACCAAGCGAGACAGCTTTGTAGGGAGGAATCGGAGGGTATATGCCCAAGTCGCTAGAAGTAGAAGTTTAAAAAAACAACAGCAAAAGCCCATCCCATCAGTACCCCGTTCCAGGTCTGGACCCTAACCTCGTGCCGTATTCCCATACCTATGCAAACTCCAGCCCATCCACCCATCATAATCCTGTAGTCATAACAAACGCAAACCATCTAAAAAGCAACACCTACTGCTCCCGGGCTAAGCGTCATCAAGCTTCTTCTTCCATTAACACCAACATCCTTAGCACTAATTTCCATACCCTTGAGCAGATCAAAGTTGGGGCTCATAGGCGGCTTCTCATTCATAAAACCCCTTGTACTTCTTCCACTCAACAAGCCAGCCTCGGCAGCAATCTCCTTCTCCTTGACGAGTGTCAGAGGCGCAGGAACACGACGTAGCTTTCTAGGTGGCGAAGATGTAGCGACGGTGGAGAGGGAGTTGGTTGGCGAGGATGAGCGGGTGGAAGGGTAGGATGTGGAGAAGAGTGTAACGGTAGCTGTACCGTTGCTCTCTTGGCTTTCCTGACGTGTGTGTAGTGTGCGTGATCCTGCAGTCGAAGGACGCGAAGGTGAGGTGGGAAGGGCGGGATGCGGTTCGCACTTGTAGAAGGAGTCGGCAGTCTTCGGGGTTGTAGGACGCGAGCCGGATGCCAGAGTGGAGGTCGAGCGCTTGATCCAGGCTCCTAGCCGGGCGATTGGTGTAGTGGGTGTGGCGGGTGGTGGTGGTGTAATGGGATTCGAGTTCAAGGGACCGGTGTGGGAGAAGGAAGGTGGTGCGAGCCTGAGTCCCATTGTTGCCCGGCGGGCTGGGATGTCTGCCTCTGGGGTGGTGGGAAGCGGCTTGAAGCTCAGAGGGGCAGAGAACGCAGAGCCGATATCCGAAAGGGTTTCAGAACGGACATGCATGCGCATGGATGGCGCAATGTAGGGTACGTGGTGAGACGGAGAGGGTGGAGGACGGTTGACAAGCGCGGGTGATTGAGCGTTCGTGCGATACGCGCTTGCACGGCGTTCCTCAATGATGGTGTTTAATTCGCGAATAGCATCATCTACATCGGTCTTTGTACGACGGAGACTGCCTGGTCGAGAGGACGGTGCAGTACTGGCACGATTGCGCGATGGCGATGGTAGACGTGAAAGTACACGAGCAGGTGACAAGGTACCAGATGTGCGCGAACGCTGAATGGTAGGCTTCTCAAGTATCTGATCACCAGCAATCTGTGAATGCTCTGGAAGGTATGCCAGTGTAGGCGTAGCCATAGTACCCATGGTGGTTCCTGAGAGTCTCCTCTCGTGCGTGGTGGTACTCTTCTGACTTTGAACACTGCCCCGTCGAGATTGCCCACCAACTGGTTTACGTTGAATGATGAAGGAAGGTTCTGAAGATATAGAGCTCGTACGTGAGTCTCTCACCCGAACGTGTGCCTCAGCAGGACGCTCTAGCTGCGATTGTAGACTATCCCATTCATCTTGACCGTCGAAATCAGGCAATGGAGATAGATGACCACAGCCGTTGGGAAGATAGATAGACAGCTCAAGGGGGCGAAAGCTACGACGGCGGCGGATGGGCATGGAAGCGTCATTGAGCGTCGAGGGTATATCATCAAGACCATCGAAGTGGCGGAAGTCAGTTGGACGACTAATGCTGGGTCGAGAGTGTGAACGCCTTGGCCGCGCAAGGGTCGAAATGCTCGCACGAGATGAGGCACGTGCTGCGTATTCGCGACTGTTGGAAACCCATTGCGAGACGTGACGGCTCATCGACTGGCTCGTTGATGGACGCTGTTGTATCGGCTCAACGCAAGGCTGTGGTACGGGTCGCGGTTGTTCATAGCATATCCGCATATCAGTTTCGCCTATTGATCAAAAGCGTTAGCATCATGTTAGATTAATCGAGATTACCCCATATGGTCCCAACATATTGGAAAGGTGTTGGAAACCATCGTCCGGGTATAGTCGCGCATTAACAATATTAAGGAGAACGCAAGAGCTGCATGATGCATCTCAACAAGAACGTTGGAGTTGAAGATCAATAGTGAGCTGTCGGCGAAAACAGACAAAGGAGACGACGAAGATGTTGAGCGCGAGAAGAGAGCGCAACAAGAACTAGTAGACATGACGATGAAGAGTGAAAGGGAAGTTCAGACATACCAGTAGCTCTCAGCGGGTCGCTTCCATCGTTCGCAAGGTCCTCTTTCGATGCACAGCATCCAAATTTGATGGCCAGCCATGGGGACCTTGGTTCCTTCTCTTGTACCCTTCCGTAATTCATCTTCTTTTTCTGCTGTAGACCAGTACAGCTAACAATCCATCATCAAAACAACCCAGAACAGTCGAACGAGAAGCGTGGTAGAGAATGTCGCGCCCGAAGAAGGCAAAAGCAAAGACTAATAGATACTAGGAAGAGGGTAGAAGAAGGCAGGAAAGTATGGTAAGGATGGAAGAAAAAGGCTGACTGCGCGAACCATTCGGATAAAGTCGCAGCTTGTCGACGAATGTGTTGTCCCGCAACTGGTGGTTCGCTTCTGAAATGCGCAAGCCTGTAGGTTCTGGCCGTCAGGAACAGCAAACCACTCGCAGCTCACAGGACGACAGTGGCTCGCATGTTATAGATGAGGCCTGTCCCTTACCTTTCCGTAGGCGCCCAATGGCAGCGCACCCCTACCATGGTGGTTGTTAAACTCACAAGTTAGTTCGCGTTGAGGCTTGCGTGCATTGAGTTGAGATGGTAGGGTGTGGGGTTTGATTGGCCAGGGGAATAGAGTAAGCGCTCAAGGCAGAGCGGAGACTTGCAGTAACGTGGACCAGTGACAAGGCAATAGCGCTTGCGGCTTGAAACTGCCAGAAGCCTTGTCGGCATGTGGCGTGCTGGGTTCCCCTTCGTTGGACAGTCTGGCATCAGGGCTGCTGCTTCATATCGGGTATGTTCGAGCATGCGCACAGTTGTCGCGTCCTCGAGCGGATCATCATGACAGTGCGGGGATGCCTTGGAACACTGGATGCTGTTTGCGAAGTTTGAAACATGCGCAACGCAACGAACGTCATTGTTTGAGATTTTTGCAGAGGCAGATTCCGATAGATGATGGTGTTGTTGAAATTGATGAGGGCCGAATGCTTTGTTCGGTAGTTGTAAATCGCGTGCACGCCCGACCCATCGGTCGTGGAGGCTCTCGCCAAGTTCCCTCCCGCACTTGCGTACATCGTAGGATCCGCGCTGCAGCGAATCGGTTAGCTTGTCGTCACTTCTCACAAAATACCTTTTGGTTAGCAGTGTGCGATTGGTGAGACGAATCATTCTTGAAACAAGCATAGAGAAATTCGCAACTCCTCTCTCCCAATCGAAATCAAGAGCGGGCTTTTCTTGTTTCTCAAAGCATCTTTTCGTCGTACTGAGTTTTGCTGGTGCCAGCACATCAAGGCAGACCTGGACGCCTTACTCTGCAGAAGCATCGCACGCGAGACAAAATCTCCACCTGCGTCTCGATTGGGAATACGACACAGACATCCACTAGGGCTTGGATTGATAGGCTGCATGTTTTGGGACGACAGCGGAAACGTATGCACGTCGGACCGCAAGCTGCGCTTGTTAGTTCAAAGTGCGATAAACATCTTCGTGGTCAAGGTTTCGATTTTATCCGACCAAACAAGGAAATCGCTGACATTCTAACGCCGCAGAAAATATATCGCAAGGTGTAATATGTGACATGAGCTGGGGTATAAAACAGATCGTCGGCCCAAAATCTGACGAAGTAACCTTCCAGGAAATCGGAATCGTAGATGCGTCATCAGTCGGCATTCCAAGCGTTGCGCTCTTCCCTGAAACTGCCGTAGGACGGGCTGGGGTGATCATCGTTCTCGTCCTCATCTTGCGTCTTCTGATTGCTGACATCGCGTGATTCCCAGTGATTGGCTTCGCTGACGATGTGTGGTTTGATATCATTCTTTCTCTGCTCCTCCTCGCTTTGGTTCTCCGTGAACGGATAGTTCAGGTTATGCTCAGCTTCTGGGTTCTGTGGCTCAGGCTCATCTGGGTTGAAGCCCTCTCGAACCTCTTCTTCTTCGCCCGCCTGGTACGTTTTGCTGCAATCTTCATTAGTCTCATACGCCACCCCGGATGTGGAGAGCAAACTTACACAAAGTGCTTAGAAGGAACTTCGTTCCATCCCGGACCACCTTCCTTGCGTGCCCTGACACGATCGACTTCCTCAGCTTGATGATCCTCCACGACAAGATCCACAAGTTGGCTCTTGTCAGATTTGGCTGAGCTTGAGGAAGACGACTTTTGGCGGAGAAGGTTGGCGAATGGGTCGCGCGACTTGGAATGAGATGACTTTGAGCGAGAAGATTCTCCTTCGCTCGAATGACTGCGCTGTTTGCCCTTGTCTGCAGAGTCCTGAATGTCTTGAATCTGGCTCTTCCTTCTCCGTTTGTTTTCCTTGGTGGGTTGCAGCAGGTTCCGGTTGGTCGATGCGGTCAGAATGTTCGGGTCGGCGTACATGCGGTCTTCGCGAGACGGACGGTGAGCTTCGATAACGGGATACTGCAGCTTGGTTAGATCGAAACCCATCTTTGAGAGGTGCCTACTTACGTTCCAGTCTCCGAACTCGAGTTCACGAGCGTTATCATATAAGCGCTCTTCCTCGGCGTCCAGGTTGGGCTCTTCGACCGTGTCTGGTGTACCGTACTTGGCACCCTCGCCCTTGAGAGCCTTGTGTGGCCCGGGGCTCATGGCTCTGGCGCGGCTCGATGTAACTTTGCTGAGGAGGGGCTCATGTTCTGATCCTTGTCCAGGCTTAGGGATCCAGTACTTGCCCTTTCCTCCTCGTTCATATCGCATGCCCTCAGCCATACGTGCAGCACGCGATGATGACTCCTCGTGTGCCAAAACGTTGTCGCGCGCATCAAAGTACCGATATTCATAGTTCTTACCAGCAAAAGTTTCTTTGGTGTCTTGGATGAGATCCAGAGGGCCAAATGCGTCACGCAGAGCGTACTTGACGGGTAACCGTGCGGCAGAGATGGTATCGTCGGCATAGTCGTGCCAGGAAAAGGCATACCAATGGGCAAGTGCAAAGAGTGGCATCTCGAAGCAGATAAGAGCATCCTGTATAGCAGCGGCCAAGTTATCGGGGCTGTAGCCAGGTACGTCGTCTGGAATGGCTCCCAAGAAGACAAGGATGGAAAGGAAGAATCCTTGCCAATAAGAGGCGAAGATGATGCCTTTGATGCACAGGAACTTGGGCATGGGCCGGAAGGGCTTAAGATCGGTGGACATGCACACCCAGAACATGGCGAGGGCGTACAAACTGATCGTGATGCTGACGTTGTAGATCATGCCGCTCCAGAAGTAGCCAGAAGTCCATCCTATGTATCCTTCCTGGTATGTACCGGTAGCCTTCATGATGATGGTCGCCACAGACAGAAGAGGCTTGACCCACGTGTATTGCAAGATTCCACGCTTAATGGCGAGGAAGGTGTGTGGGTCGGATATGTCGATCTTGGAGCAGACGAGGTTGAGCGGCCACGGGTGGGATACGGGCGGGCGGCCGGTCATGAGGATGATGAGGGCGCGTTCGCCGCCGATGAAGTTGATAAGCAGCTGGAGGAAGGTGTAGATGGTGAAGGCCTGAGCCATGCGTCAGTGATAGTTGCCAGAGGGAGAGATTGTATGTACCTCGTAAACGTCTCTGAAGGGCTCCACGTAGGACGCTGCAATCGTCGACACCAAGCTGGCCCATGATGCGCCTGCGTAGATGGGGACCCTTTATGATATGAGCAATGACATACGACTGCTGGAGAGAGTGCATACATGAGCAAGATACGGATGACATATCGCTGCAGCACCGGTTTACGGTAGTTCTTCCTATGTCTTGTTCAGCATACGGGCGCCAGCGGTCGGCCGGTTCGCTCTCACGTTTGTAACCAGACAGCACTACAGCTACGTCAGCTCGAGTCATGCAAGATAGAGGCTCTACCACCTACACGAAAGTAACTAGACTCGCGACAAGAGCGCATACGCCTGCTACAATGATGACAGCACGTGCAAAGCGAGCACCGGTGCCGCCAGACAAGTCGGCGCCGGTAACGTCTTGTGGGAGGGTGCCTGAAGCCATGTTGGGGCGGCGTAGGCGAGCAAACAAACACGAAAGAAGTGGCAGTCGCAGTCGTGGGGTCAGTAGGGAGAAGAAAAGGCAGACGATGGTACTAGCGATGGATCGCAGCCATGGTGTGTGCTGTCGACTGCCACCCGGTGTCGTGCGTGTGGTCTTGTGCACGTTCGCCCTCCACAGTGTGGTAGGTTTGCGGAGAGGCAGAACAGGTCCAAGCTCGGTTTTCCTGCACGGCGCCCATGACGCGCATCCTGCGTGTCGCGCCTCGAACATCAATCGGCCCTGTCCTTAGCACTTGGGTAGCGCCATCTCCAGCTGCTTCATAGTGCGTGCACTTCGACGGCGCGATACCCACCCCGAATATCTTGAAATATCAACACCACGAGTCAATGTCGCCAGAGTGAGCAGGAGCCACCCCTTTGCTCCTTCCATCTCCGCTCGCCACGACAATGCGCAACTTCTCCCTCGAGCCATGAAGACGCCCACTCTCCTTCACATAACGCGCTGCAGTCATGGCGTCCCGAATCGTCGCGGAGCCCCTGGACCCGCGCGACGGCTTCAATTGGGTGTTCCTGGTTGAGCTGCTCATCTGCGGCATCCTGACCATCTTCTTCCTCTTCTACTTCAACCGCCTCTTCGCGACCCTCGTCTCCTACGGTATCCGCGCATACACTTGGCGCACCTTCAACGCCTACATCGACATCACCTCGCTGCAAATCTCTCTACTGGGCGGTCGCCTCTTCTTCAAGGATATTCGCTATCATGGTCATAACGAGACAATACTGGTTCATGGCGGATACATCACCTGGAACTATTGGTTACGGAGGGTCAAGGACGCGGGTGTATATACTGACGGCGACCCTTCCTCGGAACCCGACACTAGCAGCGAGCGTACACCAAGCACGCCCAGGAGCCGGTCTGACAGTCGAAGTGGGAATTTGGACAAGGCAGAAAAGGGAGGCAAGCAGACGCGGAAAGAGCTACCATGCCGCTTTTCCATCAAAATCTATGGAATTGAAGCCTTCATGTACAACCGGAGCCCTGCGTACGACGGTATCATAGACGCGGTCAAGAAGAAGGCGGAAAGCGCTGCCCAGGATGAGAAATCGCCCGAGGGATCCGTGGCCGACTACGAGAAGACCGAGAAAGACGAGCATCATCGCCACAACAAGCTGAAGAAGCAGCATACCGAAGGCGACAACAACGTTACCCGACCCGTTACCGGCCAATCGACCTCGTCAAATCCCAAGAAAGCCGACATACCAGCCTTCCTCAAACTCCTCCCTGTTCACATCGATATAGTGAAGGGCGCCATCGTCGTTGGAAACGAGCACACGCTGGCCGTTATAACTGCTCAATTCGAAAAAGCGACTGGTACCATCGATGCGTCTACATGTGGCCCCTTGGACGTTTACCAGCAGCTTTTCAACTTCCAAGTCACGCATCCCGTCGTTCATATGAAGCCCAATCCCGATTACAAGATTGGACAACTCGACTCAGCTGTACAGTACAAGCAAGAAGCAGCTGGAGGTGTACCAGAAGATTCCATAATCGAGAAAGAGGCACGGCACAGGAGACACTGGCGCTGGCTGAGGAGAATTCCAAATTTGGCTGGAATCTTTTCCAGAGACTCAGATTCCATCCATACTCACACCAGGTCAGGCACCGCTAACAATCCACCTTTGAACTCTCAATGGCACTTCCCCGGTCGCGAACGGTGGAAAGGCCTGGCAAGATACCTCGACGATACCACCAACGACGGCCACGGCGAGTGGGATGGCATCGAATACGCCAAGACGTCGTTGATTGCTGACTGCCCTTGTGTCAACGTCTCCTTCTACTGGGACGTTCCTGGCCCTGTACCAAACGATATCGACCACAGCAGGCACATCGATCCCGCGCGACCGTACGACATCAACGGAAGCATTCCGCCCGACTACGGCATGGACATACAAATATTTGGAGGCACTATAAACTATGGACCTTGGGCAGACCGGCATCGCGGCATCTTCCAGAACATGTTCTTTCCTGGCAATCGTGTGGATGCTGTCCCAGCGACACCCCTGAAGGCTGGCGACCTCCGTGTACAGACCGTGTTCAAACTTTTCCTCAGCATCGAAAATGATACCGTGTTGCGCATACCGATCCGCGAATCATCCAAGGATTGGAAGTGGAAGGGAAAAGCACACACGTTGAATGCACGCGAAAAGCCTGGGGACAAAAATAAGAGTAAAGCAAAGGCATACCTCAGAAGGGGAAAGCGAAGAGACAACACTGGTGCGCAAAATGTTCGCCCTTTCGCATGGATTGATGTCAAGATAGCCGAGCAAACCACCGTCAATTATGTCATGGATATGTATGCCTCAAAACAAGGATACCAGAGCAAAGTGGACGTCGATATCGCCAGTACTGAGATCTCGTCCAGTGTCAATCATGGTCTTTTGTGGCGCTCTGGCGCCATTGCGCTTGACTGCGACCTTTCTAATCCTTTAGGTTGGAATACATTGCGGAAATGGCTGTTCAACATCAAATGTCAAGATTTGGAGTTGTTCCTCCTCAGAGATCACATGTTTCTGATCATGGATCTCGTCGCTGACTGGGGCTCGGGTCCGCCGCCCGATTACTTTCTTTTTGTGCCTTTCCAGTACCTGCTCAGCGTTGACTTCTCCAACTTCAAGTTGTACCTCAACACCAACGACTCCAACATAATAAACAACCCATCTGACCTGGAAGACAACAATTTCGTTATCCTGTCCGGTCAGAACTTGCAAGGAGATGTATCCATACCACTGGACAAGTTCCGGCCACTTGAAAATGAAATCAAGTTTGACGTTAAAGGTCAGAATCTAGGTCTCGAAGTTTTGATGCCTCAGAAAAACACATTGCAAACATTCGTACAATCGCCAAAAGTAGCGCATCTGGGCGGGCTTACTTTGAGCGGAAGTCATACCTTCATGACTGAGACATCGCCCATGAATACCGACAGGCTTTTCATGGACATCCAAGGTCATAAGCTCAACCTTGAACTATACGGTTGGCTCATCCATCATTTCATGAAGATCAAAGACAACTACTTTGGCGATGACATGCACTTCAAGACACTGGAGGAGTTCCAGGGGCTACCAAGTACTGTTCTAGCAGCAGACGGGACCCAGGCAGACATACAACCAGCCAAGCTCTCGAACGACCTGGACGTAATACTGTCTATCTACGCGGACGAATCATGCGTACTACTACCTGCCAATCTGTACGCAGCAGAGCGTGGCATCCGAGCCGATCTCCCGTTCGCATCCGCCGATCTGAGGTTTACCAACTACTACATGGATCTGATGGTCAACTTTAGTCCTATCAGTATCTCCCTCGGAGGCTTAGTACCAGACGCTGAGGTACCCAACGAATTTACAAGCGGGCCTACCGAGCTCTTTGTTGACTCCACGATCATTTTTGGACATCGTCTTTTTGGACTCCCACCGATCGAGCCAACCTATTTGTGCAGCTGGGAATTCGAAGTAGGAATGATCACGGGCGATTGCACATCCGAATTCGTCGAAACTGCAGCAGGAGCAGCGCGCTCCTTTGGGTTTACTCTCGACGACGATGAGAACACGCTTCCTCTGACCGAAATTCCGATAATCCATGATGCTACTTTCTTAAAACTGAAGACACACGACATCAGCGTCTGTGTCCACATCGCCCAGGAAGCGTTGTTGCTCAAGACGAGTCCCGTGAGTCTCAACTTCAACGATCTCGCTGGAACTACATTCTCTCAGAGGCTCAATGTCTTGATACCGGACTTTACGATCAGTGCCGTTCCGTCCAAGTCCGTATCGCATCATAGAGCGCGCTCCAAGGAGAAGGAAGCTGTCACTACCCAGGCCTATCTTCAAACCACTGTGTCATTGAATCTGTTGACTCGGAAACTGGACTTTTCAGAGGAGCGCGCGCAGCAGCAGGCTCACATGCGGTTGCACGATAAACGGACTAACCGCACTCGCTTCATGCTTGGTGACGAGCGAGTCTCGTCTTCACATCTAGATGACACGAATCGACAGAATCTGCGTACACCAGCAATGCAATACCCGGACGTGCCTCATCCAATCTTCTTGTACCAGCCGCCTCACCATGCCAGTTCGATCACATCGTCCAAACAATCCTCGACTGCTTCATCCTCCAAAGCGCGACGAATGCACCCAAGTAGCAAGCGATCGTCTCCAGCCATGTCGTTTTCCAGCAGCATCAGATCTGCGGTCAGGCGGAAGGCAGACAAGACGACTGCAGGTAGCAGTGATAGCCGGACCCTTCTGAGTGGATCACCAAAGCCGACGGACTCAACTCACCGCCCCTACTCGTCCTTCAGGAATGATGAGCGTGTCGAGCACGACTGGACTCCTTCGTCTGTCGCACTGTCTAGCAGTCTCGCCGTACCCTATTTTCCGTTTGATCAGATCGAACCGGATCTGTCAGATGTTCCTTCCTTCCCTACGATGCCCTCTAGCAATAGTTTCCTGGAGGTGGACGACGTTGTCTTCAACGATGTGTCAACGAAGCATTTGGATGAGAGCTTCGCCCACAGTAGCATACTGATTAGTGCAGAGCCAGGCATACGCGTCTTTTGCACCCCAGAATTTGTCACATGTGTCTCGAGCCTAATCGAACTAGTTCAACCTAGGCGCCCTGAAGATCTGCTGGACGACTTCCAAGTCAATGTCATGACTAAGATCCTTGAGAACCGCAACCGATTAGAAGGCAAAGGCAGCTCAGTCGAATTCAGTGTTCGCATACCTTTTACGCACGTTCGATTCCAGCACACTTTCCAAGCTCACTCCATGAATGAGACGGGGCAGGATCAGTATGATATCATCCTGAACAAGCTTGCGCTGGCAGCAAGGATCAAAAAGTTTCCTGGCGAAAGAGCTGGTGAGAACTCGCTTTCGTTACATACCACTTTGGGCTCACTCGGTCTTTCCGTGACCGAGCGCGATCTTTATGACATGGGTGGAGGAGTTGCTATCCAGGCTGAAATCAGGGACGTTATGTTGTGGATGATGCAATGCAAGGAAACTTCGGTGAACGTCTCTTTCAGGTCGTTAGAGAACGCCGTGGCAAGCAAGAAGGTCGAGTACCTAGCAGCGCTCATCCACCGGACGACTCTTTTGTCTGAGAAACTGATTACAAGATTTGCTGAAGTCGAGCAAAGGCAACAACATCGACTACGCTATCTCGCCTGGTATCTCACAAGCGTACAAGACCAATACTCAGATCCCGCCTTTCTTACTAAAGCATCTTATGCCCTTCGAGCGGCTAGAGACCACCTGCGGAGTCACGATTCTTGGAAGATCATTTCCCGATTTCGGTATACCTGGCAATGTCTTCCACAGGTCGAGAAAGACGCTATTCTTGGCGACTGTTCGCAGTCTGATGTGGCATGCCCTGTCAATGCTGAAGAAAAGATCATCGGGATGTGGGATCAGTGGCGTACTTGGGATCTAGCGCATGTAAAGAAGAGCCTTGCGATGAGGCTGCTTTTCGGACATATCGAAGAGCCGCTTCCAACCTCAGACTCCGCACCTGTACATGTCGACATCAGGTCAGCAGAGATCAAGTTCATCATTGACCCTGGTCCAAGACAGAGCGAAATATCTCTAGGTCTCCTAGTCTTGAACATCGTCTTGCTACCCCCAGCGCAACCTGATGGACTGATGGTGGTAGATGCCGGCGCTCTGAAGAAGTCTACAGTCGTTCAGATCAGCTCCGGAGATACGTCACTACATGTCCAGTGGGAGATCTGCGAGCTTGCAGAATCATTACTAGAACTGTTCCAGAAAGAGAACTTGAGAGCAGCGAAGAAGACGAAGGCCGCAACCCCACCATCAAGACAAATCTCGAAACCTACATATGACCATGATCTTCAGGTGGTATTCGCAACAGATAAGGTCCAGATAACGCTGGACACTATCAACCTCCGGAGCATCAACACGGGCAGAAGCATGCGATTCTCTTTCCTTGATGCAGATAGTAGAGCATCGGAACTCGGAGAGATCATGTCCGCTCATCTTCACGTCGACGTTGCTGTGAGTGAGCTGTCATCTCGATCCCGGATTTTGGCCAAAACGCAGTTCGAACAGCCGAGTATCTACTTTGCCATGATAGAGCACGAGGGCGAGAACAAAACACCCAATGAGATCAAGGTAGCAGCCGCAAGCCACAAGATTATTGTGAAGGTGCAAGAGGACATCTTAGGCCTCATTGAAGTCGCGGACAACGTGCTGAAGGACGAGGCCGCGTATTTCCATCGACAATCAGCGAACATGAAGCGATTTACGAGCACGACCCCGAAGGATGACAAGCCCGACAAGGTTTCCACTCAGCTTCCCAACATCTCACTCGCACTTTTCATGGACGCATATCAAATCGAAATTGCTGTTCTTCAACCTCTTGGATGGTCGATCACAGGCTCGTCCGGACGTATCGCTGTCATTCCAGCCTTAGGCAAGCATGTCACCTTGCAAGTAGACTACGACCTCGAAGCGAACTTCCATCGGCTATACAGTACGTCGAAAGAAGGTTCACACGTTATCAGCTCGCTTGAGCTACCTCCACTCAATGGAAGACTGTCAATTACCCAGACCGAGAAAGAGACCAAGGTTCTGGCGTCCGGAATCGTCGACAAGGTACATGTCCAGGCTTCAGAGATCCAGTCTTTCGTCGCGACCCTCAACAAACCAGAAATGTCCCACATGTTCCAGGCGGTTCAAGATGATGTCGGGGTTTTGAAGACGCATATTGAGGAGTTGTTTCCACCTTCAGCAAGCTCTCCAGTAGTCAAAGCTCCTACGTCTTCACCGGATATCTTGTTCGATGTGCGGATGACGCTGCACGGAATGCATGTTTCAGCTAGCGCCCCTGGCCAGCATCCAGACTCGCCAACGGCAAATCTCGCGTTCAGGGTATCCACAGTTCAGCTTAAAGCCACAAACATCGATTCAGATCAGAGCATCATGATGTATCCCGAAGCCGTGGTGCGGATCCACGAAGTTACCATCGATATGAACCTCAAGGATCAAGACTCGGTTCGTCGATGTGGTAATCTCACGTTCGGAGCCGTTTTCCAGGCAACTACCGAGAAAGACTCTGAACCTACCCGCAGGGTCTATAGCCTCCGAAGCTCGGGTCTGGAAGTGAATGTCTTCGCAGACACTGCATCAGCGGTGGTAGACGTGGTGAATCATCTCCAAGACAAGATTAAGGATTTGGACCTCTCCAAAGAGAAAAAGTATCTACGTCGTCTCCGGCACACGAAGAGTAGAATCTCTCACCGACGTGACCGGAGTCTCAAAAGCGATGCTCATCAAGACTCCGACAGCATCAGCTCAGGAGCCCTCTTTACATCGACGTACTCTTTGGAACTCCTTGACCTACAAGTCAGCTGGATCGTTGGAAACTCTGTCGCTCCTTTCCCGCAAAACGAGATTCACGATCTTGTGCTTTCTTTCGGAAAGATCGACCTGTCAACACAGAAAGACGATGCCGCGCGCTTGATGGTTGAAGATATGCGGTTACAGATGGTACCGGTGTCGGCGAGTAAGAAGGTGCGATCGCTCAACTCAGCGTTATTGCCCAAGATGGTGTTCAACGTAGCGTATGCGTCCACAAAAGATACGCGTAAGCTAGCATTCTATGCTGCCGGCAAATCACTCGATCTCCAGCTAGACTCACACTTCGTCTTACCCGGAAACGTCATTGAGCGCTCTATTGCCCTTGCTGGTAAGAAGTTCCGCAAAGCTTCTGCTAATTGGAACATGACACCCACGACGACTGGTGCACAACGAAAGAATCCTTTCGGAAACAAACGTCTTGCATCGCTGACCGCTGATGTCAATTTTGCCGGAGCTGTTGTACATATCCACGGTAGTGATAAAGCGCCAGTACAAGGCGCTTCCGGTCGGGCTCAGCAGAAGGGACGCTATAGCCAGTTCGTAGGAGACGAGTCAAAGAGCAGTATGGCGTTACGAGCTCCAGGTGTGGCAGTACGCGTCGAGTATACAGATGACGGGAACGATCCTTCTCTGAACGCCGAGCTTCGTGTTGATGGATCAACCAACACGTTACTGCCGACTGTCGTGCCTATCATCATCGACATATCGGATAGCATCAAAGCTGTAGTCCGCGAAAAGGATGACGATGATGAGGCTGCATCACCTGAACAGTCTCAAGACCAGTCAAAGCCGACTGCCAAATTACTCGAAGAAGACAACATCATCACAGCAGACCCTACCACCATCTTAGGCAGGACAAGACTCAACTTGGGACTTCGGATTTGCAAGCAAGAGTTCAGTCTCAGTTGCCAACCCATTGCTCGTGTCACAGCGATCGCCAAGGTCGAGGATATATACATCACGGTCAACAGCGTCAAATCTCAAGAGCATGGTCACTTCTTTGCTGCGTCAGCCACGTTTGAGAAACTGGTGACTACTGTTCGGCACGTATACTCTCGTGAGTCTACGTTTAGTTTGGACATGGAGTCTATCGTGATTTCCTTGATGAACAGCAAACATCTCAGCGGCACCAGTGGTATTTCGGCGATCCTCAAGATCAACCCGACCGCTCTCCAGATCAACGCGCGCCAACTGCAGGATTTCCTATTATTCCGAGAAATCTGGGTGCCGCCAGAGATCCGTCGGGCTTCGAAACCTTCGTCACCAAGCGCCAACTCAGAACCACAAGAGTTTCTCATACAACGCTATCAGCAAATCGCTGCCGGTACCGCTTTTCCTTGGAATGCGAATGTGGCTATCGCAGACGTCAAGGTTGATTTAGATTTGGGTCAATCGATCGGAAAGTCATGGCTACACATTCACAACTTGTGGGCGTCGTCCAAGAAGACCACTACCTCGGAACAGAACCTGTGTGTTGGTGTTGAGAAGATTGGTATCGAAAGTACGGGTCGCACGAGTGGCTTCATTGAGCTGCATGAGACTAGAGTACGCACGTCGATTGGATGGCCATTACAAGAACCAGGCACTCGTCAAGCACCACTCATTCAGGCATCAGTTGCTTTCCGTCAGTTACGTGTAAGGACTGGGTTCGACTTCCAAGCTTTCGTGATGGCAGATATCGCAGATTTCGGCTTCCTGATGTACAACGTCCGCCCTGAGGGTGACGATACACAAGATCGGCTGGTTGCTATACTTGACGGTGGCAAGGTGCACGTATTTTGCCATGCTACGAGTGCTGCACAGGGTCTTGCACTATGGCAAGCGATTGAACGGCTGATCCAAGAGAACCGACAAGCGTACAAGCAATCTCTCCGAGATATTGAGAAGTTCCTGCGTCGCAAATCATCGTTGCCTGAGCCATTCACACCCCCAGGATCGAACAGTCAGCTTCTTACAAAGCCGGACAAGGACAACTTCAAAGCACCCATCTCACTGCATACCGATGTTGTCGTCACACTACGGTCAATCAGATTTGGTGTCTTCCCATCAACATTCATAGACAACCAAGTCCTGATGCTGGAAGCCGGCGATATGCAAGCACGCTTTGCTGTTGCACTCGAGAAGAAGACCAAGATTCACTCCAGCCTCGGCATGACGCTTGGTCAACTTTCCGTCGCACTGGCTTCCGTACCAACACCAAAAAAGAGCAAACCCGTGACCGAGCTCACAGTTGAAGATGTGTCGGCAAGCGTCAGCTCCGCACGTGGCGGCACAATTCTACGTGTACCCAAGGTCATCGCTACAATGCACACCTGGCAGGTACCCAAGGGAACACACATCGACTACCTGTTCCGTAGCTCGCTCGAGGGCAAAGTTGACGTTGGCTGGAACTACTCACGTATCTCTTACATACGCACCATGTGGTCCAACCACTCCCGCACCCTCGCCTCCCGCCTTGGCAAGCCACTTCCAGAATCCAACATCAAGATTAGCACATCCCAAACCCTCCAAGACGATCCGGATGCCTCCGCTCCCGACCCCAACGCCGCCGGTAAGACGGCGATACCGTCCAACCGCCCCCGCGCTCCCTCCGTTTCGCCAGACGGCCAGGAGAAAATTACTGCTGTAGTCAATGTTCCACAGTCGCGCTACGAGTATACGCCATTAGAACCGCCGCTGATTGAGACGCCGCAATTAAGGGATATGGGCGAGGCGACGCCACCTTTGGAGTGGATTGGGCTGCATAGGGATCGCCTGCCGAATGTTACGCATCAAATTGTTATTGTTACGTTGTTGGAAGTTGCCAGGGAGGTGGAGGAGGCTTATGAGAGGATTCTGGGGAGCAGCTAAGTGGAGCATCAAAGGCGTTTATGCCTTCTGAGTTTAATTATGTAGAATTATTGGCAAGGCGTTTAGAGTGAAGGGACTGGTACATTGGGTGAAATGGCGTTTCGGAAAAATCGTCAGAGTTTGTGAAAATATCTAAATTAGCATGTACATACTTATTGGCGCTATTGAAAGTTCAAATAGTGCCGTTTTTCCTGAACAACCAAACCGTTCTGTGTGCTCAACTAGGTTTGCTATGAAAGGAAGGAGACGCGTCGCGTGATGACGTCACGCGCTGATGGCTCGCCAACCGAACGACGAACCCTCGATCTGCCATATTCCTTTCTTCACGCTTTGATCCCAGTATTTGAGCTTCCGTCTCAACGATAACCAGATGGATGCAATTTCTAGGTCAAGGTCACCTTCGTAGCCAACATATATGCTACGCCAATTTACGCGGATCACCTGCCTACCTTCGCGTATGGAATCACCAAATCTTGTACCACATACCAGCGGATCTCAAGGCGCAAGATGCTCTCCAAGGCAAAACTTCGGGTTTACCAATCGCCAATCAAACTTCGTTGCCTCTCTCGTATCGAGAACAGTCTGTTGGACCGGCCCTTAACAGCGAGACCACATGAACTTTTCTAGTATATCTCGACTCCATCGGAGCAACACACCGAAACCATTTCGTCGCGTCGTTGGAGATTCTATTGGCATTGCCACTCTGCCAAGGAGCCCTCGAAAGTAGCTATAACGAGGTGGCGCATATATCCATGGACTTTACGCTGCAATCGCAGACCAACGACAAACACGTCCGGTGAACATCGGCAGGCTGTCGGATAGGATCCCGCCAATAATTGTGTCTTCAGCACTCATGGTACAGGACGGAGCCTATGACACTCACAAGGCGCTGTACCGGATATGTGGGCCATGGGCTGATACGAGTTATGCGGCGTACGATCTTGCTGGTGTCAGGAGCATGTCCCAGTTCTACAGATTGCGCAATTGTCCTCAACATCCATCCTGCTGTCACAGCGGGCACTTAGCAACCGGAAGATCTCCAAACGCAGTCCATCACCTGGAGAACATTGACTCTTCTTTTCACCGGTAACCTGGAGTGGGATACTATTTCTTTCTGGAATCGGCTAGGTGCAGACTTAGGTAGGGCTTAGACAGATGAAGCTCGTGTCAGCGCTATTCGGTATCCTTGAATCTTCGTACTACAACCTGCGCCTTGCCTTATATCCGGTCTTACACGAAGACCAATCACGATGCCTCTAGCTTGTCACGATGTCCTTATCTGGTTCGCGCATTGTGTACAGCCAAGCTGATCTAAAAATCATCGCTTACAAGTGCAGCCCCGCGGATGTAGAGTAAGCAACTGAGCCTCAGACTTCGATAATATAAGACCACGCTTCGCTCACGTTCGCAGGTCTCGATCCGCATGGAAACCGCTACTGAGTTCGAGATCGCGGCTCAGTCAGTGGTGTTACTATAGGGTCTTCCTGCGTTACCACTGCTAATGCTCTTAGCTGCAAACTTGGCTCAAATCGTGGTTGTGCAGGTGTGCTGACTGGTAGTGAACGGCCGCGAGACCTCAACCTTTGGCTCTTTCCAACTACCAAGCTCACCACATCTTTGACGCGACATTAAACGAGACCGATCACGCAGCATCCGATTGCAAGATCCGAACATAGCGGGCTTCTCCTTTGTGAACAGAACGCATGGCCCAGACCACGCCTGGCTTCAATATCACCCACACACCAGAAGCCTTCCAATGGCTAGAATGCTATAAAACTTTGCAATGTACTTCCATAGTCTTTCCTATAGCACCTCATAGACGACCCTCAGCGAAACGCGTTGTTTACCTGGCACTTGATAACAGATGGACGACACAACGACCCAGAATCCATCATCCCCCTCTGATATACTGCCCTTCGATAACCTCCACAACGACAAGATCGATACAAGCTCTGAGTCTTTGAAGTTCAGCCAAGGTCTTGCGGGCGTCGATCAGACCACGAACTACATGTTCGTTAATATCCTCATTATAACTGCCCTGTTCCCGATCCTGATCGCTCTGTGCTTTCGTGTTTTTGTTGCAGCGAGAAACGATCGCCGACGAATCTCAGCGATCGCTTCATGTAGGGGTCAAGAACTTTGGGTAAGGGATCGTTATGTGTACTGGGGAGCACTCAAGCGGCACTTTCTTTATGCGCCAGTCGGGCCTACGAAATGTCGACAACCAGCGAAAGGCTCTACAGCTGGTACGACATCAGCCCCCTTACCCACTCGCGTCCATTCTTTGGTAATTGTCGTCTATATCCTCAGCAACATGGCGTATTGCCTGGTCGTCTCCGTACGTTCACGTCCCCAGATGGTGGCCGAATTTCGCGGCCGGTGTGGAACTCTTGCGACATTCAATCTTATATTCGCTGTTCTCTTTGCTCTTCGGAACAACCCTTTGATAAACCTCCTCCATGTCAGCTACGATACTTTCAACCTTTTCCATCGATGGACGGCGCGACTTGTTGTGGTAGAGGCTACTGCTCATGCCGCTGCTTTCCTGTACAACACATATCGGGCAACCCATGATGGGAAGAGTGGCTGGCATAGCGTGGGTTGGCTTCTAAAACAATCGTTGTCGTATCAGTGCGGTCTTGCAGCTTTTGTTGCATTTTTGTTTCTCATTATTCATTCCATCGGCCCTATTAGACGCTCTTTTTACGAGACATTCCTCTCTTTACACCGCATCGGCCTCGCAGTCGCGGTATCCGGTGTGTACTTCCATTTGGCGAAGCATGCTTTGCCACAACTGCCCTGGGTGTATCTGGTTATCATTTTCCTATCACTAGAGCCCTCGATCCGCATCGTTCGCATACTACGTTACAACTTTTCATGGAAAGAGAAGAAGTGGACCCTTGTGGGCCTGGAAAGATTACCTGGTGAGGCAACGCGTGTCACCTTTACACTTCCCCACTCGTGGAACGCCAACCCTGGATCACACGTTCAGATCTACATGCCGAGAATAGCACTAATGGGGTCACACCCGTTCTCAGTGGCTTGGTCCCAATCGTCCGGAGACGCGAATGCTTTGGCGGAAAAGGCACCCTTCAGCATCGACGACCTTGACTCGGAAAGCGGGCCTAGCACCATTTCGTGTGTTATTCGCTCACGCCAAGGAATGACAAGTTCCCTTTACAAGCTGGCGGCGAGATACCAAGACGCTCAGGTGCACCTGTGGGGAGCGATCGAGGGGCCATATGGTGGCTATCATTCTCTCGACTCGTATGGCACTGTTGTCCTCTTTGCTGGAGGAGTAGGAATCACACACCAGCTGTCTTTCGTCCGACATTTACTGAACGCGCACAACAGCAACATTGCCGCTACACAGAAGATTTCCTTAGTCTGGTGCATAGCCAGCCTCGATGCGCTGGAATGGGTGCGGTCGTGGCTTGATGAAATCGCGGCTATACAGCACTTTCGCGAAGTTGTGAGCATACGGCTCTACATTTCCAGGATGGTCTCCTTCGAGTTTGAAGGTCGGTCTATACCGGCGTACCTCGAAGTGAGACTGCAACGGTGCGAGGTACAGAGTGTACTGGATGGCGAGGTACTTGCACAGATTGGTGCTATGGCGGTTTCAGTGTGTGGGCCAAGAGGCTTCAGTGACAGCGTTAGGGCAGCTGTCAGACGTAGGGTGAGCGTACGGAGCATTGACCTTTTTGAGGAGGCGTTCTCGTACTGACCGACACCTTCGGTGGGATGGTAATCTATCGCCATGGCAAATTCAACAAGGCACGTGTACTCGTAGACTATACTCGGCTCGTTTGCCCGAGTTGATCTAAACAAGGCACTACTACAGTACGACATCATTGCGACGCTTGTTGGTCCAAGTGCTCGTAGTAACGCCAGAGTGGCACCATACCCGGCCGGGCCTAAGGTAAGTGTGTACCGTCGGAATATGACGCCACATAAGGTGACAACCCCAAGCTGGTACGCCCGTAGTGTCTTTCCGAGAGTTCACCCATGGCTGACATGTCTCAGCTCGTCTTTCGGTTGGAAACTTGGCCACTAAAATCAGGAGTCTCTTCTAATACCGTACGTGAATGTTAAAGTGTACTCGCTCTCGTTTGACCAAACAAACTACACTATGACAGAATTTTTTAGAACGAACTTTCACTGCATTTCGTTTTGTCGCAAATCACTGAGAGACCCTAGCACAAAGCATGTGGTTTGATAAGCAGAAACGAAGTATATATCAACAACTCTGAACCTAACTGGCATCTGATTCGGAGCCTACTTAAAACCACAAAAAGAGGACTCTGTATGTATCGCACTCCTCTGAGTCGTTATAAACGCCTCTATTTCGGTGGAAATGTACTACGGAGCCTTTTTTCTAATGTTACGCAGCAAACGCTCTCGCCTCTCCAAACCGAAGACATTATAATGTAGTACATATATCCATCAACTTGGTGCTATTTTATATAGAGAACTGGAAGATCCGGTAGCGTACGTCATCTGCATGTCTACCCTGTCGTGCAGGGTGTGATCCAGTCACGTATTGTATCGGGTCGATAAAGGCGATCTATTTTTGCTCTAAGTTCGAATTGAGTCGCAGTCTTCTTTTTGAATCGCATAATTTTCTTTTTTGTTTGTCGGTCATTCACTCTTCTGTCTTTCGTTTTGATTGTATGTCACTAATCTCGCTCAGTGGTGATGGCCTATCACGGTTCAGGTTGCCATGAACTTCTATTCTTGTCTCGAACCCGTCTACGAAGCAATAACCCCCTCCGATTAGTGTTGAAGCGGTATGAGGATGCGAAGCGCTCTGCAACATGGTGAGAGTGCACGTCACTGCCCCAACTTTCCAGTGCTCCTTCCTCACCGTCATCAGTGCAACGTCATCTATAATCTCACCACTGACTCACTTGCCAACTCTCGCAAAAGTGCCAACTCTCCATGACCGGGCATTCCAATGCTGAAGGGACTGCTAGACTATCTTTTCCTATTACCAGTAGTAGAGTGGATTCTCTCTCACTTGCGCTTTACTACCAGCAACCACCTGAACTCCTCCCACAAATCTACGCCGAAACCAACGTCAATCCCGATTCTTACTTCAGCAAACAAACCGACCAATTTACTCATTCTCTCCTCTTCAAACCATTCAACCAATCTCCATACGATGTCGGACCCCAACGCGACCAGCAATGGCCACGGCACTACCCAAGAAGCGTCCTTCTACCACAATTCTGTTGAGCTCGCTGATCTTGGTATCAAGCGCTTCGACCAAGATACCGCCGCAATTGGCGACCGCGACTTTGCCCTGCACGCCAACCAACCAGTCATCACCCGCGCCGGCCGTGCGCCCCGTGGTCTCGAAAGCCAAGTTCATGCTTGGAACACGTTTCAGTACACCACTGATGAGGTAGACAGCCGCGAGGAGCTCAAGGGTGATTTACACGGCGGACAGCTGCATCGCGAGAATAGAGCTGCGGCAAATCCGCAGGGTATGGCGCCGATGGATTTTAGTGGTGGTAGGGGTAGAGGTTTTGAGAGGGGAGGTCGAGCTGGTGCTAGAGGTGGACGAGCGGGAGGCGCCGGACGAGGTGGGGTCAGGGATGTCGGGCAGATGGAGGGACTATGTGCGGGTAGGAAGCCGGATTTCGATGCGCCGCCAATGGCCAAGGGTATGGCGGAGGAGATGGACAAGAGTATGTTTTGGGATGAACCTATCGTTTGAGTGATGGCGGCAATGCATCGTGTCAAGCTCATTGAAGGGTATTAGCTACGTCCAGTAATCGTTCATGCTGTTCGCCGCTGAAAGCACACCTTTCAGGTCGACACTGGGGAGACGGGAAATTATTACAGGGAATGTAGGAGGTTCTCCGTAGTTCACTGTAGTCGAACAGAAGCAGACGCACGTTCTCAAACGTTCCCTTGGCTCGAACCAAATCACTGAAAGTTAGGCCATGATCTCTTCTTTTGTTATTAATACTTTCTCATCATACTGTCCGTCTATCATACGCTCTTCCTTAATCAGTCTCGCTCGAAAAGCTGCGAGAAACCACCTGCCTCATCTCTCTCCATCCCCTTCTTTCAACTCATATACGTGATAACTTAGCTAACTGTTGAGACATTAACGAGTAAACATATAGATCTAGTTAGTCAACTTACGTCTAGTTCTTCCCGATAATCGCTGGCGGCTTATCGACAAACACAAATTGATCCAGGCTGCAAGTTGGTACTAGAAGCAATGCAGCGGCCAGGGCAATTTGCTACACAATAGCTGGTGGCATGAACTGTGCCGCAAGCGACACCTGACAGAACCCCACCACCAGGTAGAGCAGTAGTAAGGGCGATGAGCAGGAGGAAAGGCACGAGGATGAGGGCCTGTGAATGCATCGTTGGTTGAGACGTATGTTCTTGTAAGCTATTGTTCGGCGAGACAGATGAAAGAGCAGAGAAAGACCGAACAAGATTGAGGATATGAATTCTACCACAATGCAGGCGCGTTCAAAAGTTGATCTAGGCAAGCAGTATTTGAGCTGATGATTCCAACCAGTACCGTGCAATGGGAGACGCATGCCATACTCAGACCATCCTATATTGCATTCCCAATCCAGAAACTTTCCGTTCACACTCAACATCAACACGTTCTCCTCCACCTCCCTTGTGATATTCTTCTGATTGGCCTGCACAGATTTAAGATGAGTGAGACTTTGCAATTTGAGTGGCAATTGACTCACCGCTTATGCGCCTCCCCCTCCTCCTCCTTGCTGCCAGGGACAGTCGCACCACACATAGCCAGTTGCCTGCTTGCAGGTTCCAGGGCAGCCTTGTACACAAGTGTTCCACGGGGCGACAGCACCGCATTCCACAACGACAGAAGGAGTGGCAGCAGCGAACGCGGTCGTGATGAGGCCTAGGGTGGCGAGCATCATGGTTGCAAAACGGGCGTGCATGTTGGGCTAGAATGAGGTAAAGCTGAATGAGGCTTGCAGATATGTAGGATACCTCGGAGGATAATACAAGAAGAGTTGGGACGAAGAGGTAGTTACAGGGAAGGAAATTGGTTCTTTATGTTTGAGAAGTCGGACAATACGAAGCAAGGAGTCCATCCCTTGCGACGGCAGAAACGGGCTGATATTGAGGCACAGTCACTTGGGCGGCGTAGTACGTCCATTGGAGATGAGATCTACAAAGGGCAGAACATTGACATACGTAACTTGAATGCTTTTGGATTATTTGAATGTAACAGTGGCATGAAAGTCCTGACCTGGGTGGTTGGAATCACCAGCGCCAAGGATAAGCTGACACATGCTGATGTGACAATACCACAATTTTCGCATGTACCACTCAGACGGGAGATTTCCAAACTCGGTGAAAAAGATTCGCTCCCTTGCTGAACCTGGAGTGAAGTGATGGCAGCGGGTATGTAAAACGTGACGGCTGACGCATGGCGCTACTGTATACCAGTAAGAAATTCAGGAAATGCGGAGACGACATGCCCGCCCCCTGAGGCTAGAACAACATCGATGACGCTCAAGTCTTCTTGAAATGTCGGTGTATGAGCCCACACAAGCTCTCCCACAACACCTGATCCGTGCCTCTTAACCACTCAACGACGACCTCACGTGCCAAGTCCACGACCCGAATACGAAATGCTAGCTCAATCTTTCGATCTTGCTTCATGTCAACGAGATCTTCTCTTTGATTACGTTCGTATGCGCGGCGATATGAGCGACTCCACACGTTTTGACTAGCTTCGCCGATGCCAGTCGAAGTAACAGCGTCCCACGTCCAGGTTAGATCGAGCGATGAAAGCTGGGTGTTGATAGCGTCTTTGGCTGTCTGCGGCTCGACTGAAGGTGGTAGTGCGATGGGATAAGATGTTGGGAACGGTAGGAACTCATTGGCCATCTTTCCGATTCGTGCGTGGCTCTGAATGCGGTTAGCATATTCCACTGGTAGCTCAAACGTGTTAGATAGCACCTACATTTCGTGGCCTGAGGTCTCCGAAGCTCCACGCGACAATCCATCGCTTGGTGCTGGACCCAACATCGATATCACCAACCGCCCAATTTGTGATGCCGTGCTTCTTCAAGAGGTTGATGATGGCCTTTGCGCTTTCCATTTTGCCGAACATACTAGTATACCACTGCACCTTTTCCCTGAGGACAAGACTCTCGTTGACAATCTTCGTCACGAAGCCAAGATCACCACCGAGACATACCATTTCGTTCTCTGAGCCTGTACATACGGCGTTGGGCTTCCAGCTCTTTCCCTCACCCTTCAAGCTGGACTGCATATCGGACACATCGTTAAAGAAGGGTGGGTTGCAGATGGTAAAATCGAGACGATCAACCCCGAGGGCTGCGAGAGGGACAAGAGGGTTTAGCTCCGTGGTTTGGAGCAACTTGGTACGCGTCATAAGATTGTTGAGAGCAAGGTTGCGGGCTGCGGAGTCAAAGCTCTTCTTGTCGATATCTGTAGCGCACATTGACCAGTTTGGACGCGATCTTAGGCACAGCAAGGTATATATGGCGGATGCTCCAGTACCGATATCCAAGCCCTGAACCTGGCGATTTGGATCATATCTGCTGGAGTAGTCTGGCGATGTGGAGTCGATTAGACCTTGCAGCCAGGCCACATAGTTCCAGCGATTGGGGATTGGTGGACACAGGCGATCATCTGGCACGTCAAGTTCAAGACCGAAGTCTACTCTTAGAATCGCTTTGGAGAGGGCCTGGGTAGTACTGGGATCTTGGAAATCTAGTTTACCCGACGTGCGCTGCCATAGTTGTTTGAAGTCTTTATCGCTCTTCGCGAGGGCCTTGAAGTCGACGGTGACGTATGGCGGGCGCTGTGCGAGGTTCATGCCGTCTTCTGACATGACTACTAAATTGACTGGGGTGTCATGAATTGTCGTGCCGTGTTCTGGTGATGGAAACAGTGGACCCGCAAATAAGTGCAAAGCTGACGCTCGGGCCAGTCTACCTAGTTGGCCGACAGGGTTGAGATGAGATGGGAATAGGTAGGAGCGTAGGAAAGTGTACAATTGATATACAAAAAGTCGGAGATATAGCGTCGCCGCAGCTCCCGGTTACACCTACATTATGCTGTCTACCCAACGCCGAACCCATGCATGCGATCAGATTAAGAAAGGCCCATCGTACGCTCCATCCTCTTCCTGCAGTCGTACTTGTTCGAGCGACGGGACCGTGTTGGGCTTGTAGAAGCCCAGGAGCATCTCCATATCTTCTTCGGTCATGGCGCAAAGGTCGTCGAGCGAATACTGTTCGCAAACTTTTGACATCCTACAGATTCTGAGTCAGCTTGTGTCTTCAGGATGCGATGGAGATGACGCACCACTGCATCCGCTTTGGACCCTCCTCGATGTTGGGAGCGACCTTTCGCAGCTTCCTTCGCAGCATGCCGACTCTTTGCACGGCGTTGCCGATGTTGTATGGGAGTCCGGCTGCTATCTGCCTCCTTACGATGTTGGCTAGCTTGGGACCGTTGCCGTTTGTGCTGACCATGATCTGCAATGGCCCGTCGCGGTGGACGCTGCCAAAGTAGAAGTCGCACTCGGGTGGCACGTCGGCAATGTTGGCTGCTATCCGCCTCTCCTTGCACAGCTTGTATATCTGCGACGAGGCTTCCGGGTCGTCGACGGCCGTCAGGACCATGTCGACGCCATCGAGATCCTGGGGCTCGAACTTGCGGTCCACATAGTCAACCTGGCCCTGTTCGATTCGGTAGGCGACTTCTTCGTTGAGGCCGTCGCGCGGAGAGACGACGGTGATTTTGGCGTCGGCATTGAGCACGTTGACGATGCGACCAGCGGCGACCTAGACTTTTGTCAACCGTCAATACTTTGTAGGGACCCATGAGGCCTGTGACATACCTCGCCGCCGCCGACTACCAGGACGCGTTTATTGCGGATCTGCCATGCCAAAATCAACGAGCCGCCGCCTTGGATCTCTGGGTAGGGTCCTTTCATGGTGCGGAGAGTGTTGCGGAGAAGGAGGAGGCAGGCCGGAGATAGCCATGTCGACTGTTCCGCGTCATTGCCAAGGCCGTGCAGAAGAGGACGCGCCGGGCTGGCCTGTATATAGAGTTTTTCTCATCGCATGTGATTACTCGTCAGAGTCAAATCACGCAATGCTTCCTACCCTGCCGGCCACTAGCAATGTCTCCATTGTGCGACTGCGACGACGGAACGGACATGCATCCTTAGCGTGCCCTGTAACGGCGCGCCCAAGACCCACGCCTCTAGCCTACCCATCCTGGCCCATGTACTTTCACGACTCCACAAGACACTCCCGAATATGACCTCCCGCAGGTCTCTGGGCGGCGGTCGCGTACTGGGGAGCGGGAGGAACCTGTCGCCCGCTGCGCCACCTCCGCAGCCAGCAGCAACTGCACCTGCCCATCGCCGCAATGCGAGCCTGCTATCGCCCTCGGAGAGCTCGGTGTCGCTGAGCTCGCAGACGTCCATCAGCCCAGCCAGCACCCATGAGACCCGGGAGGACATCAGCAGCAAGGTGCTGATTGGGCCGACTGAAAATGCGGCGGCGAGCGCGTCCAGTAGACTCGTGTGCCCGATATGTAATGAGGAAATGGTGGGTTCATGGCACCTGCCGAGTATGTACAGTGATTCTGACGTAGCAGGTAACATTACTCCAACTCAACCGGTACTACTCCCTCATACCAGCTCACCATGCTATTCCTGACTAGTGTTATTAGACATCTCGACGACAACCACCAGAACCTGGTAGTCGAGGAGCAGGATGAGGTCAAGAACTGGTTCGAGGCGCAGATGCACAAGGCGAAGAAGTTCCAGCCCCTCGCCGTCCTGAACCAGAAGCTCAAAGGACTCGACGTCTTCGAATCCAACGATGCCCCTACGCCCCCTCAAATCTCCCACTCCGCCAGCAGCTCGACCGCCCACGCTGCCTACGAACCCGCACCCGTGCGCCGAGACCCGGAGGAGGAAGTCACGCGAGCACATTGGCAGAGGCCGGGATACCGCGATGTGTGTTCAGATCCCGTCTGCGCAAGACCCATCACCGCATCACAAATGGCACTGGGTGGGAATCAGCCAGCAGTGAACTGCAGGCAGTGTGGAAGGCTGTTCTGCGAGGAACACACCATGTACCAGATGAAGCTGTCGCGGCAGGCTAAGCACGACCCCGTCAGAGGCATCTGGTGTCGAGTGTGTGAGACATGCTACAAGTCAAGAGACGGCTACAACGACCACCACGGTGTCGAGCGCGACCACTTCGACGACTTCGCCAAGATCAGACGGAAACGGGTGGACAGGGAGCGCATGGAGGTTAGCAGGCTTGAGAAGCGCCTTACAAAGTTGACGCAGCTCCTCGCAGACCCACCACCGATAGAGGAGACACCGACTACCGGGGGCTGGTTCTCCTCACTGGCGGGCGTCAAGAACCAACGGAAGGCTCTGGAGCAATCCATCATCACTTGGCAGGAAGATGCTAAAGTATCCAACTGCCCCTTCTGTCAACAGGAATTTTCGACATATACCTTCAGGAGATCCCATTGTCGCTTGTGTGGACGCGTAGTATGCAGCGACCCGAAGACTAGCTGCTCCTCGGAGGTAGGCCTTAATGTCGACGCCAGCGCGCAAAAGACCGAGAAGGATGCTGCTCAAATGAGTATCGACGTGCGAATGTGCAAAGATTGCCAGCACACGTTGTTCGCTAGAGGCGACTTTGAACGCGAACTAGCCGACAAGCCCAAGGACCAGCGCGCATATGAGAACCTTGCTCAGTTCGAAAGAGGCATTCGACTACTTCTTCCACGCTTCCACAAGCTTTTGCAAGCGTTGCAGGATCCAGACAAGTCGCCTACGCCGCAGCAGTTGACCGACGCAACCAAGGTACGGAAGCGTTTGATGGATGGCTTCGCACAATTCGATGTGGCTGCGAAACGAATACGAGACCTACCTACAGATTCGCCGACACAACAGAAGCTACAGCGAGCAGTATACCAACAAGCTTACAGCTTCCTAAGCTTGCACATGTTGCCCTTACGGTCGTTACCGAAGATCCTAAAGCATGCTGCCCCGCAAGGCCGATCGAACGGAGGCAGTGCCCTCGCCTCTATCAAGTACAACGACCGCTCTGCCGGCAGTGTCGTGAGCAGTAGCGAGGTTTCCGCAATGGAATCAGAAGAGAAGGAGCTGAGGGAACGACTGATTGTGCTTGAGGAACAGAAGTTTATGGTGTCAGAGATGGTTGCCGACGCTACCAAACACCGAAGATTTGACGAAGTTTCCAGTCTTGCGCAGAACCTGGAAGATTTGAACAAAGAGATTGACCAAATCAATGGCCAACTTGGACAATTGGACTTTGCCAGTGCGTACAATGGAGGGATGGCTAGTCCACAGCCTGGGTGAACGGCTCCAGGGATGTAGCCTTCCAGAACCTTGACTGGCCCTATTACAGGGCATGGTCACAATATCGGTTTTTCATGGCGCCGCTACGGACCGATGAACTCCACAGGCGATAAACGCAGGAGTCACCTCACTGGGACAAGAGCCTGTCGTTGTGACCTACCATGGGTCACTATTCCAACGACCTGCATGCATATCTCAGATGTTGTGCACGCCCCGGGCGATGGCCTCCAGGCCGGTAACAGAGGTGACAGGTTCTCAAAGGAGAACGGCGTTGTAGGGATTCGGGCGGGACATGTCGGGCCTTTTGTGAGCACCACATCTTACATTATATCCATAATAGTATACGTAGCAGAAGAATGAAAGGGCTACCACCTGTGCACTTACGATTCCTCGCGATAAGAGCTATACAATATTGCAATTTCCCATGTTCTCGATGCTGTGATTTTTTCGATGATGCTCCAGCCTACCCAATCACAACATCACGCGTTGCCTCCGTCTGTCATCTAGCATCCAACTAACCTCGACCACAACCACTTACTTCCGACGTCACATACCACCAACGTCACTACAATCACGAACCTCGTCGTCATCCCCGTCATTTCTATCCACATTCCCAATCCAGTAACTCTCCAAACAAAGTGTTGAAAACGGTGCCAACTTTTGCTAGCCCAACTGTTGCAACTTGACTCGCCACTGCCAACTTTGCCAGCCTACTTTCGGCACGTCATTGCTCGATTAGGATATGTACGGGCCGTGCGGGCCCGATTCGGGTAATTAGGCTCCACAGGGGAATGTATTGGGAAGGGATTGAATGGTACTAACAAGTTTTGGGATGTGTGGGCGCGATGGCCGGGAAGGAGTTGTTGTAGGGCTGAATTGTGGGGATCGGGGGAATGGTAGTGGGTGAAGGTCCGAAAACTGGCCGGCATCGCATCTCGCTGGTCTCGAAAGTGGTGACTGCCTTATTGTTGCCTTTTACAACTTGGGCTCGCAAGTGATTGTTTATATTCAAGCCGGAGACGCGCAGAGCGACGAAGGCATGAGTGGGCCAAGCAAGAAGGTCATTGTAGTCTACGCTAGCAATGCGCCTTGTTCGTGGCTGAAGACAACGCTCGCATTCTTCTCAGATGCATCGAAATTTGAGGACTAGGGAAGCAACGAATCGTAAGTGAACTTCTGGAAGATAATTTCGAGAGAATGCGGTTGATTTAGTCTGTCGTTCAAGGCTTCTGGGGTTACAGACGACCTCAGAAATGAGATTTCATGTTTTTTATTTCAAGTCAGCATAGTGCTCTTGTCCACACTCGATGCGCATCTAATCTCCACCATCGGTTACGCTGCTGTGCCCAGCTTCGCCCATCTCAGCTCGGTCATCACTCGTCGTTCTCCGGCGAACACCCGTACTGACCGAGTGACCAGGCTTCGGATGCTCGTTGTGTTCGACCAACGGGAAATGCAGACCAGGCTTAGTCGCCAACGCGTCCCTAATCTCATCAACACTCTTCGCCGCCCATTCTGCACTACCCACGTTGCTCAACGGATAGAGAAGCTGGTTGTCCGGGTGCATGACCACTTGCTCGATGCTTGGCGCTGCTTTACTCATGATGATATCCACATCTTTCCTGATCTGCAGGCAGAATGCGTCTAGCGGCAAGTCATTCACATCAGTACCGAAGGGATTTTCAATCTCACGACCGATGAGCGCAATGCCCAGGATAATGTAGGCTGCAAAGACGCTTGCGGGGATCGTGATGTATCCCAGGAGCTTGTATAGTTGGAAGGGCAGGAGAAGGATATACACCCAAGTCTAAAGGTAAGCGTAAAAAGTTAGTATGTGCCTCACATGCAGTTCGTACAGAGACACTTACGATTTGGCTGATGGCAATGCTATACGCCAAGGGGAGCGGAGTGGAAAGGATGCGCTCAGTCCCCGCAAGCACATCATTGAAGCTTGTGAGCGCGTTGAGAGATTGCGTTTGGTAGATGGAAACTTTGAAGGTGCCGTTTTCGTAGATCGACTTCATGTAGACACTCAGGTGGTTGAGGATTTCCAGAGGAAGGTTACCGAGTGGCACACGCGAGCGCTTCAGCAATTTGCGTGGGTTTGATTCGGCCATGGGTAGCCCGAGGAACTGTCCTGCCGTCTTGAATATACCTGGTTTATTGGCTTCTGGCTGATCAGCATCGCGTGCGAAGGTGTCCAAGTGGCCGACCAGGTGCTTTAGGTCATCGTAATGGACGCCAGGCTCGAACCGGAGCTTGTGCTTGAGTGCGACTGCATACGCGGCGATCAAGTTGAGACAATTGATCTTGGCAAGAAGATCTTGTTTGCCGAGCTCAGCGTCTTTTTCATGCCGTTCATCGACGTGAATCCAAATAAGGCGAGCAAGGTTCTGGGACTGGAAAGCGAGTTGTGCCCAGTATTTACGGCCGTCATTGTATCGCTCGTAGGCAGTGGAGCTTCTGAAGCTTAGTGCCAGACCGACAACAAAACCAAGAACGGTAAGCAGGAGCTGGTTTACACTAACTGGAGGCTATCAATACATGATACATGCTAGAAGAGTAAGTGTAACGCATACGGTCGTGGACAAACTTCGATATAAGCGTAATCATGGTTGCCCAGCCAGCGACAAAGAGCAGAGGCAGCACCATTTCTGGTGTAACACTGCCGTGGACGCGGAGGAAGACAGGCCATTTCGAATGGTGATCGAGGTCGCGCGGTCCAATCTGACTTCTGTTAGTGACCATACAAGTCGTTATCAATAAAGACATACAAAATAATCATCAAAGTCCTTGTCACTATCTTGCTTTTTTAGTGGCGGCCTGGTCGATGCACCATTCGTGTCGTTCGACACGTTTGCCGTGCTTTGCATCTTCTCCGCCATCACGAGGTATCGTCGCCTGTGAAAAAGATAGAAATGAAGGTCGAGCTCAACGAGTTTTCGCGTTCAAGGTTGCGACACGCGAGCACTTCATATCGTGTCGCGTGCCCCTATCCCTGACCATTTCTCCTGCATCTCACCAACCTATCAAAGTCTGGAATCTGGGTCTGGCGTTTACAATCTCTGGGTGGCGCCGTGCGTCAGTTATGGCGATGCTGTAAATGGCAAGGCTAGAATACGTGACTCCAATCGAACGCGCTCACGTAGCGGGAATGGTGAAGCATAACCTCTATTAAGATGCCTGCCGTCTTGGCAGGGTCTCTCTGCGGGCTTACTCTCTGTGCGATGCGGGATGGAGATGAGTAGCTGAGCCGTGATTGCTTTTGCCTCGGCGAGTTGTTGTTCTTGCCGTACGAACGTGACCTCTGTGCGACTTAGTACAGCATGTACCGAATCCTGTCAAATGCGGCACCACGATGTGTAAAAGCTGCCAAATTTGCCTGGATGCCTGTGCGTAGTTCACAAATGGTGGTTTTAGATAGGTGTCGGTGACCAGATAATCAGCGCATAGATTGGATCGTCGACTAAGACAAACCGTAATTCGCCTGCGATTCAAGCTCCAGATGTATGGATCAGGGACAAGGCCCAGAACAGGTCAAGCTTCAGCTGTGCGAGAAGGTCGAGATCTTGTTCTGCGACTTGGCAACATTGGCACTGGCTCAGCTAGCAGACACCGCCACAATCACAACTCATTGGTTGTTGGTTCCAGCCACTGTGGCCGTGTACTCGACGGGCTTGGCATGAAACGGACGCGGACGATCAGGGCTGAATGTGTGGGGTTGGGAGATGTGCTCATCTTGGGGTAAGGATCGGCGATGAACGTCAATATCGGGTATCACGGCTAGCATCCTACATACCAATACCGATCTTCTGATGTTTACCAAGGTAGTGTGATGTGAAAGATCATTTGGGTTGGGTCTTCGATACTAAGGGTTCATGGTATGATAAAGGTTGCCAATAGGGAAACCTCAGTCATCATCCATATATAGCTTCACGGACGTTCGCAGATTTCAGCCAATTCTTGTCTCTCCTTGGCCTACCCTTATATCAACTTTATTCATTTTGGTCACCTAACCGCTTGTTTCCATCCTTCCTCTTCTCGCCTGATCTCCACTTACTCAACCCCCACTTGTCCTTCTTCGCCTCGGATTTATGTTGACGTTCCTTGATCTCTGCTATTCGACTCGTTATTTCTCTGCCCTTCTCGCCTAGGCATTTCGCTCTGGCCAGAAAAGCCTCGCCTTTTGAGGGCACTGGTGCTGGCGTTGGGGTCGGAGCAGACACTGCAGGAAAGACGGTTGGGGTCGGCATTGTTTGTGGAGGCAAATTCGCTTCCCCCCCTGGTTGTTCCGGTTGTGCCCACGGATTGAGAGCTGGGAAAGGCTCTAGTACCGCGTCTGCTTGTGGTTCGAGAAATCGAGGTGCAGGACTACTTTGAGCACTCCATTGCCTGTCAGACGAGTCTGATCTCAAGCCAGGTTCTGACTTCTGACCGCTCCGAACATTGTCGACTTTGTTGATATGAGAGGCGGGTTCGACGGAGGCGTAAACGGCTCTTCCAATGGAAGCATGCTCGGAATCCGAGAGGGAAGAGAGACTGGTCGTGGTGGAGTGGGAAGATGGAGCTGGTGGTTCGACCCGAGGCGGCTCATGACCTTTATTCTGGGTGTCGTGGTTGGAGCGTGGGTGATGGGATGGTACCAGAAAAGATGGTGTTGAGGCCGTGAGATGGTTGCTGAGGGAGATGGGGGATTGGCTATCCTCCTGATTGTGTGTTCGACTTTCTGCATCGTAGCTGGTACTACCATTAAGAGAATGGTCATGTACTTGTTGGAGGATGATGGGATCTTGTAGGCTGACTTGCGCGTACTCCCGAAGTACGGAGTCTTGGTCTGATTGTAGCTCAATAAGCAGGTCGCGGCGCGAACGGCGATCTTGAAACGAAGCTGCATTATCTCTTTCCTGATGGGACTTCAACATCGAATGAGAGGGCGATGGAGCGGCGGATCGACGTAGACTCCTTGGTCCTTCTTCCAGACACTGTCCATCGTCACGCTGAGCAAGTTCGTGACGTAGCGTTAGATCCTTTCCATTTCCGTGGCGTCTCCTACCAAGCGTATCCAGCTGTCTAGACCGTTCCTTTGGCGAAGCTGGCGGTGTCATGGGGGTTCCAACATGACGGGCTGTAAAGCCGCTTCGTTTCTTATTAGGTACCTCATTCTCGATCGTCAGTATGCTTTCTGATCGATTTGAATCTCCAGCTAATGATGCCGTCTCTGCATGCCATGTCTCGTCACCCTCCATCTTTCTTCCATGCGCCATCAATATGGCATATTTCATGAGGGACGCTGCGCTATGTGGGTCTGCGTTTGTTACAGTGATTCGCACATTGCGTGTTTTGCAGCTTATTTTGGAACCTGCACTGACTTCCTTCTTGCGCTCACCAATGTCTTTACAGGCCAGTGAGCCTAGGGAGCTCTTCCGAGTCGGAATAGAAGGAGGGGCCTTGACGGAACAAGAGGACTGTGCCCCCTCGGCCATATGCTCAAGCCGTTTCTGGCCAAGTGGAAGCCTTCCGTCTTCGACGCGAATACGCTCGCAGCGTGGTTGTCTATCAGCCTCATATTTCTCTTCGTCATTTGATACCCTTTGCAGAGGTTCTGAATTCGACGATGCGCTGTGTATAATCATCCTGCTTTGGGGGATGTAACCGCAAGCAAGCCATTCGCCCTTCTCTCCCAGATTGAGGTCCATCGAAAGCACTGTCTTCACCTCTTCGAGGCAAAACCACAATACCTCTTCGTGATGACCTTCTTCCGGCTCTCGGATGTCTTCCTCAAACCAGACCGGGATGTGCACACCATTTCCCATGCTCATCCAGGCAGGTACCATCCCGCTTGTATCTACGTCTACTACGATAGCATCGTACGAAGGGGTTTCTTCTCTGCCTTTCACAATATGAGGGTGCTTTTTTGAGGCGGTGTTTTTGCTCTCGTATAGAGAGATAAAGCTGGATGCAACGTTTCTCTGGAAATGTGCTTCGATCGTCGACCTGTTGAGCGCATCGTAGTTGAACTGCTGCGATGAAGATATGTCGTGCACGTTTGGTCGAGCGACGAAGATATGTAGATGGTTGGGGATGGTGCAACGATTCTTCAGGAGAGCGGCCTGATCTGATCGCGGTTGTTCAATAGACCTGCGCATCGTTAGTCACGATGACAATGTGTAAAACTATCTCTGTGTATTTTCCGGGTTTTTCTTGTGAATTTGATGTGTCCCAGAAGTTTTTTCAGCGTTTCGCATTTTCAACGTGAATTTAAAATGCGTTGAACATTTTGCGAGTACGTTTAGGCAAGAAAGATTTGGGAAAATAAGGTGATGGTACAGTTAGATTTCACGACTTACAGAGACATGATGGATAATGATGAACAATGAATGCAAGGAGGCTGTAACGTCGACTTGAGATATGCAGGCGAGCTGAAAAGACGGGGATGTGATATTGCAGGTGTGGCCGTATCTACCATGGTTCTGTGCTCGGTCGCGAATAGTGGCCACCTTGGACCCTATAGTATGAGATTAGGGGTCTGTAATCGAGCGGTATGAAGTGGATCACCTCGCAAACTCACACGCCGCGCAATATACGAACATCATAACGTTTAGGAGAGAAGGAAATTCTTGTTAGTGAAGATTGATAGAATGTAATAGGATAGATACATGCCGCTCTAAATGTGACGGTCAATAGTCCTGGATCGTATAGTCAGCTGCGAAAGCTGAGCACTAAAATTAAGGTGTCAGTTCATGGTTTTCAGCCAGCCTGGATGATTCGACTTACATGCACTCTGCTTCGTCTGTAGAACCACCTACCAGATTCTCGTCCAAAGCTTTGGCATCAGCCAGCGCCAGCGCGCGCTGCCACTCGTCTGCTCTGAGCTGCTGCTGCCTCATGTTTTCCATCATAGGAGAGTCAAGCTTGGTGGTTCTTTCATGAGAAGTCCATTCCGCCTCGGTAACTTTCCCAGCGCTTGATGTGCTGTGCCCAGCGAGATATGCATTGAAGCCGGCGCCATCTTTGACCCAGACTTGGAGTAGTCCAGATATGAAGATTTCCGCTATACTCGCCTGTTCTTGTCGGAAAATAAGATAGATGATGAACTGGTGCATGGTAAAATGTTGTGCAAATGTCCCGATGTCGTAGAGATGTTTACAGATGTCCTCGACAAGGTTCATGACATAATTGGATGATTGGCGTGCGCGGTGATTTGCCAGACGCTCAGGTGAGTTTATCGAATACCCGCATTCACTAGGAGGATACTGGAGGGGAGTGTCGCGTGATGATAGTGGCGTTTCGTTACAACGTTTCCGAATGCCCTGGCAGAAGAGCTCTAGAGTCTTAACACGCCTCTCTGACCGACTAGTCGTTTGAAGATACTTACGATAGCCCTTTGTGGACAGATGTTGTGCCACTGATGGGCGAGAAATCTTATCTATGTGCCATGCATGCTGTGGGGCTTTACCTTGAGACATGTAGTCGTTCACAAAGTCGCATATTGTGAGAAGTTGATTAGGCGTCGGCGCGTTACCGTCACGGTCAGCTAACAGATGTATGTATATGGATGGTTGCTTCCACGCTCTTTTCCAAATCGCAACATGTTCTTGTTGCAGGCTAGAATCAACCTGCATCCTGCGCACAAGGTCGCCTTTGACTGCCGATGCTAGGACAGAGGGTGCAGAAGCAAGGATCTGGAGGCATTTGCGTTTGTGCGTCACCCGGTCTGTTGCGTTGATGACGGTACTCTTCTCATATTTGGGCATTTCGGCATCCAGTACTTCGGAAATGAGGGATTCGTAGTGCTTTTCGCTAAGTAGATCCGCCCATCTTGCGCGTCGCCCGTCGAGCGACTTTGTCGTTGACTCCAGTCCGCTTTGTTGTCGAGTAGCTGAGCCAGAAGTGTAGCTTTGAGCCCTTGTAGTAACCATAGATGGAAAACCAGCGTTCGAAAAACGAGCGAGAGAACCGGGGCGAAAGATTGGGCCACAAAAAGACGGCAGTCTTTTGAACATAGGATACTGATAGGGGGTAGGGATTGGGTGTGGACCAGGAGTCGTGCGTCGATTGTTGAGTTTTGGTAGCTTGCAAGCTTCACGAATCGATATTGAAGCAGCAGTCACACAAGCTGTGCCTTCCATACTCTTTCTGAGTTTTGAATGAAGGCATGCTCGACAGGCAGATGTGAAGCTGCTGTAGAAGGAGCGAATATGCATACCGAATTCTGGATCAGGTTCAAGACAATGTTAGCAAAAAAAGATGAATTTACACGTAGCAGGCTCGGATGTGCTTTTCTATTGCGATTCTCTGCTCGCATGGTATTACAGAGCTCTTTGTTGAATGATCTGTGGTATTTACGCTATCGGAACGGTTTCGGAGCTCTGAAACCACTTTGTTGTGACTTGAGGCCTGGTCTCGCAGAGCCGTCGTGCCTTGATCCAACGCTGGCTGTTCGCTGTCCGTTTGCCATGTGTTAGACATACTCGACCACTTAGGCTATAGGAAGTTCGTGTCGTAGGTTCATTGTCGTGAAGGTACCATATCGCGTCACGGACGCGTTAATCGATACCAGGATGTCGTTGACAACGGTGTGAAGCAAGTGACAGGGTGGGTTGCAGATGGTCATAGTTCAAGCAAGGCTCGAGGCAAGGAGTGTTGTGAAAGAGTTGCAGCTGGCCGGAAAGGGGAGGGGCCGGTGAAGTGTGGCGTTTGTGGCTGGTGCAGCGCGATTGACTCAATGCCCCTCCAAAGTTGTTGATGGAGCCCCTCCGACTGCACACGAGCTCCACAACCTCGACACTTTTCTAGTAAGTCACGAAACCCCACGCGTCATTGCCTATACAGCAGTGTACCTGTTGAATGCGAGGCACATAACTCATTCATAACCGTACTAACGCCGCGTAGAGATGGCTGAACCTACAGCACCTGCACCGCCCGCCGCTGAGGAGGAGAAGGGCCCTTCCAAGCGCGCGCTCGAGAAAGCCGCAAAGAAAGCTGCAGCGAAAGCCAAGAAGGCTGAGCATGCTCTCCGTCCCAAAGAGCAAGCGAAACCTACCACAAAAAGCGAACCGACGAGCATCTTCTCCGAAGGCTGGCTGAAGCGCATCTACGAAGAGAAACCCGTCCAAGACGTCCAGACCCGATTCCCGCCCGAGCCCAATGGCTACCTCCATATCGGACACGCCAAGGCTATCGCCGTCGACTTTGGTTTTGCGAAGCATCACAATGGCAAGTGCAACCTACGTTATGACGATACCAACCCGGAGAAGGAGGACGAGGTCTACTTCACTGCCATCTTAGATATTGTCAAATGGCTAGGCTTCGAGCCCTCCAAGATCACGTACAGCAGCGACAACTTCGACAAGCTATACGAGCTTGCAGAGCAACTCATCAACAAGGACTGTGCCTATGTGTGCCACTGCTCACGTAAGTCTACATATGTTTGACTGCTCCTACAGGGTTAACAATCAAACAGGCGAGGAGATCAACAACCAGCGTGGAGGACCCGACAACCGAGGCAAGCGTTATGGCTGCGCCCACCGCGACCGACCAATCGAAGAGTCTATTACCGAGTTCCGGGCGATGCGCGATGGCAAATACCAGGCCGGGGAGGCTTTCTTGCGCATGAAGCAGAAGCTCACAGACCCCGACGAGGGCAACCCTCAGATGTGGGACCTGCCCGCGTACCGCGTTGTTAAAGAGAACCACCATCACCGAACTGGCGACAAATGGAGAATCTACCCTACCTACGACTTTACACACTGTATCTGCGATGCGCTGGAGGGTGTTACTCACTCGTTGTGTACGGTTGAGTTCCGTCAATCGCGTGTCTCTTACGACTGGCTGCTGGAGCAGTTGGACATGAAAGCGCCCAAGTCGGACGAGAAGGGTCCCATGCAAAGAGAGTGCGTAATAACTCCTGTTTGACAGTCATTTTCAACTAACGTGCGTAGGTTCGGACGCCTCAGTGTTGGCGGCACTATCCTTTCGAAGCGACGCATCCTCCAACTCGTCGAAGGCACAACTGTCGAAAAGAAGAACGCGGATGGCACAGTGGAGACGCGCAAGATACCAGGGGTGGTACGAGGATGGGACGACCCCCGCTTGTTCACCATGGTCGCTTTACGCCGTCGCGGTATTCCAGCCAAGGCCATGCTCAGCTTCGTCGACGAGCTCGGCGTCACAGATGCACTCTCCGAGGTCGAACCTGCACGTTTCGAAGCCTCCATCCGAAAACATCTCGAGCGAACCGTACCGCGACAGATGATGGTGCTAGACCCCATCAAAGTAGTCATCGAAGACTTTGCAACTGAAGATGAGCAAGAGATGACCGTGCCGTACGATCCTAAGGGTGCTATACCCGGTGAGCGAAAGGTCAAGATTGGTAGCGCGGTTTACATTGATCGCAGCGACTTCAGAGAGGAGGACAGCGCCGATTACTTCCGTCTGGCACCCAACAAGGCTGTTGGTCTATACAACGTCCCATTCGCGATCCGTGCGACATCATTCTCCAAGGATGATAACGGCAACGTCACCGAGATCAAAGCTACCAAAGTGCCCGGTACTGAGAAGCCCAAAGCCTACATTCAGTGGGTCGATGTTGCGACAGCCGTTCCGGTCACAGCGCGTCTGTACAGCTCCCTCTTCAAGACCGAATCACCCAACACACTGGACTGGAAGACAGGTGGCTGGGCTGACGATCTGAACCCCAACTCTGAGATCATCCATGACAAGGCTGTCATCGAGCGGGGAATCAAGGACCTCATCAGCCAGACCTCCCTGGATTTGAGCGGTTCGTCAGATGCCCTTGTGCGCTTCCAGGCGCTGCGCACAGCCTACTTCTGTGTCGATATTGATTCCACAGAGGACAAAATTGTGCTGAACCAGATCGTCAGTTTGAGGGAAGACAAGGGAAAATAGATGCATAGAGGGCTTTGGCGTCGGCTTTGGCGTTGAAGGTGTGACGATAAGGTCGGGGTTGTAGAGGCGTTGGTCCGCAAAGTGTTCAACGTACAGTAGAGATATCCCCGAAATCTAAAGTTGAATCGCACGAGTTCCTGATTTACGTGACAGAGAGTCTGACATGACGTTCTTTGCATCTTTATGGGCCTGTAGGTATTCTAGCGCTGATACGCGTTTGGAGAGATCGTCTATGCTCAACATGCAACCACGAGTACGGATATGTTGTTGCCTTCGGGATCGCTGGAGCCTGAGGTCTGTAGAGCAACGGTCATAGGTTTTGTGCTTTGGCGTACCCACATGCAACCATGTCTAAATATTGGTATCATTCGTTTCGAATACTCAACGAAACAGCTGTCCAACGGGCCCTGCCCAGGCTATAGTGACCTACTCAGCATTGATACTCCTAAGCAGCTACAGGTCAACCATGGAAACACAAGCGGGACTGAGATCGCGTGACCCACGACCCTTTTCCCAGTGCCTCCCAACCTCTGCAACCATCAAAAAAGCCAACGACATATTATCAACATCACCTTCACATCTCATACCTGTCGGGACCTTTGCGTTCAATCTACAAGATTACCATACAAACCCGCCTAAGCCTTCTTGCACATCCTTCTCTTCCCGAGATGTCCGAACTCAGCAACGTCCTACCAGTCTTCGATCAAATTTCCCTGGTCCTGCACACAGCGGTTGACTTTTGTCGTAGAGCGGGCATTGGTATCAGTATCATCCAACATGCGGCGATAGGCGCAGCTCGGTCCAGCATTCTACCAGTCGAGGAGCAAAAACACGGCATCGAGCGAGGCCAGTACGGAGCCAATAATGTCAAAACGCGCGAAAGAGCTCATATGTACGCGCTCATACTTGCCATGGGACTAGCAAGCAGGACACTCAGACTACGATGTACAACCACGCGCATCAAGGTGCAGAGTGTCACGGTGTTCTGCACTTTGCCATCGGTGGTTGCACTGATCAAGTATCACCAAGCTCACGGACCCAAGAGTCTCGAATCTGTGGTGAGCCCAGAGGACCGCTCGATGATCAAAAGAGTCCTGGCGAGTGCAAAAAAACTGTCGCGATACGATGTCCAAGTCTCAGTCTCAGAATACGGGGAAGAAAGTTTTACTTTGGAGGCAGCAAGAGTGAAGATGATGGCCCACCAGAGAAAGAAAAAGGCGTGCCGTCGCCGTCGTCACGAACGACGAATCATGTCCAAAAATGCCGGGGCGGCAGGCGATAAGGAAGAAGGTGGAGGAAGCGACGAGGACGGGAACGGAGTGGGCCATGAGGGAGAAATGAGAAAGGATAGCTCGCATTTGAGACCTATGACAGGAAGAGAATCGTCAAGTACATTCAAGATGGATGAGACAGGTGAGCCTGAGTCGCACTGGACTTGAATACATACTCCTCTCTCAAGCGCCGCAGCTCTAGAGCAACCAACTGACACAAAACCAGCAGAATCAGGCAGCCCAATCTCCAGACCTCCAAACCTCCAACTCTTGCCATATATAATAGTGCATAGAAGACGAGCCGACTCGGACCGTGTACAAAACGCGGAGACCAGCAGAATGCATAGAAATGCACATGAAGCGGTTGTATGAAAATGATATAGAGAACTACCTATTCCAATCTTATTTACTTCTGAAGTTTTGAAAATGGAACTTTAAACACACATATTACCATGGAAACTAGTATGATGGATGGGCATTGGTAGCGTGGAAATGTGAAGTGGTGGTTGCGAAGTCTCCCCAGGTGTTGCTGGGTGCGCTGTTTTTAGAATATTAGCACTGGGGGCCGTCATCGTCATCGCACGTTGGAAAACCACTTGCTCAGCTACCGAAAATCACAGTATCTACACAATGACGGAGTCTGTAGATTTTCAGATGAAGATCGAAGCAGCAATAATTACATGCATCACAAATTTGGCAGGTGAAATTGCTGACGCAGCAGCGCTATCGGTCTTGACTCGTGGTAGGGCTGCATGAGCGCGCACCTTCTACCGAGCGGATTACCACATCACGATCTCCCGCATCCTGCAACCATGGGTATCGTTACCGAAACACGAGTTTCGGCCCCGGCTGTCATAAAATTCAGCCGCATAGCGAAGCTTTATACGTCGGCACATGCCTGAGGCTAACCCCACACGAGGCGTAGGATGCATGTTGCCGCTGTCCAATGGCCTACTGCCTCGCAAATCAACCCCGCTGCTGTAATCAGCCCTGGCCTTATATAATCATCCATAGGAATGTCATGGACTGAAATACTCTCGGGCGAGACAGGTCCCGAACGTAGGTCGCTGCTTCGGCCGACGATGCGACGACTCACAGTTACGTAGGTCGACGTGTGGTAATCAGAGGTGAAAACATTGCATCGCTGATACACGGCAACAGTTATATGTATAGAGCCATAGTCTCTGCAACGAAATCCAAGAGATATTGCTATGCGCATCACCGGAAATACTGAATTTTGATCCCATACTCTGCTTCAGACCACGACTTCACCAAATGGTTGATTACTAAAGTCTAAGATGGCTACTTCTACGGAGCGCAAGTACGAGTTCTTCGTGACGACAGACGAGCCACATCAGCCAGCCGGCATGGAACGAAGCACGATCCGCCGGTTAGTGATGCGGAACTACTTCGATACGAAGATGGCTGGGCCACAGTTCAACGTGCCTGAACATAGTTCGACGAGCACAGTCGTGGCGGAAAAGCAGCTGAAGAGTCGTTTCCGGTTATCTGAACCGGGAAACGAGAAGAAGAAGACTTTGAGCAGGCAAAGAGAATACCTATACAATACCAATAAACGAGGAAAGAAAAGACCACAGGTTCTGAGAACAAGATCTGGTCCTACACCGCTGCCCTCAAAAATCGGTGCCGAAGACAGCGGCATAGATAATTCCAATGAGACGAAACACAGTACCAGTAGAAGAAACACAAGTGAGCCAGCACTCGAAAGACCAGTGCTAAAGGCCGACCTCAATATCTATCATATGGATCCTTTTGGCGCTCTGCCGATGCCAGACACGCCACAGCTAAATGCGCTCTTCCGATTATGTACGTACAAAGTCCATGACAGATACCTAGCCGACAAGGACAAAGCTTCCAGAGAAGGACACATAGGCTAACACTGACTCCAGACAAAGATTCACCCAAGAACAACTCGATCGGCCCTGATGCTACGCACACATGGAAGTCCTTTATCTTGAATGACGCTGGCTTGCTACATGCTACTCTGGCAAGCTGGGCGCTATACGGCATGCTTGTGAATGAGTCTCATGATCTGCGGGTGTGCGAACTCGAGCACAAAAACGAAGCAGTCCGAACCGTGACCTATAAACTTGCGATGTGTCGGGGAAGCGTATCTGACGATATTGTTGGCACGGTCCTGACACTGGCGAATCTCGAGGTAAGCGCCCAACCTGGTAGATGGATTACATGGAAGGATGGATACTGAGTATTTCAGAATCTGACTGGAGCTTACGATGTAGCTCAACTTCACCTCACCGCGTTGAGAGTTATGGTTGAAGAGCGAGGCGGGATACTTGCTTTTGGAAAGCATGATGGCTTGACGCGAGGTATATTATGGTAAGTTCAAACCACATCAAGTTTGACTACTTGCTAATACATGCGGTAGGGTAGATTTTCATGCGGCAGCAGCTTCCCGTACAACCCCATTCTTTCCGCATGTGTGGCTGGGACCAGATGCACCTCTTCCAGACAAGCTGCATGACGAGGCAACATACACATCACCAACCTCTCTGCTTCAATTATCTTGTGCTGCTATCGATTGCTTCGATATCTTCTATCGACTACACCGACTCGCGCTTGCAACATCGTCGCACTGGACAGGTCGTGTTGCACGCGTGGCTCTAAGCAATCTTCTCTACACTACTCAGTTCATTCTCCTTTCAGTACCCGATCGCTCGCAGGACTTTCTCAAATTCGACCAGAGCATCCGGGACAACAACAGTGAATGTAACGAGTCCCAAAAACATAGAGCAGATGCAGCGAGTGTAGTTGAAGCCCTACTCGCAGCAGCTCTCATCTTCATTTATGCGGTACTGCGAGCGCTACCACTGAACACTAAGATATTCGCTATCCTTCTGCGGCGACTGCGCACCGCTATAGATCGACCAAATACATCAGTGCTAGAAACATGGAAACGCGAGAAAAATCTCAACATGTTGCTTTGGGCCCTGGTCATGGCATGTTCTATTGCAACAGATGCAGAGCGAACGTGGTGGACCACACAACTCTCGGGGGTGTGTAAGGAAATGAATATCGGTAGTAGAGAGCACCTCGAGCACGAGATGCGGCGCGTGGCATGGACGGACTCATTTTTCGATGATAGGATTGATGGCATTTGGGCAGAGGTGACTGGACGTAGTTAGAGAATACGGACCAATCACGGGCGACGCTAGTCCGCATGCAACCCATGTTCGTGAATGTTCTACCACACGTGCGTCGGGGCCGCTAGCGCCGACGATGGCGGCGGGCGCGATGGCAAAGGGACTCTGATAATCTTCGAGGACTGACGTTCGTCTGGACACGACAACCACAACCATGGCCCCGCTTGTCGACAACCCCCAGATCAAGCAGGCCAGCCTGCACAACCCGCTGCCGTTGCAGCTGCACACCTACATCTGGCCATTTTTAATAATATGGCCGGCCTTCTCCGCCATATACTTTTCGCCGCAGCGCTACGAGCAGTACATTCAGTCGTCGGAATGGACTTTTGTGTGGATTGCCAGCATCACCACCTTCCAGTCGCTGTTCTGGCTCATGACGCACTGGAACGTTAACCTCAAGAGCGCATTCACCACCACCTCGGCCGGCGACGTGCGTTCTGCATCGCTTATCAAAGTCCAGCCGATCAAGAATGCCGGCGCCGCTGAGATTGTGCCATTGGTGCGCGACAACGTTGGTGGAAAGCCGAACCTCTCGTTCCTCTTCCAGAAGCGACGTTTCCTCTACGATGCCGACAAGGGTTCCTTCGCCCCGCTCTCCTATCCCCTCGATGTCGAACCCAAGCCCCAGCTCAAGACGTTCCAGCAGACCCAAGGTCTCACCTCGCCCGCTGAGATTGAGCGCATCGCACAACATTATGGCACAAACGAATTCGATATCCCCGTCCCGACCTTCACCGAGCTGTTCAAGGAACACGCCGTTGCGCCCTTCTTCGTCTTCCAGATCTTCTGCGTCGGACTGTGGATGTTGGATGAATACTGGTACTACTCGCTGTTCACCCTGTTCATGCTGGTCGCTTTCGAGAGCACCGTTGTGTGGCAGAGACAAAGGACCCTGACCGAGTTCCGCGGCATGAGCATCAAGCCATACGAGATCTATGTATACAGGCAAAAGAAGTGGCAGGAGGTTATGAGCGACAAGCTGCTACCCGGCGATGTCGTCAGCGCAGGCAGGACCAAGGAAGATTCGGGTGTAGCATGCGACATGCTCCTACTCGAGGGTTCCGCCATCGTTAACGAGGCTATGCTTTCGGGAGAGAGCACACCGGTGCTCAAGGAATCCGTACAATTGCGACCTGGCGATGCGCGCATCGAGCCTGAGGGTCTGGACAAGAACTCGTTCCTCTGGGGTGGCACCAAGGTCCTCCAGGTTTCGCACGGCAACGATGCTGAGGAAGATGGCAGCGGCGTCAACAGACTTTCGTCTGGAGTCCCACCGCCACCGGACAAGGGTGCTGTTGCTGTTGTCATCAAGACTGGTTTCGAGACCAACCAGGGCAGCCTCGTCAGAACCATGATCTTCGCTACCGAGCGCGTCTCCGCAAACAACGTAGAAGCTCTCTTCTTCATCCTCTTCCTTACCGTCTTTGCCGTCGCCGCCTCGTGGTACGTCTGGAAGGAGGGTGTCAAGCTCGACCGCCAGCGTAACAAGCTGCTCCTCGACTGCGTCCTCATCGTTACCAGCGTCGTCCCTCCCGAGCTCCCCATGGAACTTAGCTTGGCTGTCAACACCTCCCTTGCCGCGCTTAGCAAATACGCCATCTTCTGTACTGAGCCGTTCCGAATTCCTTTCGCTGGACAGGTCGACGTCGCCTGCTTTGATAAGACTGGTACATTGACTGGTGAAGACTTGGTCGTCGACGGTATTGCTGGACTATCACTGGGTCAAGACAATGCTACGGTTGCTGCAGACGGTGCGCATACTGATCTCACAAAGGTCACGGATGTTGGAACTGAGACAACACTGGTGCTTGCCGCCGCTCACTCTCTGGTCAAACTAGACGATGGCGAGACTGTTGGAGAGCCTATGGAGAAAGCTACTCTACAGTCCCTCGGCTGGAAACTCGGAGCCAAAGACACGATCCAAGCTACCATGACTACTGCCAATTCTCAGGCCGAACTCGTACACATCCGTCGCCGCTTCCAATTCTCGTCTGCTCTTAAACGCCAGAGCTCTGTCGCAACTGTCCTGGTTAATAACAACAAGACCGGTCGCAAGGTCAGGAGCACAATCGCTGCGGTCAAGGGTGCGCCCGAGACTATTCGCAAGATGTTGGTCAACACCCCACCGAACTACGAGGAGACATTCAAACACTTTACCCGCAATGGTGGCCGTGTCCTCGCTCTCGCGTACAAGTTTCTATCTGAAGAAGGAGAGTGGGGCCAGAACCGCATCAACGACCTCAAGCGTGAACAAGTCGAGTCTGACTTGCACTTTGCCGGTTTCCTCGTCCTCCAGTGCCCCTTGAAGCCTGACGCTGTCGAGGCTGTACGTTCCCTCAACGAGTCTAGTCATCGTGTTGTCATGATCACTGGTGACAACCCGCTGACTGCTGTCCATGTCGCTAAGCAAGTCGAGATCGTCGACCGCGATTGTTACATTCTTGACGCGCCTGAGAACGACGAAACTGGCGAGAAACTCGTTTGGCGCAGCGTTGACGACAAGATTAGCATTCCTGTTGACCCCTCCCAGCCTCTGGACGCCGAGATCTTGAAGACCAAGGATATCTGTCTTACTGGGTACGCACTTTCGAAGTTCTCTGGTCAACCTGGATGGAAGCAGATTCTGCGATACACTTGGGTCTACGCTCGTGTCTCACCGAAGCAGAAGGAGGAAATTCTTCTTGGCCTTAAGGACTGCGGTTACACTACACTAATGGCTGGTGATGGTACCAACGATGTCGGTGCGCTGAAGCAAGCTCACATCGGTGTCGCCCTACTCAACGGTACCCGTGAGGACCTCGACAAGATTGGCGAGCACTTCCGCAACACTCAGATGAAGAATGTCTACGAGAAGCAGTGTAACTTGATGCAACGCTTCAACCAGCCTCAGCCACCTGTTCCGATCATGATCGCGCATCTATACCCCCCTGGCCCAACCAACCCTCACTACGAAAAGGCAATGGAGAATCAGGCAAAGAAGAAGGGTCTTCTCCCAGGTGCCAATGGTGTCGCTAACGGATCAGCATCTACTGGTACCCTTGTTCAACAACAGCCCGGTCAAGTCCAGCCGCCTCAGGCCGTCGGCAACCTTGCTCAGCAGATGCAGGAGAAGATGATGATGCAAGAGATGGAAGAGATGGCTGGTGAACCACCGACGATCAAACTCGGTGATGCTTCTGTCGCTGCGCCCTTCACCTCTAAGCTTGCGAACGTCGTTGCGATTCCCAACATCATCCGTCAAGGTCGCTGCACACTCGTCGCTACAATCCAGATGTACAAGATTCTCGCTTTGAACTGCTTGATCTCTGCTTACAGTTTGTCTGTTCTCTACCTGGATGGTATCAAGTTCGGCGATGGTCAAGTCACCATTTCCGGTATGATGATGAGCGTATGCTTCCTTTCCATTTCGCGCGCAAAGACCGTTGAGACTCTGTCAAAAGAACGTCCTCAGTCCAACATTTTCAACACGTACATCATCGGTTCCGTACTTGGACAGTTTGCTATCCATATCATCACCCTCATCTATGTCAGCCAATACGTCCAGCGTGTTGAGCCCAAGGACCCCAACCCGGATCTCGAGAAGGACTTCGAGCCATCCCTGCTCAACTCTGCGATCTACCTCCTACAACTCATTCAACAAATCTCGACCTTTGCCATTAACTACCAAGGCCGACCCTTCCGTGAGTCCATCCGCGAGAACAAGGGCATGTACTGGGGACTCGTTTCCGTCTCCGGTGTTGCCTTCTCCTGTGCCACCGAGTTCATTCCCGAACTCAACGAGAAGCTCAAGCTTGTCCCCTTCACCACCGAATTCAAGGTCATGATTACCAGCATCATGGCTTTCGATTTTGTCGCTTGTTACATCATTGAGAAGGGTCTGAAGTTCTTCTTCTCGGACAACAAGCCAAAGGATATTGCAGTCAGGAGACCGGATCAGCTGCAGCAAGAGGAGAAGAGGAAGGCAAGGGCGGAGATTGAGGCGCAGAGGAAGAAGAACGAGGAGGCGGAGATGAAGGCTGCTGCTGCTGGGTTGGTTAAGCGGTAGATGATGTTGTGATTATGTGTTCTGGGATAGATGATGTGCATATAGCATTTCTGGTGGTAGAGTAATTTGGACGACGAATTGATGGTTTCTCTGTTCACTTGCTATTGTGGTTGATCGCGCTGTGATTTCTGTCTGCGAATGTCATGATCATATATGCGGTCAACTTTGAAGCAATCTCATCATGCAGTTGGCGCGCCTTTTGGATCAGGTCTCGCACGAGCTCACGTGCTCACGGTTCTTAGATGTGTATATAAGCCCGTCGCTTGGCTACTTTCTCTTCTCATACCCATTGTCCATTGACGATCTTCCAAAACAAACGGCGCACGAACACATGGCTGCGGTTCTCTTTCCTTCAAAGGTTTTCAAAAACGAATATGTTTGCGCTTCTGCACCTTCACTCGCTATCAGCTTCCAAAAAGAAACAACTCGCACAAATGACATGAGAGCCTCGTTCCTAAGACTTCACCCAGCTTAAAAGCCAAGTGACAACCCCCAATGACTGGTGCTTTCGGAGGAGATGCTAGGAGATCGAAAAGACAATCACACATCTCATGTTCGCCGTTTGGAAGACATATTGCTCAAAACAAAACCCATTCGATTAGATTGGATGTCTGCGTCTGCTGGAACTGGGTTGACTCGACAAGGAAGAGAAGTACGACAAGATGTTCCTGGTTTCCAAGATTCATTGTTTGCATCGAAACCGCAAGCATACTTCGGCATGTGAACTCTCGTCTGTTCTGGTATCTCCAAAATTACTGGAGCAAGCAACATGCTGCTGCTTCTCGGTTGGGATCCTCCTGTCCCATGCAAATTTCGGAAAATCTGCCGCGTCACTTCTGTTTTTTATCCCTCTTCGCACATTGGAAACTAAAAACACAATGACGAGTATCCATGGCCGCGGTGAGATGATCGCCTTCTTCAAAATGAGAAATCTGCCATCAATATGGTCGACTTTTCAGCCTTTTCCCACTTCCAACGTCAATCCAAAAGCGAGGGCTCGCGGTTCATGCCCGAGAAGATTGGTAGCTGCTGCTTGTGCCTAAGACTACGCCCAGGTAACTGGACATGGTTGTGCCGCTGGGTCTCCAGCTTCACCTATAAAGCTCTGCACATCAACGCGCGATAACCTATTCTCTGCTTTATCCTCGCTCTTTTCCAAAGAGGTCTTTCTCAAAAAGATATCTTCGCCCTTCGGCGACCATCAGAAGTAGTGACACACTGAAGTAATGTGCGCCCGGTTTCCTCTCTTGAAGGTATTAGACCACAAAGTCCGGGAAAAAAGTGGGCCTGAAATACTGGAATTTCTTCATGCCCCCTTAAAGAGGTCGGCCAAAGATTCCGATGCTGGTGGTTAGGCTGAGACATGCGACAACATGGCAAAGACAAACGTCGTGTATCTAATGGATAAGTAGTAGATTCCAAAAATACAAAAACGATCACAACATGTGTGAGAGAAGAGAACATGCAGTATAGCAGAGTCAAAACCGGGGTGGTAGTCACGAGAAGACTGTGACAAGAGGGAGCATATGGCCGCTGCGACCAGCCAATGTCACTGTCTCTATCGACGACAGTACATGATTTGGTGTGACTGATATGCCGTTACCGAAATCGTTGCAACGGAAGTATCATGTGTTGACTGGCTGCGCTAGAAAGTTTCGTTCTTCTTGCGATTTTAGTGTGTGCGTGACGGTGTCTATGCGTTCGCGCCAGAGGAGGCGAAAGGGTATAAATTCCGCTTTCTCTCGCGCTTCCCTATCTCTATCACATTGAAAGCGTCGTTCACTCTTCCCAAAAAAAAAGATACCTGGAATGCCCATGTGTTGGAGGCTGGAGCGCAGTCCCTTTACTATAATCTACGTGGCCTTCTGCCATATGTATGTTTGGTGATTTATTCAACGATATGGCCAACATTCGATCTTTCACAATACGTCCTAGCAACGTGAATGACATGGCTCTATTGAATCATCGCCTTTGGAGTCAATGATGCAAGGCAATATCCTGTATACAAAACCAGCCCCGTTCTACTTTATGTTCCAGAGTCAAAGTACACAGCTCGCAAGACAACTACAAGCCTCGGCCGTGCCGACTAGAAGAAAAAGGTTGCAACCCCCCAAAGTACTACAAAGACTTTCAAATCAAACACAAAGATGGCCACCAACCGCTGCCAGCAGATCTTGATGGCCGCCGACAACGACATCACTGTGGCTGCATACAACATCTTCTGCGAATGCCAAAGCAACGAAAACATCAAAGCCCAAAACTGGGAGGAACTGATCGCCAGCTTGGGCGAAGAAGATAAGAAGAAGTTGGACGACATAGTCCGAAACTTGACACCGGCGTGGATGGACAGTGCACCTTGTGCAAATTTGGTGGCATTGGTCAGGTGGCGCAAGGATGCGAGGGGTTTGCTTGGAATGTTTTGAAACGAGGGAAGAAGCCATGGCGGTAATGGGGCTAAGGATAGCGAGAAGAGCATATGGATTCTTCTCAATGTAAGACCTTCTTCCATCAACATCCTTTACCATTTTGCTTGACCAAAACTCATGGTCAACATTCTAATGTACCTCCTCCTTTTTCTCTGGATTATATCCAAAAGACCAGCTACACTTTAGATGTTGAGCGTGGCGGGACTTAATGACCGATATACCGAGTCTCTCTCTTCATGGCCTATCTCAATACTTGCGGCACCAGTGTAAACGCTTATTTAGTCGGTTCGCAAACGACAAGGAATGGATGTACGGCAGCTGCCAAAAGTCAACACATAGTTCTCAAAGTTCCCCAAAGCCACAGTCGTTAACTTACCGCTAATGAATAACCGACCAGTCTTGACATCATGTCTGACCGTAGTGCTACCACTCAGAACTTTACTATCCTTATCCTCAAGAACCTTTTCGACTCTGTAATCTACACTTCTTACCCCAGACTTCCCTACGTCAACCGTCTTTCTGATGCGCCAAATGGTCACGGGCGAAGACTGGTTGTAAGGATCATCGAAGCCTTTACCGGATTGGATAAGATTGGGGAAACCGGCGGCGTAAATGTCGCCGTTAGCGTCGGGTGAGATATTATCAAGCGGCATGCCGACATGGATGGTGTCGACGAGGCGAAGGGTCTTGTCGGGTTGCAATGCCAGGACGCGAATCTGGCCGTCTATGGCGCTAGGAACGTAGAAGAAACCGTCTCGACCGCGGGCAAGTCCATTGGGGAACTTAAGCTTCGACTTCGGAAGGTATCCGAGCGCTTTCTTGAGATAGACTTTGTACATTGGCTCATCGCCTGGGGTTGACGGAACAGTATCGTCATCCTCGCTGCCGTCATAGGCTGCGTGGCAGTTACCGGCTCCGTCGCAGTAGGCGACGTTACCGCCACCGATAACATAGTCAAGCTTTCTTCGCTATTCGGCATTAGATGGCATTCATTTCGTTAACATCGAGAGTCACATACCAAACCAACCTTGACAGAATGATCATTTGTCACAAGAAATCCACCAGAGCCATCTGCAAGCGCCGAAACACGGTTTGGCGTCCAAATCTCATTTGAGAAGATGGTACGAACATGTCGCATCTGCTCCTGACCTGTTCTCATTTCGAAGATCTCAATCGTCGAATTTGCGCCGCTCTTTGAAGCATCGATGATGTTGTTGAACGCTCCGACTGGTGGTCGTTGGTTGACCATATAGAACCGAATCGTGTTGTCATCCAAGACATGAGCATCGAAGCCTAGAAGATCAAGATCGGAGTTTCCAGTCGCTCCTCTATAGTGTCCGATGGGTTTGATGCCACGAAGATTGTAAAACCCGTCAACACCAGGTTCGTCAATATCCAAGGCAATGAGTTCTGATCCGCCAGGCCGTCGTCCAGTGACGTTGACATCCTTCATGCTAAGCCAAGTCAGTGTCCGCAGCTTTTCAACCACTTTCATTTGTAAGAACATAAATTGAGAATAGCTTACGCTTGATTCCAAGCCAACCTATCTGCCGTGCCCGCGCAAGCCGCATACAATGTCCTCTCGTGGTCATCCAGCCAGATATCCTCACACGCTTCTAGCCTTGGATGCACAAGACGGCTACAACTGAATTCTGGAAATTCATCGATACTCTGTATCACGCGACCAACACCAAAAGTAATCGCAAAAAGATCTTTGAGGTAGAGTTGGTAAAGCGACGCGCCCCACGCTACTACGAACGCGTACCATATGGTCGTCGCTATGCTAGGCATGATGCGTATTACAACAAAGAAAAAATGATGCAGAAGTCGTAAGAGAACGACGGAAGGCTGAGCTTATATCTCATGTTGATACCTGGCGGTACGGCTGAGCAGGGCTTAACGGGGCTGTAAGCGGCATGGCGCAATCTGTCCAGCCCCAGTGAGATCGTGCTGTGATTGGCTCGCGCAGCGCACGTGGGATGTTAGAGGACCTCTCAGGCATGCTTGACTGCCAAGACCAAATATTTCTGCCTCGTTGATAGCAGGGGTTAGTACTTAGAGATGGGGATCGTAGCGTTGGAGATGGACGTTCGGATGGAACCCCGCGAAGGGCGACGGAAAGGCTGACGTCACAGGGTCTTCAGTCTATCTAGGTACCTAGCTTCTCCACCCACAGCTTACTGTGGAACATACAGCTCAGCTCTGCAGCAACGACTCAGCCTCAATCTTCCTAAACGAATCTCCAAAACGCCAATATGACAAAATCCGCCTCTTTCGATGTGATAGGAACATGTTTCGCCTTCGATGTCCCTATATCCACCATCCATTCCCGTCTCGGCCCTAAACTTGTAACCGCGGCTGTGGACCCCAAAACGCTCTTCTTCTCCTGGTTCTATGCTGCTCAACGTGACTTCACCTACGTCTCCATGACCGGTGCCTACGTTCCCATCGCCCAGGTTCTCAAGTCTACGTTCCGACGCGCATGCGCCGTTGTCGATCTACCCGTCGACGCCGTCACCGACGAAGACTTGGAAGAGATCATGAAAGCATTCAAGGCCATGAAGCCGCGCGAAGGGCTGAAAAAGTGTTATGATGGACTGAGGGAAGCGGGCTGGGATGTCTATGGTGTAACAAATGGAGGGTCAGAGACCTCTTTGAACTACTACCGTAACGCGGGCATTGAATTGGACGAACAGCATCTACTCAGTTGTGATGCCATTCAAGTTGCAAAACCAGATGTACGCGTTTATGAGAATGCGCAGAGGCATTTGGACGAAAAGGTGAAGCATACTGGTTCTCTGGGAAAGGGAGAGGGTGCGAGATGGTTCATCGCGGCGCATGCGTGGGATTTGATTGCAGCCAGGAAGGCTGGATTCCACACTGCGTATCTGGACTTTGAGGAACATGACCCTTGTACAGATGTTTTTGGGGAATTCGATCTTTACGCGTCTAGTATGGAAGAGTTGTTGGTCAAGCTTAAGGATTGGAAAGCAGGTTCTTAGCGGAGTCTTGTTGTTGTGATGATAATTTTTCACGATCTTCCTCTAAGAGCTATGGTGCATCAAAAATGTCTGGGCCGAAGCTAGGTATGCAACGTGTGAACTGAACAGGTCCCAGAACGCCCCGTGGAGTCTACATCCGCAGATATGTCCACCTAGATCCACATCGCTCACAATCCATGCGAATTATTTCGTTTTCCGCCCAATCCAATGCCTCAAGCAACTCACCATATCAGAACCCATTTCCTTACCGAAATCCCACATGAAACAGCGACTCGCTTTCTACCTGAAGAGACTCCTCAGCTCTTCCAACCGCTGTTTCGTAGCCTCCTCCTTGCTCTTGCGCTCCTTCGCCATCGTAAGATCAGCCAATGCCTTTTTCTTTCCCTGCAGTACTAGCATCTTTTCCTCGAAACTATTCTCCATGATGAAACGCTTGATAGTAACCTCCCTATCTTGACCCAGACGATGGACTCGATCCACAGCTTGTGCTTCAGCCGCAGGATTGAACTGCGGTTCCATCATGAAGACTTTGTTCGCTGTAGTCAAATTGAGGCCAAGACCACCGGCACCAATCGAGACTAGCATCACGCGGACTTCTGGATTTTCGCGGAGTTGTTGCATGGACTTGTCACGGTTTTCGCGTGTCATACGGCCGTCGAGACGGACGAGCGGGTGGCCGGCATTCTTGAGCGCAATTTCGATGAGGTCGAGATGCGTGGTCCATGAGGAGAATACGATGCTGTCAAGGCGTGTTAATACGTTCTCAGAGTATCCTTACGGGACACGACGGCTTACCTCTTAATTGGCCTCTGATCGGGATGCTGCTCGCTCCAAAGGCGGAACTCGTGAAGGTCGTTGAGTAGAGCTTGCGTCTTTGTGTGCGGCCCAGTATAGCTTCCGATTTTCTTCGCCAACTTCGGATCTTTCCGAATCTGGTTTTGCTCTTCGAGATAGTTGTAGTAGTCAGTGCGCTCAAGCTTCAGTGCCGTTGGATGATTGACATCGTCACAGACGTGGCATCGCACAGAGCCGTCAGCCATGAGGTTATCTTTCCACTGGTCCTTCAACTTCTTGATATGCTTTGGGCATACTAGATGATAGCAGGTGGTCATGTAGCCGATAATGTCTTGAACGTTACCATCCTCGTCTTCATCGTCAGAGTCTGCATCTAGTAGAGACCTCTTGTCGGCGCAATACAGACAATCAGCTGCACTTGTCGATTCAAGTAGGCTGAGCATCTCGTAGGCTTGTTGACGTGTAAGCTGCGGCCTGTCGCTCTCGTCTTCATCTATCTCCATAGGCTTCTCATACGTCATGCCGTCCGTGGTCTTGAGAGCTTCCTCACTGAGAAGGTCGCGACCGTGAGCGCAGATCAGACGGAGGTTGGTAATGGCGGTCAAGATACGAGCGTACGATTGTCCGCCCATCTTATTGCCTTGTGTGACTGCAGCCACCTTGCGTTGAGTGTCTTTCTCAAACCAGTCATGCAATTGCCGCTCTTGCTTAGAGAATTGCAATTTGACGACATAGTCCAACTTCTTCGGTACTTCTCCCTTGATGATCTCCTTGGTACGACGGATAGTAACGGTGCTAACAAGCAACTGAAGCTTCGTTACAACGTTGGGATCCGCATTCTTGAAAGGACCGAGAATGTATTGGTTGAAGCCGCTGGTGTTGTCGAATGGCTTTAACTTGATGAAATTGAACAGGGCACCAAGATCCTCAAGTCGATTTTGAACAGGCGTACCAGTCACAGCCCAACGTCGCTGACCCATCATCATGCATGCTGCCTTTGATTGATTAGTCGGGTTGCGGATGGTGTGCGCTTCGTCCAAGACAATGCGGAACCAATTGATGTAGGGGAGGGCCCGCTTCCTGTCGGCCAAATCTTTGGCGATGATGTGATATGTTGTTAATACTATATCGTGATCCGCGAGCTTCTCAGGCGAGATGTTGAAACGATCTGCGCCATGGTAACGGGTCCACCTCAAGGTACTTCTACCCTGCGGGAAGTGCTCTTTGATCTGCTCCTTCCAGTTTGTCATGGTACTCAGAGGACAGACAAGGAGTGTGGCTCGACTATTTATAGTCGGTTGTATCATCGCCGGGTATGGTTTCGGAGAGGGCCTCTTTTGGCAGAAGTCCTTGGCTGCAGCAATCGAAGCATCGTCGCAGATAAGAGAAAGGATACTAAGCGTCTTTCCCAGACCCATTTCATCAGCCAGAATGCCGCCAAGGCCTGGTCTCGGCTTCTCTTCCACCTGTTCACTCGTGATGACGTGCACGTAGTACTTTCGGCCGTTATTTCGGTACTTGGCTGCCCACAATGAATCTTTGCGCTGATCGTATATCTCAGGAGGGTGTTCTTGTTCGTGATCAACCATGAAGTATAATGCTTGCTTCTGGTGTGGGTACAGCTCAGTGGTGATAAGCGATGATGGCTCTCGTGTGGGGACTTCTTCCGAGCTACTAACAACGGTATCGAAGACATCCTCGACATCGGCGCGAATCTCGTCGACACTGCGAAGAACGTATGTGTTCGTGGGAGCGCCAACAGCGTACTGATTAGGCAGCTGGAAATCGGGCTGTCCTACCTGATTCTTCTGAAATGTCTCCTTGGTCTGGGGGTTGTAGTAGTCGTGGCGTGCCAATTCGAAAATGGGTGTTTCCAAGATCAGGTTCTTGCTCTTGAGGTGCCGGCCGATATTGTCTGCTACCCTGCGCGGACAATACAGCTGCAAAGTCATACCAACAAGGGCAGATATCTGACTGCCAGGTGGACCTTCATTTGGCAATTTCCTGCGGGGTTCAGTCCACGCTATCCACTTGAGACCGCTAGTGTTGGCGCTGTCAATCAAGGGTGTAAGGCCTTGTGCCGTCTTCATGTCGACCCTGCCGAATTCTTTACCTACACCGTCAAGCACCTGGATGTCAGTTAGTATACGTTTTGCGAGAATCCTGTAAATCAAAGTAATTACCATAATGATCTGATTTCCCTTATTACCACCACCCCTGCGGAAGGATACTTTGATCCTGCTTTGACCACCATGATTGCCAGCGAACTTCTTCGGGTCGGGGAAGGGCACCTGGTGCGCCTGAATGTAGGTCTGCTTGAGTTTTCCGATACAAACATTCTCGTTGCTGTTGTCTCCAACGACTTGGATCTCGTCCTCGTCGTCACTCATGGTGAGATCAATCGCTGGTCCCTTCTGGAGTAGTGAAGCAGCTGGTTGCGCAGCCTGGTTTTGCAGCTCAAGTGCACTTCCACCGGCAAAGTTAGATCGGTTACCGTTCTTCTGAACTCGCGGATCCTCAGTTTTGACACGCTTAGCAGGCGATGATGTGCGCTCTTGGACGTTGTGTAGGCGCTCGACAAGTGAAACCTGGCCAGCAATTGTAGGGTCAGCGCGTCCGCGATCAGTGTCGTTACCGGAAGATGCAGGACGCTTGGGATTTGAAGATGACGGATTTAGAAGTGCGCGAGGGTCAAATCGGAGAGGTTGTTGTGCAGGCGCTCCATGGGTGTGATGGGTCGCGTTGTCGCCTGGCACGTGCGCGGTTAGCTCTTGGGGCCTGGGGTCAGAGTCTAAGTAAATGGAGGCAGGAGCATTTGGTAATGGATCAGAGATCGGAGAAATAACACTGGGTTCGTAAACGACCAGTTCGGATTTCTCAGAGGAGTCCGAAGCCGGACTGCCAGTGTCCATATTGCTGGGCTAGGAATAGCGAACTTGAGAGGGAAAGGCGTTGATGAATATGAGAGTATTCAACACCAGAGCAAGTACCAAGGACGAGTAGACATGACATGTAATGATGGAAAAGAAGGTGAGGCGGAGGAAAAAGATTGAGGATATACCTGTTCTACGCACCCTTCTCGGGTCAAGTAATAGGGCGGGATTCATCTTGTCCATGCCAGGCTTACAAACGAAGCGACTCGAACCTTGCAGGTAAGAGAGCTTCAGGTGAGTGAAAAATGCCCCTCAGCGTTTCCTAGCTCTTCCAACCCTTCCAACGACGTGGATGCCGAAGCGCATCTGATGGTCCAAATGCCAAGCTTTGATCCCTTTGCTCGCCACAAATTACGCGCTGTTAAAAGTTTCTTGACGTGCTCGTGGAGTCGTCACAAGTATTGCGAGTCTTTTCAAGCCTGGTTGCGATCGATTTACGGATGCGCAACTCCGTATCTCGGATGATGAGATGATGGTGTGTAGTCGCTTAGTACATACCCGGTCGTCGGGTAAGTAAAGGTAGACGTATGGGATCGCGGCACAGCGGCGGGGCAGCTTGCCAGACAACGATAATGTGCTGAGTTATGAGTTAGATGATCGAGAACCCGTTCATTTGTATCGCCGTGCGTGGATGGAATGGCGCTGCTGCCTTTCATGTTCGTTGTGGGAAGTCATCGCGTGTGGCTGAGAAGAGCCTAGCAGGAGTGTCAGATGACCCTTCGATTATTCACGGGGTTTCGGCAAAGGGCTGTTGCCCGCGATTGTCGGGGAGAACCGACGTGTATTGCACGAAAAGAGTAAAAGCAAGAAATATCATCAGCTCGCACACCAAGTATGTGTATCACTGAGTTATTAGGGTGTGGGGGTTGTTGCGCAACGTATGCAGAGGTGTGGGTGCACCAGCAAAATAGCGGAGCTGTTCCCGCTACTGCATACATGTTACTATCTGTAGATTCTTGTACAACAAAACGCCTCCCATGCTACCCAACCAGATGCTATGCTATGGGAACAGTAACCTTGCGCCTGTGATGCAAGACAGTCATCTCTCCCACGTGTTCAAGTCACGAAGAAAACACTCAAACTGAGCTACGATGTGCTCAACACCAAGTAAACACCGGATTCCTTCCCTTGACCATCTCCAACCGTTCCACAATGACCTTTTTCCTGTTTCCTTCCATATCTTCATTCGCGGCATATCCTAGATCGCCGTCATCGTCAAAGCCATAGTCATCAACGTCTCTTCTGTTCGTTAGTGAGAATCGTCTATGGTGTCGTGAGTCGCGTGTGTTCCTGCGAGGCGCATCGTAACTCATTCGCGACTGGTGCGCAGGGCGTCCATTTGAATGAGGGTTCAGGTTGCGCGAGCCCCAGTACACATCGCTCACTGTTGCTGGCGATTCAGGGCCTTTATCAGGACGTCGCACGTCGAGGGAGGAAGAGCCGCGCGTGAGATTGA